TTTTCACTTAAACCCTGAGAGCGGGCGCCACGCTGAGCGTGGGCAGCTCATCTTTATTTTTCGTTCATTCTTTATCAGTCAAGCACTCAGCCCGTCGCCAACCATTTATTTTGCTTTTAGTTAAAGCCAAATGCCGGCGAAAGCGTTGAGAAAGGTTTATTTCAATTTGACCTGGCCAAAGATAGAGAATTCAGTTTACTTATCCGCATCTTCGTTACAGCCAGGCTTTTCTCGGAACTTTCTCATCGCTTTAGACGACTTTTTCCCAGAAACGTTCATTTGTAACGTGAAGCTTGTTATTGAGGACAACTTCTACTGATTTCCTTTTCGAGCTGTGGACTCAAAGCCGAAATGACTAAATCGCTTCACGGTCTAAAATATGTATTTAAAATAAAAGAATCTAAATCATGTGTTAAATACCATTCTCAATAACTTCAAGCGATGAAAATTTCATGAAGCGAGATTTACTCGAAATGTATTTCACGTATTTCATTTAATTTTCATATTTCCATTGGCTTATTTACCCTTTTCTTCTATAATTTATTTCATATCCATGTTCCGGCTTCCCTTTACTTTTGCAGCTAAATAAGCTGTTGTATTATTCTTGGAGTGTGCACACACACCTGGCTACACGCAGCTGGTTGGCCTAAGTGTCCGGGTCTATGGACTACGCTCTAAGCCCTTGATGGTCATAAATTTGTAGCTCGCAAATGAAGCCGCAGCCATGTGCTAGGGTTCATGTGTGACCCGCTCCTGCTGCTGCTGCCGCTGCTGCTTGTTGTTGTTTACATTTTGCACGCATAACTTTTAACACGCCCACGCTGAGCAGGTCTCAGGCCCCTGCCAGGACCCACGCGCTTGCCAACCCGAGTTGGTCGCTTAGTCAAATGCGTCAGATTATCCGGCTTCCCACCTCTTGGATACACATCCCTTAGCCAGCAAAGGCTTTGAGGCGCAATTTGATTTCATTAAATGCTGCTAACTTGTTGCAGTTTGCACATTAGGGCAACATAATGCATTATATCCACATGCTGCATGAGTATTACGTATACGCCCCCTCTCTCTCCCAGTGTGCTTTAAAATTAATGAAGCTTAGGCTGAGACTGCAGCCAAGGCCTACAGCAGTTGGATAACTGTTGGCGGAAAATCGCGTGCATTTTGGCCATTTATCAATTTTGGCTAAAAGTGCGAGTAGAGCGCGCCACAGTAACTGGTTTCTGGTTTCTGGTAGCAGATAGCACCTGCTGCTCGGCACTGCTCGTAAATCTCATGTTGCTTGTAATTAAAATGCAATCGAGGATGCATTTAACTAAAACGCAATTGATGCCCCATCGCATGGCCGGCGCATTTCCGCTGAACAATAGTTCCGCTCCGGCTGCAACTCGACCCGATCCGAGCCCAGAAAACAACAACTCTGTTAAATACCCGAGTTGATTGACATGCGCCAGCCCCACAGCAACTCTGACTGCGATTCCTAGCTGTTGGCTGTTGGCTGTCTGCTGTCGGCTGTTGGCTTTTAGCTATTTCGGTGCATGCAACTCGCGTCTATTTTGGTAACGTTTATAAAAAGCCAGCTCGAGCGACGTGCAACCGCAGCCTGCCGTGTTTACAGACACGAGACATGACTGCCACCTTTAAGGCGCACGCTGCGATGCGTCGGCTGGATTTGGGTTCACCCACCCACTGCTTGGCTGTCATCCCCGCTCGACGGTGTCGACGGCGTCGGCCTGCCAATGCCTTGCACGTAGCTCAACTGCACTTTGGCATAAACTTTTTTCTGCCTGTGTTTTGCCATTGTTGTTTTGCATACGCCGCTTTTTATAGCCTTTTTTCTCCACTTGTTTCGCACTTTCATTTTTGTCGCTGTGCAAAAGGCTATTAAGGTGCTGCAAGTGCCGCTTGGCGACACTTTTTTGCTGCTAGTTGAAAAACAGACACGAGGCATGCTGGTTACTATTTTCCAAATTTTTTTGAGTGAGTTCGACATATAATATTTATAAGTATATTTATTTAAAATTTAAATTAAAATTGTAGTTTATTAAGCGTAGTTTTCTATATGCTACATAAAAATTCGAATCTTTTAGCATTAAGACTAGATTTGCTTATATATAGGCAGCTAAGCTATTGCAGAAAATGATTAGATAGATAAATGATAAATGATATAGCAGCATTATTAAGCCCTTTTAAAATATATTCCATCAAATATCTACTGTATTCTTGCTTGAGCTAAAATAACACTCTTCTCACTTTCGCTCTCTCTCACTCTGTTTCACTCTGCCTCTCTCTAGCTATATCTATCTGCCTGTCTCTCTCTCTCTCTCTCTCTCTCTATATCTCTCTCTTTCTATCTCTGCCTGTCTCTCCCTCCCTCTCTCTGTCTCTCTCTCTCTATATATATATATATATATATATATATATATATCCATCTCTCTCTCTCTCTATCTCTCCCTATCTACATCTTTCTAACTCTCACACACACACGCTCCATTTCACTCGCATTTCTGCATTAAATAATTATTTTATATTTCTTTAAAAATTGCTAAAAGTTCCTATACATCTGAAATTTAATTCGATTTCATAATGAGCCCCTTCAGCAAATAATTAGTAGTCGGTAGCATTTTTTAAAAATATATTTAATGAAAAACAACAATGCAACAAGAGCTCCAATTCTGTGCAGCAGCTTCTTCGGTTTCCTTGGCCTTGCGCCTTGCAAATAACTAAATAGGAAAAAAATGAAATTGCACTTCAATGCGAAACGTGATCGGCTTGTGGAGCATTGAGCCGCCTGAAAGGATTCCAAAAATAAAGCCTCGACCCTGATGCACTTTGCTGAGGGCAGCTTGGAAATTGGATGCGCCGCAATGGAAATCGAATTTTCTTGTGCAACTTGCCCGAAGTGTGGCCGTTAGTCGCTCAGCGCTTAATTGACCCTAAATATTTTGTTGCTAGCGTTTTTTGCTTGCTTTTAATTGAGCCATTCGCTATGAAGTCAGCAGCGCTTTTTGTTGTTGCTGTCTGCTATTTACTTGCGAGCAAACTTTAAAGTAATTTCAGCAAAACCGCCATAAATTGGGTTTGGAGTAAGCAACAGCAAAAAAAGAGAAGAAAAAACTAGAAGTAATGCCACTGTATGTTGCTGGATTCCGGCATACTGGCAGTCTGGCATTCGGGCATCCTTGCAGCGTCACGTAGCAGCCACAGCAGCAAGCAAAAGTTGACCAAAAGTTTATGGGCAAAAATAAGTAAAGTCGCATAAAAAGCAACAACCACGAAACAGCAGCTGAAAAACTTGTCGCTGCCTTCGACCAAAACTTACAAAACAGCTGACACTTACAGCGGGGCGGGCGGCTGGCTGGTCGGTCGCAAGATGGGGCATTTCTGACTCCTGTCCGAGTTTAGTTATTTCTATTTTTATTAATGCCCAAATGCCAACAGATTTGATAAGCCCAAACACTTATAGCCACCAATAAAATGTTGGCCAGTCTTAATGGGTGTCAACAACACAGCCAATAATAATACACAGACAACGACGCTGCCTCTGCCCTCTTCGTCTCATTTTGTTTTTTTTTTTTTACAATTTTACGAGCACTTTATAACCGTTTAATAGCTTGAACAATGAGCTAGTTCCCTCTTGCCCCACCCGATCTCTGAATTGAGCTCACAATTGACGCACTAGAGACGCACACTTGAGCCGTCACCAATACTATGACAAACTCTATTACTGTAGATGTGAATATATATATGTATATATATATTGGCTAATGGCATGATGAATTATGGTACCACAACTATAGACAAGTTGCCTGCCGACCTGGCCCCAGCCTCTGCTCTGCCTGTTTGTCTAACTGTTCAGCTGTCTTTCCTTCTGACTTGACTTGGACAAACTGCGATTGTCCTTTGTGCCAAGCATCCGATACACCCACACAGACGACCCCCCCCACCCACACACCGATACACCACGTCAGACACAAGGCGCGTGTGTCTAATACGGAAGTGTCAATGCACACGTTTTGCCCCTCTTTTCTTCACTTCACTGTCTCTCTGTGTGTGTGTGTGTGTGCTTTGTGTATATTCTATGTTTATGTGTGTGTGCGCGTGTGTTTGCTTCGCAGTCAGTCGGTCAGAGCTTAAAATGGAGCCAACTAAGAAAATATTGCCCTTAGAAAGCGAAACTATTTTTTCTTCCCAACACAAGAATAGCATACAAAAACATTTAGCTGGAAAATGCTATAATTAAGAAAATTGATACAATCTTAAAATAAAAAATAACAAATAACTGAACTATTAACTTAATGCAAGGAATACTTAAAAATTAAGTTATTAAAATAATGATTTTGTTAGAGGAAATCTTGCATACAGTGAGCCTGTTGACAACACAGAGTTCGAGCTCCAAAAATATTTTTTAAATTATATAAATCATTTAAAATTGAAAGAAATGTAATTCAACTGGGAGCAAATGCTCAAAGCAAAGCTTATGATAAATGCCAAGATAATTAATTGACTTACATAATAATAGAACAAAGAGAACTAAAGAAGGCAACTATTTACCCAGAGCTAAACTAAGTTTAGTAAAGCAAAATTCCTTGAGTTGCAGCTTAATGTTTATTAATTCCGTCATAAACAATAATCATAAATATTTAATTCAATTATTTTGAAATACCTCGAAGCAATGTGACTGATAAATTTACAATGAGTACGATGAAAGTTTAAATATTTAAAGTTGTTCTAATTGACTCACATCTGTCAGCACTTAATTGTCAAATTTCTTAATAAGACCAAATATCTTGAATTGCAAGCGTGAAGCTTAAGAAGATAATTCACTGAATATAAAATGAATTTGAAGCACACACGCCCAGAAACTAAATTAGTAATTAGATAGACAGTTGCAACCAATTGGGTTTCAGGTGATTCGACATTAATTATTTGACGACTTCAAATCTCATATAAATAGTCGCAAGTTGAATAAACTCACAAATTGTTTGTTCATTGACCCATTTTAGGTTTCGGCCTCGGGCAAAGGTGTTCTAATCACCGGCTGTGACGCGCCTTTGGCATGGTATCTGGCTAAAAAATTGGACGATCTGGGCTTTACGGTCTATGCGGGCTTTGCAGCGTCCATCGAGGACTCGGACGAGGCCAAAATACTGAAAGAGGAGACTTCGGGACGCATGAAGCTGTTGAATATTGATGTTACCTCCGAGAAGAGCGTAAGTCTACAAAAAGCATGCCAGAGCTTTTAGCCAAGTTTCAAACCATTTCGTGTGTGCTTTGCAGCTTTTGGAAGCGGTCCGTTTTGTCTCCCAGCATTTACCGCACGGCGCCGAAGGCCTGTGGGCCGTGGTGCATGGCGCCCATTGGATTGCACTCGGTGAACTGGAGTGGATACCGTTTGCCGTGTTGCGCAAAAGCTTGGACCTGAATCTACTCGGTGAGAGATGGCGCCAATGTGCGCATTCTATGAAGTTGACTTTTGCCCGCACTATAGAGAAATATGTGTAGAAACTAGAATATTGGATGTGGAATTTGCATTGGCGTATCTTTTGCCAACTGTTTTCTCTAACTTATTCTAATTTTCCATTTAGGCGCCGCTCGTCTGACTCAAATCTTTTTGCCGCTGGTGCGCCGCGCTCATGGCCGCGTGGTGTTCCTTACCTCTGGTCTCAATCGTGTGCCCTCGCCGGTGCGTGGCATCCAGTGCGCCACTCAGGCGGCTGTCGACTGTTTCGCTGCCTGTCTGCGCCAGGAGATGCGCACACGTGGCGTGGATGTGTCTGTGGTAGCGGCGGGCGAGTTTGCACCAGGCAATGGTTGGCTAAACGACACGGAGCTGCGCGAACAGGTAAGTTTTCACAACTTCCATACACCAGCATAAGCCAGCCAAGCCAGCTTTAATGCTGCTGCCCATTTCGTGCTTAACGACAAGGACATAGCAGAGTAGAGCAGCAACTCGCCTTGGCTTGTTTCAGTTTTTACGATAATGCCCCAGCTGGGCGGTCGAAGGCGATGGCATAGAGAATGAGGAGGGGCAGGGGGGAGAATACATTAAAATAGTTGCAGATGGCCGACATGAGTGAGGGGCTCATTAAAACTCTCGTTTGCTTGCAGGCCAAGCAAATGTGGAACCAGTTATCCTCGGAGCAAAAGAAAACCTACGGCGAGGACTACTACGAGGCGGCCATGACATCCGTGGAGAAATACTCGCGCCAGGTAAGCGCACAATTTCAGACAGAGATTTAGCTATATATATACATAGTAATCATATATATATATATAGTATTTGTGTCTGAATATAAGTTGATGTTTCACGCTAACGAGCACTTTATCCTCAGGCCGCTGACATTCAGCCCACGCTGCGCGTGCTCATCGATGCCGTGACTAGAACCTTCCCCATGGCCCGCTATACGCCCGTCACTGCCACCGAGAAGCTGCAAATATTCCTGGCCGAACACTTGCCGCCCTCGCTGTACGAGTCGATCTATGGCGAGCAAAAGAAATTTGTCTATTGAAACATTTTGTTGCCCATTTCCCTTTCCGTTTCCGTTTCCGTTTCCCCCGTCTCCACCTATGCCCCGCACTGACTTCCCCCACTTGACGACGCCTCCGTATATTGTTTCCTTTCCTCGAAATTGTTATTGTTTATCTACTGCTCCGCTATGGTTTAAAGCGCATTTAAAATGAAGCAACGCGTTGTCACTCACCGAGCATTTAGCGTTGCTCTTCATATACTAGTTATAGCTACTCTATCACACGTCTCACATCTCGCTTTCTATTCTTTGCCTTCTCAAAATGTGCGTCACCTAAAATTTCACTCAATTTTTGTTCTGCTTCTGTTTAGTTCGTAGCGTGAATTGTAATACATATACATATAACAATAAATAAAACCAATGATAACAGTAAAAACTTGAATTGTTTAGTTTTTATAAGCCGTAAGATAATATAAATGCGATCAATTACAGGTAATCCATGGGAAATATTAATAGTTTTTGAACAAAGTTATCATACAAATTTTTCGAAATAGATTTTGAGGCAAAAAAAATATTTAGCTAAAATGTTAGCACCAAATTTAGCACCTATTACTGGAAGGAAATGAATGCTTCCTTAATTGGCGAATATTCTCAATTGTATCACTAATAGTGATAAGCTTCTATAAATGATTATAATTCAAGTACTTTAGGCACGTATTTTAGCTGGCTTAACTTTAATCAAGAGCCTTAATCTGTTTCCAATAATAAGTTTATTTATTTTTATATTTATTTTATTAAAATAAAATATGCATAAATATTTATATACAAAGTGAAATATTCCAATGAAACTTAGATTAAAATGCAGTCAACAAAAACATTAATGTTTTCTAACTTTAAACAGATTATTTTATTATTTCTTTGCAACTTAAATTCGATAAGTTAATGAATTTATTTTAATTTCATTTATATACAAATTAATGATTGCATTGAATACATCGATTGCCTTTTTCTTGAGTGTTCTGTCAGGGCTGTGAGTGCATCGAATGTAGCCTGCTGTATAGCTGTATCGCACTTTGCAGTCAAGTTGACGTCTGTTTCATTTACTTTTCGCAATCGCCACTCAACCGCATTAGCCAGACTCACACATCCGAACACATTCAGTTACAGAGAGAGAGAGAGAGATAGAGAGCTGCAGCTAAAAATTGGTTGCTACTTGGGCTGGATGGGTAAGCTTAAGTGCAGTTCGATGCGCATTTCGCGCGCCAGCTCAGACAGCAGCTCATGAAAATAAATTCAATAAATTTTTAATACATTTGAATCAGCAACAATGACAGTAGCGTAGAGTTTTGGCAGCACTTGCCACCGCACAGCCGTCGACCGTCGCCCGACAAGCGTCAACCGTCAAGGCCACAAGCAGATAAAGTGGGGGCTCAGGTGAACTACAAAATCTCCTGACAGCTCAATGAGCTGTGCTGTATGGGCGGGGTGTTAGAAAGCGTATAAAATAACGGTAACAGATACCAAGAAGCGCATAACTTTTGCATAAATCTCTCATAGTTGTTAATGCAAACCGCGCCTGGCAGCCCCCAGTTCCCAGCCAGCAGCCAGCAGCTGGTAGTTGGCAGTTTGCAGTTGGCTGGCGTCGCACGTTCGAACTTTTCGACAAACAAGGAATAAAAAAATATTAAAAAAAGAAAAAGAAAAGGAAACACAAAAAAGGCTGCATGGGAAATGAGCTGGTTAGCTAAAAATATATATATATATATATATATATGTATATGTATGTATACGTATCTAAAGCATAAAGAGTACCCACAGAGCTCAACACAACGACCCTGATACGTTTGAACCACTGACCACTGGCGTGCATATACAGTTAGATATACGTATATCACTCACGCCCTGACATTTTACCTTTTCGTATTCATGCATATACATAGACACGAATATATCTATCTATTGAATATTTGTGCATATGTATACATAAATCTAAATCTATTGTCGCTTTGTCTGTCACTCTCTCTCTGTGTGTGGGCGAGAGTTTGTTAAATTTTTGCATTGCATAGCAATAGGGGCTCGGGTCAAGCGTTAAGAAGATAGGCATATTTCCATCAATTTATTTGTTGCATTTAAATTTACAAATTCATAAAATACCTTTTCGAATGACTGAAAAACTTAAAAGAAATTTGAAATTTAAAAGATTGTTGAGAAGCATTAATGAAGTTCTAAAGATTCGATTAAGATACTAAATTATTTTGTTGAATGGAAACTCATATTTAATTGCCTTGGTAACTAGAAAAATATATTACGTATACGCCTGCGGCTAACAACAAATGACTCTAGATCATTTTTCAAGAATCAAAGAGAGTGAGAATTAGCTTCAGGAAAACAAAAACTCTATCTAAACATAAACATGAACATGAAGCAAAACTATTTTTAATTAATGTTGAACTCAATATCAAAGAGTTCGAAGAATGCCAAAAAATATATAAAAATAACTAAAAAATATATTTTTAAAAATTATTAAAAAATCCCTTGCGCATAATAAAATTATTAAATGGCATTTCAAATTTGTATGGCATAAAATTGAATTCTACTCATTTTCGTTTCATTTTCATTCGTTCAATGTTCAAATTCTGTTAATTCAATTAAGTAGCAAAAAATCTGTAAAATTATAAATTTAAATCAATTGCAGCTCAGCAGGAGCATTCCAGCACAATTCGTGTGTAGTATATCATTTTATCGAATGCGCTTTTGACAGCTGCTCTGCGCCTTTCTCAATTGTTGCCCATTTATCAAATGCCGCGTCGGCCCTGGGCATTCCGTGCACAGTTTTCACATAGCATTTTTAGTTATTTGGTTGTTCGTCCTATTCTGTTTTATTTTTGTTCATGCTGCACACACATAAACACACACGCGGCACTCAACAGCCTTGGGGCCACTTTGAAGAATATTTTAGTGACTTTGGGTAACGCTTGGAACGTTTACCTGCCATGAGCTGTACAAGCAGTAAAAATAAATAAAGTTTTCAACATGTTTTTAAAGATATTACGCGTGTTTTCGCATACCTGCTATCAAATTAGTCCCAGTCAGCCTGCCAGCCTATTAGATGATAAGCCCCATTTAAAGTAGCTAAGCTTCGACTAGCATTCCATTTGCTACCAGCTGCCAGCCGGGGGCTGAGACACATTCATGCTGCATCAGGCACTTTGCATAATTAAAATTGCACCTACAGCTGAACACATGAATAGCTGGCTAACTGAAAAGCTGAATTGCTGGACATCTGGACAGCAGGAACGTGATTTGTGGCTCTTTGATTGCTCGTCAGCAAATATGTTAGACAAAGGCTTAAGTAATTAGTGGTCCTCGGGCTATCAGGCGACAGTTGACATTCGTCAACGCATTGTCATCTATGAATCAATCAAATTTCCACAATTGACTTTTATTAAGTGCTCTCGGCCATTCAGCTTCAATTAACTTGGCCCATGGCTAGACTCATCAGCATATTCATACCATAGTCGAAGCAAACTACGATACCAAATGCAAATGCAAATGCAAATGCCATTTTTATATGTAACTAAGATTTTTTCAAACCGTTTAGCATATTTCAAGGGAAATATGCAAACAACTTGCAGCTGGCTATAAGAAGTTGGCAAATCCAGGCAAAATAGCGCAAAGGCAAATTGAAAGTTTGAAGCAATGCGAGTATCATAGATAACTTCAACTGATTTTAAATTGCTAATTTAGTGTTGAGATATAAAATAAAAAAAGCTTTAAAATGTAAAGTAAAACAAAAGTGCAGACTTTGAATATTATAATCGAGGATTATAGTTTTTGGTCAAGTAACAAGATATTAGAAAAGCTTAAATGGCGAGTACCATATGAAAATGTTGCTGAAACTATTCCAATTTAATATAAAGAACTTGAAATAAATTATACAAAAATCTTGAAAACTAAAGTCAATCAACTTATATAATTAGAAAATAATTTACTTACTGTTCAAACTGAGCTGAGCAAGTTTTTTAATTAACTTCAAGTTGGTCATTGCATTGGCCTTTCGCGTCGGTAGTAAAACACAAAGCGTCTAACACATTTAATCTCAATTTATTCGTAAACTCACAGACAACGCAAAAAGTAGTCATACATTTATCTTATCTGCCAATTTCACCAATTTCACATCGATCGATTTTGTGATGTAAAATGTGCATGGAGGAAAGAGTTTGCATTGTAATCGTAAATTGCATTTCAATTTGTCTTCGAATGACTTTTCATTCTGGTATTCCTTTCATGCTTAATTGCTAAACAAAGTGCAGTGAATAAAACACACACACAATACTCCCGCACAATGATGTTGCACAATTATAAAACATATATATTTATCTTTGGCTTTTACAATTAATATTCTCATTAATTTTCACACTTGAATTTTGTGTATTTTCCTGTGATGTTTGTGTTTACTTTTACTTTACTTTATTTTCATCTTATTTGAATTGCATGCAATTTTTTATTTTTAAATATCAAATTGCTCCCTATTAACCGAAAGGATCTGATGTGTGCTAAATTTACATACAGCAAATATATTAAAAATGCAAAAACACGAGGTTTGTACAGACATCTACAGATCTGACACAAATGTTTATTGTTTGGATTGTATACACACACGCACACACACATACACATACACACACATTCAATTGCTTGAAGCAACTACATTTGGCTTGAAGTAAATTGGTTAGGTTAGACTAGATTGGACTTTGGTCTATATATGTTGCATATTGGTCTAGGAACAGGCTAGTATTGATTTCGTATTCACGTGTTGCAAGGTAAGTGTCAAAAAATAGTATTGTGTTTGAAAGTGCTATACAACTAGAAATACATATATACCAATCAACTGTCCGTATCGTCGCTCTCATTGAGATGAGTGCTATCAAAACATGCTCCAAAAATACCCGAAATCGCTTTCGGCTTGACATACAAAACTTTTACATATTTCCTTACAAATCTATCATAAGCGACGGTTCACTGTGCTATATCCCCATATGTGTAGGAATTTAAGGTAGGTTTCTGGGTGATTCCAATTGGTTAGACACAAATATATATAGTAAGAACATGGCTAAGTGCAAACGAATTGATAAACCGTCTAGCAGGACAACTCCGTAGATCGGCGCGCTGCCTCGCTCTGAACGCAATAGTCGCTATCCTTTAGCTCGCGTCCTGTGATGTCCGCCAGCGAATTGGGGTCCATATTCGATAGCTTGTCCAGGTCGGCATCATTGATCAGATTCTGTTGCAGCTTGCCCACCAATTTGCGTAAGCGCTGGGCATCTAGCGAAGTGCGACGCAGATTCGCATTGTAGTCGCTAGGCTATTGAGGGCGAAGAGAGAGCGAGAGAGAAAAGAAGGTTGGAATGCGGCAAAGCCAGGTTAAAAGGTACAGAATGAGCTTACATCTCGCCACTGTTCGCCGGGAAATACAGCAATCAGCTCCGCATTCGCCTCCAGTGTGGAAAAATACTCCTCATCATCAATTTCGGTGCCGTCGCAATCCAAATGAATCGCCGGCTGAGCCCTTTGAAACTTTGCGGCCACCTTGAGGCGCAGCTCGGCCAATGTTGTGGCAACGACGGCCTTGCGTATGTTACGTGTGATATCCTTGACCTGTGTGCGTGGAGTATTAATTAGTATTCATTGCCATGGGAGTGTGTTGTAACAGCTCCAGTACTTCCAAATATTTCTTAAATCATCTTTTGATCATTTTTGCCAAAACTGTCAATCCTTATCCAATTCTCAGAAGGATTCATGTATTCATGTATGCAAACTACCTACTGCTATCTGTATATCTATATTGGATAAGCATTTACTTTTTGTTCTGCGCTCGTTTGATAAATGTTAGCGTTTCTCAAAATTGAATTTTACCAGTCAAACTTTCATCAACAAACATCAATATTCACTGAACAGAATCATTTCTCGGAAAGCTGCTTTAGTTACTTATTGAAAAGGGCGCTTTAGCTACAAGCTTAAATGTTGCTCAGATTTTCTAATATCTCATTTATGCTCGTAATGCTAAATTTAGTGAATTGGCATTTTATATCTTTTCAGTTTTCAAACCAAGTGCATTGAGGAAATTGTTATCGTTAGCAAAGCGAGCTTGATTAAAACATGGCAATTTATGCAAAACCTCTCTTAAGTGCATTTTGTAACTAATGCAACAAAAAGCTTGCTAAAAATGTTTAGGACACGTTTTGTTCAGTTTTCAAATTTATAATTCACCTCTCCACAAATTTGACACCGATTTAATAAAGTTTTCGTTTCATGTTTTGCGATCACTGCCTTAACTAAGTGTGTTTAAGCTGCTTTCATCTTTTGCACGCAGGCGGTAACTTTACGCTTGTCTTTATTAAGCACTTCAGCATGAAGGGAACTCCCGCGGGGAGAGTTGATTGTATTCACGCGAGAGCACACAAAAGTTAACAACTTTCATTCAAAAGTCTCGCACTCATTTAATTATTATGAAAATGTCACGGCTTTTGATTGGAAACAGGCGTGAGGTAAGAACAGCAAAAGGAACGAAAAAACGAAAAAAAGGAAAACTCGCAAACGATGTTTGCCTTAATTTCAAATGTGCCAGAAGCATTCACGAATGTCCGTCTTGTGTTAAGCTGCCAATAAAAACAACAAAATATAGCGATAAGGATGCTTTAGTGTATATATGTATATATATATATATATAAATGCTGTGTGTTTGTGTGGCAACAGCCAGGAGCAAGCAACTAATCAATTTATTATTTGCCAATAACAATAAAGCCGCAACAGTAATAAGAACAACAACTTGAGCATGACATGCGCTCAGCTAGCGTATTATATTTCATGGCCAAAAGATGTTGGCCTGCTCGCAGATGGCCTGCTTAATATTTAAAGCATAATGCTTGTTGCGAAACGGTCAAAAGAGACCTGACGCTAACTGAGTGGGTCAAATAAACAGACAAGAACTGTGCACAAAGGAGCAGCCAACAAAAAAGGTGAGCAGCCCGAAATAAAGCTGGCTTATTGTATGCAACGCCCTCTTATTAATATTAAGTATGCGTCATGTTGTACACAACTGTGTATCCCTCTGATAAATGAACCAGCACGCAACACTTGATCAATCCATGTTGGGAGCCCACATCGTCAGCGACCCCATTAGCACCATCATCAATATTATTGTCATCAGCATTGTCGATTGACATATGGGAACGACACTGTTTGTCTGGCGTTGACAATAAAGCTGTCATTCCATTAAGCCAAAAGTTGCACCTACGCCAGCTACTTATCATATCAATCGCTGATCGCCACGGCTGCTAAACCAATTATAACGCCTCGCACATCTATCAGCTCGCCGACAATGTTGCGTCTGGCAGCAACAATGAAAATTTATCAGGCATTTTATGCGAATTTCTATGGAGCGCCTACGGCAGCAGCCCAGTGACTGATTTCCTTTTAGCCCGCCTAGTTGGCCGTTCGTTCGGCTGCGTGCTGGCCATTAAACTTATATTTACATTTGGCAAGGCCCGAACAGAGCTGAGCTGAACTGAACTGAATTGACTTTTATTGTGCTGCTCAACATGTTGCCGCACGAGGTTCAATTCACGAGTTTTCCCTCAAGATTAACAATGTATCGATGCAGAGACCGAACAAATTTTATGAAATTTCGTAGCCAAGGTACAAAGTTAACTTTCTGAAAGAGTTTTGATGTGTTTAATCTAAAGGCTGACAAAATTGTATTTAAAAAAATCTTATTTTATTATGTAAAAGTCTTGAAAACCTTTTTTAAATTTTCTTAAAATCTTTTTGCCGCCGAGATATTTTCTGAGAAATTTATGAAAAATATTTGTTTAGGTTTTCTTCATGATGTCCTTTTATTTGATATCACAGCATCTCAAAAGTAACTGCAAGTCGGGTTTTTTTTACCACTTTTGAGGCTCGCAAACAATAATCTAAAAATATTCTGTTAGCCTGAGCTTCTCACGAAAAAGTGTTTTATTAAAATTACCATAAATTGTATGGAAAAACAAAAATGTTTTTATGAAAAACAATCCAATAAATTGTTAGGCTCAACTTTAAATTTCAAATCTAAACAATTTTCATTATTATCGCTTTTCAGCTTTCACTAAGAAATATTAAAGTTTTTAGTGCTTTCGCTTTTACTTCAACTGAATGCCAAAACTCTTAAAGCAAACTTCGCTCAGCCGCTGACTTGCTGATTGCCACTTTAGCTGCTCGGCCAACTGGCTGGCAGACTGGCTGGCTGTTGGCTGCTGGCTGCTGGGTTGACTACAAGGGAGGTTAGCTGGCCTGGCTAGCTGGCTGGCATATGCCAATGGCCCGTGGCTTTGTTTGCGTGAAATGCGTTCCTTGACTTTGTTTTGCTGCGTACTCAGAACTCCACGCTGCCTTTGCCCAAAACAAACTACACCACATTATTTGCAGTTGTTTTCTTAACATTTTCTTGTTTTCTTTTTTTTACATTTTCACACTGACCTCGGCCTTGACTTTAACCTTTTACTGAGCTTAAATATCTGGGTTTGACACAAAGCTTTAATTTGCTTGTGACTAATGAACGACGCCAAAGCAAATCCTTTCTCTCAAGTGCTCTCAATCAATTTAAATGTTTGAGTTCATCTCTGTTCAAGTGTTAATCATGGTTTCTAGTTTTGGTTTAAACTTAAGCTAACAAGTTTCAAGCTCCTAATAGTTATGTTGACAGCTAGATAAACATTGTCGCCTTTTTGAAATTGAAATGTTTACTTAATTATCTTAAGAATTTGTTGTTGAAATTGCTTAGCTATATATAAATATGTCCTTAACTTCCTGTCTGCTAACAGGGGTTAGCACTTGGATACAGTTTCCTAAGCGCTCTTTTTTGATGTGAGCTAGAATACAGTGGACAATCATTCTAGTTGACTTGTAAGCTGCTTTGACAAATGTTTAAGCCACGTAACAAAGATAGCTGAAAGTGCCTTCATCTGTAGCACATTGTCTCTTTCACCGGGCTCGCACATCAATATTGGTCCGGCAAATACCTGGACCCAGATATGGCAACAGCAAACAGCAAACAGTAAAGCGCCCGGCAAGGACAGTGGACAGATGCCAATGCACTCATGCATTTATAATGACACGCGTGCGCCCATGTCTCCATGCAAAGGCACGAGCTCGGGCAGGAATACGTGTGCAGGCCATTGTCAGAGCTCATCTGGAATGCGTATGTGCATCTGTATGCCAGTATCTGGGCAACTGTGAATACAACTGAGCTGCTGTTCAACCAAAATTAACACAGACGACCGAGTATGCTAGCACATATGCACCATGGGCCAATAAGCCAATAGAAGGTGCAAGGAAAACTTTCTAAGGTAAAGTAGGAAAAGAAAGATAACAAACTTGACAAAGGGAATAAGAGCTTTGAAATTTATTCATTATTAATATGTTGAAACAATTCTTATCAGATTTTTCCCTAGAGATACCAGAGCATTCTAGTTTTTATAAGCTTAATCTGCATACGCGCTCATAGACATAGCTGAGTCGACATGGTCCATTTCTGTATAATATATTAAGCAATAATCATGAAGCCTTTTAACCTTTGACACATCGCATCTAACAAACTTGCCTGACAGAACTTTTAGCTGTGCGTCTTACAATCGCTCTTACCTAGTGACAATTGGCCCCCTTTTGTTCATTGCTCTATTGAAGTATGAATCGCTTGTATTTGATTTCAACCTTCTTTGATTTTCTTGGCTTTCAGCTACCATTGTGCGGACTTGTGTTTCTTGTCAATGCCACTAATTTCACAGGATTGTCATCAAAATGCCATAGTTACCATGTAGCTGCCTTCAAATTATTGAAATAGCTTACTCACTGCAATTGCGAAACCATTAAGCACTCTACAGCAATAACACACAGACAGCAGTTGCAGGAACGCGTCGGAAGGCAGCTCAATTTACATGTTTGTCACCCCATTGACACGCATATTATTAGAGAATAGTCAACAGGCCAGGGAGACGAGATGTCGCCTCGCCTCCTCGGTCTACTCCAGTTACTTGCTGCCTGATATTGCTCCATGGAGTGGCGTTGTTAAGTTCTACGCTTGCTGGAACATGAATAATACTTGTTTATTTACTTTAATGCCCAACGTTGCGTATACGCAATGTGCTCGCCCACTGCTACCTGGCCGTGACTCTAGTTGTTGTAATTGCTGCTGCTTCCGTTTGTATGTTCAGTCTTCTTCTTGCCGTTTTTGCATTTGTATCGTGAAAGTTAATTCATTCCGACCAACCCACCCAGCTCCATTCATTTTACATGGCATTTGTATGGGAATTTTTGGTTTTGCCTCTCCTCTTTTGAGGCATTGCTTTTGCATTGTAGATGGAACTGAACTGTTCTCAGACAGCATTAAAAAAAACGTAAATGCGTTTTCCATGTCGCAGTCGGATTACTCCCACATGGTGTCTGTGCCAGCAGCGAGTCCTGCCGTGTGCTCCATTCTCGTTTTTTCCAGTTTTTTATGACCACATAACGAGCTATTAAGAGACTGTGATTGTGCTGGCAGCAAAGCATTTTCAAATTGCCTTGCCTTAAAGTGTGCTCAACCATTGAAGCTAACTGATTTTAATAAGCGTAATTATAAACAATGGTCTTGGCGCAATGTTATGTTATACAAATAGGGGGAAGTGCAACAAGCAAAAATTGAATATAAAAAGATTGGCATATTTATATAGAACGCGATTGTGCTCTACTGTGAGTGAGTTTATATAGTTAATACAATATTAGTACCTTTATGAGAGTTTAAGCTTATATAAAAAGCTTAGAGAACTCGAGTGGATAATATAAAAAGAGAAAACAGAAATGCTTCTGCAGTAATGCTAGTAGAACAGAGGCGGCAACTAGCTCTACAAGCAGATGATAGTTTAGTTTCTATTATATAATAAACAAGCATAATATGGCTTTAAAAAAAACAACACAAATTTAATTTAGCTACATTAACTGTGCCAATTTAACTATTATTAAGAGCAAATTTTCTCTCCTATTCTCTCTCACTTAGATACTACTTTAGCCAAATTGCAATAACTTCAAATTCGTCCTCGTCTTTTGAAGTTTTCTAGATATGTTAATGAATACATTGCCTAGGCATAAAATCAATGCTAACCGTTGATCAGGTTAGACAACTCCTTCTAGCATATTTCACAGAAGCAAATTTCAACTTATCTTTGTTTTAACTTTAAAGGTTAAGTCATATGTGTTTTTAATATATGTACCCATACCTGTAAGCCCATAAACAAGCACACACACAGATAGACACCCACCCATATGGCAGGCGTCATGAGGGCTCATTTAATTAATTGCAATTGTTGAAAAGTGGTTCACGTCAGCCCCAAGGATAGACAAGCCGTCAGATAGGCATCAGAGCAGCCGGAAGGCAGCGCCAACAATGGATGCTTGTCAAATTCATGTAAAATGCCGTGCACGCTTATTAATTAGATGTATGCCACATAAATTGCGCATACGACATGTAAACCAACAAACTTTGAGGCGCAGTTGAGCAACAGGAAATGTGGCGAAAACTTTTAGCACGTTTCCTGCGTCTGACAAATTGCCAAAAACATACAAAATACAAAAAAGCCATTTGAGAGTTACAAGCTGTCAATTAATAGTCGTGTCTGGCCAAGTTAACGAGCACTTGCGAAAAGCCGCAATCCCCAGCCGAGTGCGACCCAGCTATAAAGTTTTTCCCGTTGCTGATCCTTGAGTCAGTTAATTTTGTTATGGCGCTTTTTAACGCTCACAGCATAATACAATAAATCGATTAGAGGCCAAGCCGGCAGCAGGGAAGACGACTCACACGCTGGAGTGGCTCTTGCCGTGTCTGGTGACGCATGGCCAAGTGGCAGCAGCATCGTTATCGGCACCAGCGCGCACAGACGCGGTGGCAGCTTAGTTGCGCCCCACCGACCATGCTGCCTCCAAATGATATACGAGCACTTCGAACGTCAGATAGCCACATTGAGATTTCTGGCTAAAATGCTGCAGCTTCTTCGAAAATCGCTCGGCTTCGCCACAGTTTTGACCATCGCACAGTTTTAATTAATTTCAATTGTTGGCCACCACAGAATTGGCTTCCCTCAGCTTGCTATTAAAATACAATTTCCGAAGTTCGCACAAATTAAAAAATGTAAAACAAAAACTGCGCTACTTCCTTTTGAGCACAAACAAATTTGACGGAGACCACGTTTATGCTTGAGCTAATTGAATTTTTAGCATATTTAATGAGACCCAGGCGGAGGGCCTCATATAATAGGCACCGCATTAATAATACATGATAATATGCCGAGATCAAAGATAATATTAACATTCATTTATATGCCAAAATGTCGATTAATGGCGTGTTGAGCAATTTGCTGTATAATTTGTTACAGTTGGTCAGGCGCCATTTTTGCGGTCGCCTATTCAATTATTTATGAATGCCAAATTTTGTCTTCTTAACAGGTAAAAGGAAAATCCCTAGCAGGCTCTAAGGTCCCTCGTGCAACATAATTCTATGTGAATAAGCTAAAAATCCAGCCAAGGAGTGCCAAAAAACTAGCAACGATTTTAGTTTAGCCAACAAAAATTGAGATCAACAACTTATACAGCTGTGATTTGCATTAAGTATATAAATTGAAATATATTTATATAATTAACTTTGAGCTTTACTTTACTAATCAATCAGCCATTTACATGGCAATACTACTACCTACCTACGACGTGGAATACATCTTTCGGGTTATGCGGCGCAGTCTCACACCAACAGAATTCAAATCACAAAAGAAAATGGACAGGAATTGGCTAGTTCACGAGGAACTCAGGGTTCAAGCAATTGCTACTTTCGCGTAACTGATTGTGCGATGCAGTTCCTGTTAGGCGAATAGACTGGCAGCGCATTCAAACTACTGCGAATTCCCACAATGAACTAACAACAACAGACGAGAGCTGTAAAGACTACACCCTGTGTACCGCAGAGTATCGGACTATAGAAATAGGCAGATTAGCTCACATTCCGACTAACTAACATTTAAAACTTTAAGCTGCAACACATCAAAATAAAGATACAAATAAAAATCAATCTGTCATGTCAAACTATTTCTATTAATTTATAAATTGTATCAACTATTTTTTTAAATTGTCAATATTTAATTATGGATTTATCCAAAAACTAAAAGCATTTTTATCAAATTTTAACACTTACTATATAAAAAGTATTTGAATAAATAAAATTTAGTTGTGCTATTAATTGCTTTTATTTAAACTGGAAAAGCACGTCAAGTGCGTAATTTGGAAAAGTTTTTTGGACGAATAAACTCAACTTTGCGCTTAAAAAACTTTGAAATTATTTTTAGTTTAAGCAAAAGCTTGTGAAATGTTAGCTAATTAATTTTTGATTAATTAATTATATATTTTGTTCTTCAAGCCAAATAAATACTTGGATAAATTCACGCTATTTGTGACTTTCATTTTTTTGCGTGAATAATTTATTTTGTTCCCTTTACGGCCACTTGATGGGATCAAAACGCGTGTGCCTTGGGGCAATTTAGAATTTTCGGTCATGGTACCGGCTGCTGCAGCGCTTGAGAGTCAAACATGCCTGAAGGGTGAGCAAAGCGCAGACCCGGCCAAGCCTGAACTAGAACAAGCGTCTGCTCTCGAAGCCAAAGCCTTTTGAGTGGTCAGTCGCTTGCTCCTTGCACCTAGGTCCTCGCCGCGTGCTCCGTGCGCCTCGCTGGCTGGACCACTTTACTTTGTGCATGAACGTCAAAAGTTTTGTTCGGCCCGAACGCTAACAAAACGGAGGCCAGCAACAATGGAGCCCATAATCACTTAACGAATTGCTGGCCAGTTAACAATTGGAGCTAACTTATGAATGGGCAATGCTGAGAGTGTCCTCTGGCCATGCTAAGGAGTACCCACCTTGAAAGGCTTGCTGTTGTCCAGCTCGGCCATATCCTCGTCGGCAGTGGTGGGCGGTGGTGTGGGCGTATTGGGCGACAATGCCAGCTCCAACGTAATGCTGTCTGCCGCATCATCAGCATCAGCATCCGCATCCCCATAATCATCATCAGCAGCAGCATCAGCGGCAGCAACAGCAACAGCGCCATCATCCACGTCGTCTGCTTCTGCTTCATCGGTATCGGCATCCATTTCCGCAGCACGCATCAAAGTTCTTTGTCGTGGTGTTCCAGTTGTTGTTGTCGTTCTTGATGTGGTCTGTCCCAGAGTTGGGACCGTATTAGCTGACGTCGCCTCAACAATTTCAGCTGTTGTTTTTACTGCACAAATTGCCTGCTTTGCTGCATTAATTTCAGACATTTTTTCTATTTATTCCTGTTTTTCTTTATTCAACTTGATGTATGTCCTTTGTCTCCTTGTTTATGAGGCCCAGTTTACCAGACGAACCGCAGATTTATGGCAAGCGAAACAAATTTAAATGTTAATTGAAATGTTTAGTACTTGTCGAATTTTGTTGCCTACTTTTATGCTTCTCTGTTGTCTGAGTGTGTCTTTTGCGCCACTTTTTAACATCCAAATTGAACTCGCCAATTTTATGAGTTAACTTGAACAAGGAATTTCTTTTATATGTTCATTAAAATTTTTTTTCAATTATAAAATTGTTCGTTAAAAGTTTTTTTAAAATTATTTGTTTTCAATATTTTATTTTTTTTTTCTAATTTTATTGCAACTATTTAAAACTTCACTTAAAACTTCAAAGTTGCTGTCCTAAAATTTACGTGCTTCTTTGTTGTCGAAGTTGCCGTGGCAGCCGCACCCACCAATTGCAACAAAAGCCGGCCGAACTTGGAATAAATTGCCAGACATCTGTGCGTGCTGTATTTAAAGAAGCAGCTCTGTGTCTTTGCTCAGTGTTTGCTGTCATTGCAAAGGCATAAGCAAAAGGCAAAATGCCAAAAAGCAAAGCAGCCGCTGAAGAGCAGACGCAAAAGCACAGCTAACAGTGAGCTTTGAAGAGCGAGCGCTGTTAAGCATCTGCTAACACGCTGTTAGCCGTCTGTAAGCGACAGACGGGGCGTGATTATGGCTGGCCAGACAAACAAAGTTGTGTACATTTGAGTGGCACATAGGCCTACACACCTGGACACAGGTGTGTCTAGCCGGGCACGGCTCAGACCTGTGCAATGTTATTTACTTTTTCGCATTTTTTTTGTTTTTTAGTGGAACATTTTTTGGCAGCGCAACGGGTAAATTGTTGAATTTATACGTAGTATATATAAATTTGGGTTTTGAACTTTTCGATGCACTCTGTGTAAGGGCAAAGTTTATAAATGCAATAAAATAAAGTTGGCAGCTTGCAGGCAAAACTCTGGCCTATGAATGCCGCTTGGCTGCTGCTGCTGGAGAAAAGAGAGAAAAATAATAATAATGAAAAAATTCCCAAACAGGCAGTCGAAAAATGTCACTTTGCCATAATAGGGTCCTTGCAAGCACCGCAACTCTTAACGCATTATTAAAATTGTTGGCACTTTAGGAAAGTTCAACAGAGGTGCGCAGACAAAGGCGCAAATTTATGAGCCAAAACTGTCGATTGAACTGAGTGTGACATTTACATGCTGCCAATAGCTCTCTCCCTTTAACCCTCACCGTCTGTTTCTCTCGCTCTCTCTCCCTCCCGCTCTAACTTTTCAATCTCTCGCTTTCTGTCATGCTAATAGGTTTATTGCTCAACTTAAAATGCATGGGAATTGGCCAAAGCAAATAGCGTAAATTGCATTCGGCGCTTTTACATAAATTGGACTTTGTTATCGTTGAAAGCTGTACACTGACATATGCGCGCATATATTAAACACTTAAGCCGAAAATACTAAAATATTATAGTGCACGCCGCGTGTAGTGCGAATGCATTAATTGTCACTCTGTCAATGCGACGCACGCAGCACGGAAATTGCACGAAACTTACAACGATTTCCAACTGATTGACAATCGAGATGCCTACGTGATCCTCATGCTAGTCACGCAAACACCGAAGTAAGTTTTCAATTTAATTTCATCATCACTTTTGTTGTGCAGATTTCGTGCTGCATAAAATGCAATACAAAACCTGTTAAATGTTGCAGAAAAAAGCAAGGAAAAAGAGAGAAAGAATCTATATATATATATATATATATATATATATATATATATATATATATAATACTTAAATCAATCTTTGAGTAAACGTTATTTATTTATTTCTGTTTTTTAATTTTATGAAAATAATAATATATTTATATTGTTAATAATCAAAGTAAATATATTTAATACGCTTCAAATGATCATTTAATATTAATATAATATATTCATTATAAAAATAAAAGTATAAAAATAAGATACTGTTTTGAACAACAAAATGACGAAATCTGTTTTATTATTGAAAGATATACTAACTTACAATTTAAAAAAGAAATATTTATAAAAACTTTAAAATAATCGAATATAAAAAGGAAATGAATATTTTTTTATAATGAGAATTATCTATAAACATTGTTTTTATTTTATTCTATATATAATATATATATATCTTAAAAATAACAATTTACATTTTATATATATACATAGAAATATTTATTTGCTAATTCAAAATTTATTTGATTTACTAAATTATTTTTTATTTTATTAAAATATTTTCTTAGCTTGTATTTCAAATATTTAAAGTAAAACAAAATTATTTATTTTTAATAATTTAAGTTATCTTATATATCATATTTTATTAATCATTAGCCCTTTATTATAATGATAATTATATATATAATTTAATTTTTACAAATTACAAACATAATTATTTAATTTGATTATCTCTAAAAATTTCTAATAATTTATTCAATTAGCTGACGGCAATCGTTAAACATCAAAATTTGGTGAGCTTGCTATATGTCCAATATATAAAAGAAAATATTCGAAAATATAACAAAAACTGCCCATGATGCACTTCTCGCAAGGATTTTAATACACAGCCATAAAAATCATTGGAGCATCTCTAATTACCACACTGCATGCCCTTGGCAAACAGTGACTGCTAAAAGCGCGCAACGCGCTTTGCATTTTTCCGAAAAACGCTGACCCCGCCATTAACATATTTCGCATATTTCGCACAATTCGCTTATGTGGTAGGTCTGCATGTGTGTGTGTGGGCGCATGTGTGTGTGGCGAAGTAATAATTTCCGCTTTCATTTCCTTGCGACAATCAAACGGCCTAATAATTTATGTGGCAGCTCGCTAATTGTGCATTCGAACGTGGCGCGAACATTTTTGCCTGCCTGTCCACCTGTAATGTACCTGCATATATGGTATGTAAATGAAGGTGAGCCGAGACAGCAGCTGAGCATAACAAATTGAAATTTATGCGTCGCCGCCAGGTGGCAAGCGTAACAGCCACATAACCATCATTAGCAGCAGCGGCAACGACAATGGCAAGGACAACAACAGTCATGTTTAATTATGGTGCACGACCTTCGGCGTCTGTAGTTTGACAGGCATTGGGCAGTTAGATTAATTAACTCACTTGTCATCGCTGACACAGCAGCAGCCGCAACAGCAGCAACGCAGCAACTCAAACTATAGCATACCCTAACAAAAGGTCACATGTAACGCATGTGGCGATGATTAATTGTTTCGGCTGGTCAGGCGGCTCAACTGACCTTCGGTTAGGGTATTCAGGAAACAGGAAGTGTGTAACGGAATTGAGATAGAAGTTGAGATGTCTCAAACGAATCAAATTTATATGCAGAACGCTTGCCTTGTCATATTCATGTAAATTGTCAACGATCTGATGGGCAGACGAAGGCAGCATACTTGTACAGTCGAATCACGATAGCAGCGAGCTGTGGCTAAAGGAACCTCAACTAAACTTTACTAAGTATAATATAATTAAATATATGCATTTAAAGGATACGTTTGACACATCAGTAAAGTTGTCTGGCCTCGCACTAAAATATCGCATATTAAGTTGACAGCATGGACCTTAGTCCTAATATATTATATAGATTAAATACAAGAGTATTAAGTAGTTGGCTTAACAAACTTTACTGCTCTATCAACTTTCATTTTGTTGGGCTCTTGCCAGGCTGGACCTCAACTTTGGCATTCAGCGGGCGCATGTGGATTTGTTGCACTTTTGAGCTTGCCAAACAAACAAAAAAAAGAATGAAATGAAGAGAGAAAAACAAATCGAAATCGAAATCGAGTGCGCATCCTGTGAATACGTAGTATAGTCAAATCCCAACATGAATTCCGCTCCTCAGCTAAGCCAAATATTTGCGCGGCAGCCGCTGTTGATGCTCTGGCATTTAGCTACAATTGAATGAATTCAAATAAAAAAGTGAATGGCGAAGAAAAACACATAAAATTGAAAATGTTTTAATTAAATTGAAATATATACACGCACACACACACACACACACACACTCATTCGAATGCGGGTCGGCTGAACATTATTTGGGACTCACCCGCAGTTGGCCTGAGTTTTCACTTTCGCTTTTATGCCTTTTGTTTGCTTTTGTTTTTGTTATTGTTGTTTGTCTCTTCCTTTTTGAGTTAAACATGCAATTTAATTTAATCGTAATCGCATATTTAATTAGTTGTGCAAATGCGCAGGTATTTACATATTTCAATTTGCCAGCTTTTCCACTCATTAAATTGCTGAATATTTGTTTAAATTCGCACACAGACATATCCTTGGCTGACAGTTGATTGCATTAGGCTTAAATGCATTTAAAAATAGTGTAATGTATCTCAATTAAGTGATTATCACATCTATCTAAAGGGAGTCAACTAGACTAGAAGATACCTTGCAGCAGGGCAACATAACTCAACTTTATATTTTCTTTACCAGCTCCGCCAAGAGAAAAGACACTCAAATTATTATAGCCCATATTTAATATTGATAAATTTAATAAAAATAAATAAAGTGCAGGCGCCTTTATGTATGTTTGTCTCTACATCGATAGGGCACTTGAAAATGCTCGAACATGCACTTTAAAGTGCAATCAAATTGATGCACAGTTTGTCGACACTCGGCCAATTGTGCTTCCTGTAGCAGCGGCGTCATTTGGCTACTTTTTGGCTGATTCAGCGTCTGCTTTGGCTCTGGCTCTAACGCCAGCTCCTCATGGGCATTGGACACTTGGTTTTTCCAGTCCAACAGGCAACGATCCATGCACGTCTTTTCGGTCGTGCCAATCGCTTCTCCACTGATCAGCTTTATCTACGATAAAAAGGCGTTGGTATAAAGGGCAAATCAACTCAACTGATTCGCGCTTACATGCCACATGAGCGCCGGCAGCATCAGAATAAATAAAACGTATAATTTCATATTTGTGTTGGGCTATCACTAAAAAATGTTCGTTACTGACAGTGTCTAGGCAGCCTGCTCCTTTATGAACTCTGCGGCAGCATCTAATGACTTTGGTCACACAAACAAATCAGCGAGGCAAACAAGCACCCAAAGCACACACGGCATACAGTGCATGGCACGCGGATATATGTATGTATGTATGTATGTATGCATGTATGTATGTATGTGCATATGTACAAAAAATACACAAGCAAATGAGGCAATCTAAGCGGTCGTTCTTAATACTGTTGTTGCTGCTGGCTGTCGACTGTTGGCTGTTGGCTGTTGGCTGTTGGTTGTTGGCTGCTGGCTGTTGGTTGTTGGTTGTTGGTGTTGGTTGCTTGGGGCACCAAGTGCATGATTACTACAACGCCCACCGCAGCGTCATATTGCCGCCACAATCGTTGCCTTCGCATATGTGCCACGGGGCGTATTAGTAATGCCCACAGCGGCATCTATTACAAAAACATGCTGTTTCTGTGCAATGCGAAACTTATACACAAGCATACCCACCCACATACACAAGCATACCCACCCACACACACAAGCCCACACACCAACACCCACACACACCCACAAAAAACCCCCGCAGGCACACAAATAAACAAGCTGCTCTTTTCTCATCTTTTTTGGCTAAAAAGGAACAGAAAAATAAAATAAAAATTGTAGAAAATTATGCGCCATGCTACACTAACATTCGATATGTTATTTACTCGACCACGCCCCGCTGTGAACGCCCCCTTCCTCAGCAGCTGCCATCAGCACTGCCAGACACTTAACATTTGTGCCTGATGCTTTGCCATTTGCACACTGATTTCTTCACTTGTTTATGCAGGCATCAAGCTACTCGCATCACATATTTGCTTATTTATAAAATGAAAGGAAAAAATTACTATAATATATACAATGAATGGTTCTAAATAGGCAGCAAGAGTGAGAAGGCTAGACAAGGAATGTCTAAAAATCTAACAATGAATTTAAATCAGGCAAGCAAATACATGCGAAATAAAGAATTTGAAGTGAATACTTGAAAACATTCAAAAAAAATCTTTAATAATACATAAGATATATATCTATATATAAATTTTAAAAATATATATCATAATATAATTTTAAATATTCTTTGGCAGAAATGAAGCATATCTTCCAGTAATTAGAGAATATTTTTGCATTTACAGAAATATTTTTTAATGAAATTACCTTAGGAAACCCAGCTGAAGTTCATTTTTTGTTTTAAAATCACATTTGGTGCCACAGTGCCGCTGTTGCAAATTGAAGCTTCCTTTTAAAATGACACATTCTCGCTTTATCGTGCTTCAAAGCTTGCCCCCAACAGCAGTCAAGCCAAATTATATTTTACATGGGCAGCACTTTCTAAGAATGAAAATAAAATAAGAGTAAAAAAACCATGGAAAATACGCCTACAATGCCGACGCCGCCCAGTGCAAAATAAAAAATGCGCCTTTTAATGAAAATGTGGCCGCACATCAAAGAAGTAAAACGGATTCGCGCCCTAACTCGGCTGGGGTCTCATATTTACATTTGAAATAATTTCTTTTCCCAGCGTTGGCCCAAAGAAATGCGATATGTCAAGGACACGACAACACAACAAGAAGCAGAAGAGCTGGCGCAACGGTAAATTAAAATCATATGCCGCTAAGGTTGTAGGCCTAAAATGCTGGACAAAGCGGCTAAGTTAATTTGTATTGAAAAAAGGAAAATGCAAATCAAATTTTCAGTTAGGCCAGTGGGCGGGAATTTAGGTCAGTTACAGGCTGCAACACAGCTGGCCGTGGAAGTGTGTTAGTAGGGCACAGTTAGGCAGCAGCAGGAGCATACTCTGGCCTGGCCTGGCCTGGCCTGGCATGTTCTGGTAGCGACCTGGCCCCTTTTTCTGTCGGACGTCACACGCAACGTACGCCGTGTGACGTCACAGCTGCGACAGTGTTTTTAATGCAATTAACTGCGGCAGTTGCAAGACAAAGTTACTGCCACTCTCTTTAAAGCTCGTGCTCTTCGAAGTGAGCTCTCTCACGCTCTTTAGCCAGCGCCAGCGCTAGTTTCATACGCCCTGTTGCACATGTTGCGCATACGCATCGTTCGCCCGTGCCCGAAAAATAAATATTGTTTGTAAATTGTTTTCTTTTTGTTTGTTAATATGCATTTATTTAGGTATATTGTTGCTTGGTGTATGCAGTTACTATGTATATTTTATAATTTTAAGTTTTTCTTATCTTTTGTGGTATATTTATTGCTTATTTATATTGTAATTTGCCTTTGATTTGCCTTGCTTGGTTTTTTCTTTTCTGTATATGATTATAAGAGTGTAATTGCATTTGTCGTTTGCATTTATTGTTTAATTTTACTAATATTAAGAGTTTGTTTATTTTTTGTTAAATTCTTTACGTTTTTGTGTGTGTTTGGCTACAATACTCTTTGTGGGGATTCACTTGAAGCAATTTCTAAACCAGGTCGATTTCGAGTTCGCGTTCGAGTTCGAAGTACAATTTGCTTTGTCGTACCCTCAAATAATTGTTACACATAAATACAGTCAGTCTCAATTGGCTTCAACAAATGACATTTTCAATGGCATTAGTCTAAAAACAATTTTATGTGCGCGTCTGTGCTTATACTTATTAAACACCCTATTATCCTCAAAAGTCGCTATGCCAGAACATAACATAATATCTCAAGTAAATTAAAATCAATCAAGAGCAAAGCATTCAATGATAATGATCATGAAAACCAATAACTAAATCAGTAGAAATATTTAATATATTAAATACGAACAAAATATTTATGGAAAATTACAAAAGATAATAAGTTCTTATCAATTCTCCAGCTATAAGAAACAAAATTTCAAAGTCTAACTACTCGAATCATTTATAAAATATAAATATATAAAAAATTAAAAAAAAATATGAAAATTAAGGCATAATTTCATATCTCCAATCATCAATCAAAAATCAACCTTTTACTAAAGCTTGTTCCAGCAGCAAAGAGTTTTCAATTACTCGTTCTAACTACTCAAAAAGTTTATTAATATTTTATCATAAAACCATTTTCGTCCAATTATTCAATAATAATGAACATGATATTCTCCTATAGTTTCTCCTTCGTTTACGCCTCATATGATATATTTAATTGTTTATATAATTATTGTTGCTGTTTATTTTGATCTTTTTTTAAATATTCTGCTCAGTTATTTCAGGTGCCTTCCATATGAGACATGAGCCCACTCTGAAAAAACTTTGTCAGCAAATATTAGATTTGTTTATTTTTACTATGAATTCAGTAGAGTGTCTGCATTGACTCAATATATCCACAGCAAATATCTTGGCCGATTCTGAGCCTGAGAGTTTGTATTTTAAAATTCTATGCTGCCTTTTGTAAATCTATTCATAAGCTTTTGCTTAATTGAAATTTGCCTTAAATTAATCACTTTAAAACCTCGATATTAATAAATTTAATATGAGCAGAATCTGAGATTCCTTTAAGTAAAGTTGAATCGACGTTATTGTGTAGGTGGCACTGAAAGGAGTAAGGAATAAGGAATAAGGACCTTCCAATTGTAAGTGTTCATATGATCTTTGTAATTTGTATGTTTTCCGCTTGGATTTCCACCTTATTTGGCAACTTAAGTATTAATGTTGTGGGATTTGTAAAGGTTTGTAGCTAGCCCAACTCCCTGTGGATGTCAATTCAGATTTATAGCAGCTCGCCTTTAGGAATATACATACATAAACATATATACATTTATATATATACATATATGTATATGTAAAATGTATATTCTACAATTCAAGCTTCTAGATTTCATTTACATTGCAAACAGATTGAAGTTACTAACAGACTATAAATAATAAATGATATATTAAATATATATAATATATGATATTTATTCATGACAATGTTAACAGCATTGAAAAAAGTAATCAAATATTTTTAAAATTCCCACTAGCTAAACTTACTTTATTAATGGAAGTTTTCCCACTCCTATATCAAGCGAAATATATATTACTTTCAGAGTTGCTCAGAATCGGATAGAATTTTAAAATCTGGTCTAAGTAAAAAGGCTTCTTTAACTGTGAGAAATTGCTGTCAACTGTCAATGCATTATCATCTTTTAAATTGTTTGTAGAGTATAGATTTCAAGAGGACTACTGAATTCATGTTTAAACTTTACAATCTTTAAATTATGTCCAAAAGTTTGCAGGCGAAACTTTGCAGACTTTCAGCATGTTGGCTTTACAACTTTTCGATATTTATGATTTTATGCTAGTACATGTAATATTTCGTTAACTTTCATTTGCTCTTAAATTCTATGAAGCATGTCTGAAGATTTCGTTACGTTTCAAGATTTCGATTTTTGTATTTTGTTCATTTGGCATTTCGCAGCTCCTAAGTATATGCTACAAATACGTGTATGTTAACCCAATGTTGCAGGACTGATTCTTCGGTTCGTTTGCATTTTGATTTGCGTGAAACAACGTTTGATAAAAACTGCCTTAATTTGGCTACTCCTTGGCAGCCAGGCTTCATCTAAGGCTGCCCAAAATGGGCAGTCAGATATCACCATTACCGTTCGAATTGGCATTGACCTCGTTGATTTCGGCCGACGCCTCGGCGGCGCTGCATGTGGTTGTGGCCTCGGCAACGGTTATGGTAATGGTGGTATTCTGATTGTCGCACTGCACCACCTCAATGGTACGCGTGTTGCTGGCATTTGTTGTGGTCACCTGGCCGCTCTCCGCCTCGTTCAGCTGCCGCCCAATCTCGCGATCAATGGCCTCCGCATCTTCCGGATAGCGTTCCGAGCAGAAAATGGCGCCAGCCTTCAGCAGTTTCAACAAGTTCAGGCGATCCTCAGCATTGCGTTTGGCACAAAGCGGTCTAAGAAAAAGGGGAAGAGAGACATGGCAGATATATATAAAAATATAGATATAATAAGAATAAATAAAATATAATAAGTCTGACATAAGTCCATTGAACTCTTAAGTAACTGTTGCTTACCTGCCCGCATCCTTGAGCTGCTCCATAAATTCCTTGCCAGTTATATCCACCAACGAGTTGGGATCCATGTTGGACAGCGAGTCCAAGTCAGCATCGTTCATGACCGAGACGTTGCACAAGTTATTCTGCAGCTGGCCAACCAGCTGGCGAATACGCGCCGATTCCGAGTTGTTGGCATCCGTGGTATCGCCGCTCTCCGGATTGCCAGTGATGCTGCCGTTGGCCGTGGCATTCGGCGTGGTTATAGTCACGTAATGAGTGGGCTATAAAGCAAATGAGAAACACAACAGTTGAAACACGAGTACGTGACTCGAAATGTCGCAAAGTGAAAACAATTAAATAGATTTTATTAAGCCACTTCTGAAATTCAATTGTGTCTTCAGGCGTACTTTTTGAAGTCTATAAAAACTAAAATTATTTTCTACTGGACTATGCAATCAAGAAATTGTTATTTATTTAATAAAAGTTTGAACTTAAATGCTTAAAGAGATCTTTCAATTGTATTTCAAAGCAGTATTGAGCATCTGGAATTTCATCTTCAGTAGGTAAATAAAAATTCAATGTAAATTTAAATAATTTAATTTAAATAATAGGCAGATGAACGTTCGCATTCAACTCAATTTGTTTATTTGTTCTACTCACATCGATCCAATGCTCGCCGGGAAACACAGCCACCAACTCAGTGTTCTCATCGAGTGTACGAAAATATTCCTCATCATCGATTTCGGTGCCATCGGAGTCCAAGTGGATGGTTGGCTGTTGTTCGCACTTGTCAAATTTCTCGGCCACCTTGGTGCGTATCTCCTCTAGGCTTGCGGCGCAGACGGCTTTTTTAATGTTGCGCGTGACGTCCTTGACCTGACAGTAGGCAGCGGAGAGCAGGCAGCAGGCAGCAGGGAATGGAACAAGGATAAAGGGAATAAACCGTTACACGTTTGCAGTCACATATGGAGAACGATAAACATTGAATGAATAATAAATTAATACTAAGACAAAAAAAAAAACAACAACAACAAGTGCGACATGGCCAATATAAAATATTAAAGCCGGGCACTCGACAGTAACAGCACCCAGAAACATTTTGTTCTTTTTGTTTTTTAGGTCTGGCTCTCGCTTAATCATGTTGGCATTAGGCAGCGCGTGTAGATGAAAATGTTTTTCTTGTTTTTGCCCGTGTCTCTTTGGCCCACTTGCCATGCAGATGCCGACGGATACGTGAACTCATTACCACGGTCTCAAAGTTACCCAACATTTGGCCATCAACTGGGTGTACAACACACATGCACACAACTGCCTAACAGCTTAGCAACTTGTGAATGTGGGCCTAAATCGTTGGGGTTATAATAACTGCGTCACGACCTGGACAACCCGCATAGATTAAAGTCTTAGCCCAACAGCTGACATTCATGTTAAGCTCAACTGAATAGACTCAATATACGTTTATATATATATATCAATGCAAATTTGACAGACGGTTGAGTATGCTCATTAGACATTAAGCTGATTTAATGCCCTGTATAAGAGGCAAAAACAAAAAGTTGTCAGAGCTGAAAGCACTTAAATCTGCATTGTTGAATATTTTATATATGATTCATGATACTCTAATATTAATAAATGCAATTTATATACAGTTAAACAGCGGCTTACAGTTGGTGATATATCATTAAATTTATCTTAAAGTAAACTAATTCTATATATTTCTTTTTATTATTTATTTATTTAAACTAAACTCTATATAATTTCGAGGAAAATATTGCCATTGAGACAATATTTAACTGATTTAAATATCCGTAAAGAAAATATAAAATTTGTTTGCCAACAATCTAACCCGAAAAAATCCCTAACAATCATTCCCAACTTAACACATTTTATTTACTTTCTGTGCTTTGCGATCATCTTCTTCACATTTCTAAACAATCCCAGATGAGTGCTCTTATAAAAATCAATAGATATATATAATATACTTATGATATATTGTTAGTGCCGCTAAAACTTTGCTTGAGCTTAATCATTATAAGTCGCTTTTCATGCTCGAGCAGAAAACTTGACAAGCGCCAAGCTTTGGGAAACAAAAGTTTTCATGTATGTTTAGGCTCTGCTGAACCACACTCTGACTGGGTTCATTTCATATTTTTATTTAGAAACTTTGTAAGCAAACTTTTGACACTTAAAATCAACAATTCAGTGACCGATAAAAGTGCTTACAAATCATAAATAAATAAAAAACATTTGAACCGTAGTTTGGCCATGAGATTTCGCCATTTGTCTATTTCTTTGAAAAGTATAATTTAGGCTGGTGTAGAGCACAGATAATCAATTTTCAGCCTCTACTAACTAAATCAACTTAATTAGGCTGTAGGTTGACCGAAATGTAATTAACTCTTAACACCAATGGCTGTCATCAAATTCGCATCAGTCAGTGCCACAGCAGCAAATGAAGCCGCCATTAGTCGCATTTTCGAGTAATTTAGAAACCAAATACCCAGTAATTATGCCCCAGAGGCACTCACACACACACATACACAATAACAAATCGAAAAGCCAGAGCAAAAAAGGCGAATATAACAGGTAAAAGAAATATTACGCATACGTCACGTTGCCCTGTCAGCTGTCGACTGCTGGCGGCTCTAATTGAGATTTATGGCAAGCGCTCGCCTAATAAATAAGTAAATAGACAAAATGCAAAATTTATTCAAGCGCGAGATGTTTTGTAAATAAGCTTAACCCAGATTTCCTACGCCTTTTTGCGCTCAACTTTTTCAAAGTTGCCAAAGTGAATGATTAAAGCCTTTGAAAGTCCTGACTTAAATAAAGTTGAAATGGAATGTTGGAAGACGCCTGCTTTGTAGATATATTGTATGCACCTATATGTATATTCATGTTTTTCTTTATTTTTTTCGGTAGTTTCTTGTTGCAGCTTGCATACGCGTAAAACTTGAGTACAGTTTGACATGCACTCGTCTGCTTGCCGCACAAATATTTGTCGTGTTTGCTAACAAGTTATGCCTGTCAGCAGTTTAATGCAGCATACTTTTGAGCGCATGCCAGAAATACATGCCACAAGAAGCGGCACAAGCGCGAGCAGAAGGCATACGGCACAAGGACATTCATCTGCTGCCTGGCTCTATTAAACTTTCATGTTATGTTAAATGGCGCCTGAGCGTTAAGGTTAAACTGAACATAAATTAGATGTGGCCGAGTAGAACAGAGAGAGAGAGAGAGAGCAAGAGAGTGAGAGAGGCAGGAAGGGAGTGAGAACGATATGCAACAGCATCGAAGGCGGCCTCACGGCTGCTCGCCAAATTTATCACTCAAACTGGCAACATGCAACGTGCTGCTGCAAGGCGCGCCTTCATAAATAATGGAGCAGGGCGTGCGAAATGAAATTGAAGTTGAGTTTGCATTACAACATTTTTATTACAATTACCCACAGCATACAGTATACAGCATGCAGTATGCAGCATACGACCATCCCACAAAGAGAAAAATGATTAAAGAAGAAGAAAATGTGGAATTTCGCCTTCAGCGCCCATTAGCTGAAACAGTAAACTCGAGTGCAAGACTCAAAGGACTGCGCCCAGCTGATAAATTGCCTGGAAATTGTCTGGCTTCAGCATTGAAAACTTTCCCAGCCGCAGTTGCAGCCAACTTGTGCCAAATATTAATTATATTAAGCCCAAAACTTGCCAACAATCAAAACTTGCACCAACTATTGAAGCGCTCTTTTCAGGGCTCGTCATACAAAGAATTAAAGAGATATCATTTTTATTCCCCCTTCCCTATGCCCTGTAGGCAAGAATGAAAGCTAGTGGCTATGTCAGACTAAAGGAGTCTTTTGCCTTTCATAAGGCTGCATAATTATTGATTGGGCTTATCTATAATAGCCCTGATGCATATATAGGTTGCAAGATTCTCAACACACTAAATCTTAAATTCTGTGGAAGTTTAGAAATGGGTGATGTAATACTAATGATAGTTGCCGACAACTTAATATTGTTATGTAACTATTTACAGAATTTTATGTATAGTTTATCCATAAATAAGTATTTTCATTAATCTGTAAACGTGACTAACACACGTTCATTTAGCATCACTCAGCTTCAAGCTGTAACTCATCAAATCAAATATAATCGATAGTATCTACTTTTGTTATTATTATTATTGAATATAAAAGGCTTTATCATTTAATCAGAAATAAAAAGGAGCGATAAATCCAGATTTAAATTCAAATAAAATAATGAAAAGCATTTGGAAAAAAATCAATTAATTAATTCAATTAATAATGCTTGATAATATTGATAAAAATAACTTTTTCTAAGCTACACTTTTTTAGTTTGCTCTAACATATTCTCAAATATTTATTATACAGGGTACTTCGCAGTCGAGCAGCCTAACATAATACGTCCTGCCGACTAACTTTTGTCTGATTGCGGCAAGCCCCACACATTTGTTGGCCAATTCAATGTGCTTTTCACAGATTTTCACATTTTCAATTACGTTAAATGCATTTCATACAATAAAAAACCAAACTTGAATTCATTTTAAAAAAATTATTTTATTTGCTGGTAGCTCAAACTGGTTCAATTTATTGCACAAAATAATGATAAATATTGTTGAAATTGTGGCTGCGCTGAATTTAAGCCACTTGCAACACATTTTCAGCCTAAAACCCCAAACATGTCAAACATTCAGTTTATATGCGTGATGAAAATTCGGTAAAATAACTTAACAGCTTAACATGCGCTAAAAAAATGTTTATAGTGCTGAATAGTTTGGAATGGATACACTATAGTAACATAACTTGAATAAGTTTTAAAATACCTTAAACAAAAAAATTTGTAGAAGCCAAAAAGCTAAGCTTTAATGCTATGCAATTTCAGTCATTTATCCAATAAGCCTAAGTCTGTAACCATTCTTGCATATTCCTCTTAAATCTGCTAATAAAATTCTACAATATGTATCCATATATAGACATTACACCCTGAGCATAACACTTAAAAATCTCTAGTGAAAAGTATCCGGTCAGCGAATACCACACAGCTGCTACAAAACTCCTAGCTCTAAGTAAATAGTTGTTGTCTATATACATATATATCTATATACACACATGATATATATATATGCATACATATGATATATAAGCCTCAAGGAATGAGGGAAGCTATTCAAAGCAATCAGAATCAAAACTGAATGATTCTTATTGCTAAAATGTGGTCATTTAATTGGATCAATTTTAATAGATTTCATCCAAAAGGATCATTTTAACAAAAAAGTTCCAAGATTAAGGTTTTAAGTCCCTATTGCTAGATCAATTTATTGCTTCACACGAACAATCGAATCCTCAGACAGACTAAATGACAGTGTTAAATCAAATAAGCTGTTGTTCCACATACCAAAACATTCTTTACAGAATGATAAACTTATCACATTTTTCTTTTCGGTGTACAAATTGAAATTGGAAGCGATCAAAAATCTCAGCTAAATCAGCTGTCGGCACAGCTCAACTATCGTGTAATCTTCAAAGAGCCTGCTGCGTCCTCTCAGCCACAGGACAGTCAACACGTAACACATATCCTGTCCACTCCTTAGCGCATCTGTCAAAATGGCGTCTGCGGCTACGTGACTGCGTCTCGATTGTGCCACCTGCACACGAGTGCCACTTGAGCCTGAAAGCAGCGGTAGGCAGGTGGGTGACTGAATACAGCCACAAGTTGGATAGTAAATATTTGATAGGCCTAGAACGCAGATTTGAAAGCCGCTGGGGAAATTAGGCGCCAAGTTTAAATTGCTGCTTGAACTATGGCTGCAAATTATGTAAATTATGAAATATATTATTTATGCGGCTGCCGGCTGTCACTGCGGCAGTAGGCGTTCCAAAAGGGGCGTGGGCGTGGGCGTGGTCGTGGCAGTTACTAATTACACAGACATGTCAGTTGCGAAACTTTTTTAATAGCATTTTGCACGCTTGTCTGCGTATTTTGGCAGCTTTTAAGCCGATTTATTCGTGCCGGAATATTAAATTAATTATAATATGCAGCGACATTTTAATGGAAGCGTTACACACACTGACAAATCCTGTAATTTGTAAAATACTTGTGTTGTTAAACCACTGATAAAAGGATCTCGGTGCAGAGCGACCGCAGTCAATTTACAGAGCATTTGCCAAAAGAATGAAAGGATGTGAAAGAAAATTTCTTTCGTTGGTTTTGCTTTGGTTTAAGCCAGGCTCTGTCCAAGACAAATACAATGCAAGCGTCCCTTAAACGGCTGTAAGCTATTTAGACAGCGACTAAACAAATTAGTTGACAACAAAGGCAATTGTTGGCAAACAAACAAATACCAAAGACAAACAATTCCCAAGCGCTCAAAACTCAAAAAAGCAAAAATAAACGAAACAAAACACAAAAAGGCACAACAAAAGCAAATCCCCCAAATGCATGTCAAGTATTTTGCGTTTGCAAAGTCAGACGAATTACTGTGCACTCTCTTTTGTTTTCGTTCTCTCCAGCTCTTGTTTTGTTGTGCTCTCGCAAGTAAACAAAAGTTAACAGCGTCATCTGCGTCAGAGCTTTTGCTCTCTTGCTGCACGCTCTTCACGCCTCGCTCACAGCAACTTTAAGTTCACCCAGTTTTTTTATGTGGGAATTTTTAAATAGCGCAAATGCGAAACACAGCACGCGGTTATAAACGATAACAGCTACAGCTACAGCTACGGCAGCAACAACAACTGCGACGCCCAAAAAAGGGCATGGCACTGCACTGTGGTCTGCCTTGCTCAAGCCATTTGCTAAAATCCAAACAACAAGCAAACTTACTTTGAATGGCTTTCTGGAGTCAGTGCCATTTGTTGTTATTTCCGTGGCATTTGGCATTTTGATTCAATTCAGTTGTTATATTTGTGGTTTTATTTAAGAATTTCGAAAATTGTTTTATTTATGTCGATATTTACACATTTGCAACACTTCACAGCATTTGTTTTAATTTATACAGCATTAATTATTTACTATTTGCTAAATTTACACACCGCACAATTCAATATACTGACAACAATTATTACTTTGTGCAAACTGCGCTCAAAATGTTTTTTGTTCAGCTTTTCATTTATAATTCAAGCGCAGCCCAAGCTTTACGTGCAGCTAGCAGAAACGCGAGCGACCGCCGGTTTCAACTGAACTCTCTTCAACTCCGACACTGGCTTTTATAGCCTCACAGCAAAAGAGAACAAAAAACAGCCAATGACAGAGGACAGTGCTGCCACCCTGTAAGCGGGTAAATTCAGTTCTAGCTTATAACTTTAATAAAACTCTCAGTTGAATGAAACAAAAACTACACTTTAATAGTCGTTAACCTTATTATATCTGTTTGAAGCTTTTACGTATTACATTTGCCACAATTATTTAAGTCTAGCTCAGAATTTGCAGCTAAATTAGCTTAATATGGCCAGAAAAGTTAGCAGGACTCAGCACTGTTATGGGCATTAAAAGCGAACGGAGAACAAAACAAATAAGAGCTTACAAAAGAGAGCGTAAATTGTAAATCTGTCTTGCTCTTTGGCGAATCCTTTAACAGTCTACTGTTAACTGGAACAGGTGCTCTTTGAAACTTGCTAGAAATTTGGCGACAGAATTTATGATAAACTTTAAGCAAAATCCTATATAAACTAGCTACTAAGTTATATTGATATAGATCAGCTATTCAAAGTGCCAACAAACTTGATGGCAGTCAATATCCTTGGGGGGAACTCATTGCCTGAACTTCCTGCCCGAGCTAAGTTAAACAACAGTTAAGCAACGCTTAACTTAGCCTTAACTGGCCAACACCCATTTGAATCTATAATGTTAACAACTGTGCCTGCGTATGTGTGTGAATCAAAAGTAAACTTTTTGACAAATAGCCAAAAGGCATGAATGCGATGCCCAGCCCATGTCCTGGCCCCATACCCAGCCGGAAGGTAGCCAGTTGGTTGAGCAGTCTTATCGTTATTGTGCCCCATTGGATGCGAACTGTTTGCCTTTGCCCCGTTTGCTGTCATTGCACTTGCAACAGCAGCAGCAGCGGCAGTGGCAGCAGTGGGTGGTGGGCGTTAACTATTTTGAGCTCAAGTGACTTGAAATGACATACAAGGACACTGCCTTATAGGTGTTTCCAGTTGCCAGTTGCCAGTTGCCAGTTGCCGAGTCACGTGCGTGCCAGTGCATTGACCCACTAAGCCAGCAAACTTGGCCAAAACGGCATTCTGAATAGCCTCAAAGTCGCAGCAGCTACTCAAAGTTAAGGTATTCCTTTTGAAGGAAATGTAAAAAATAAAGAATGTCAACACTTTTTCGTCCAAGCTGTGAATTTTTAATACGTAAACAAAGCTCGAGTCGCACCCTTTTCTGTTGACCATATAAATAGATAACCCTAGAAGGCTGAGCAACGGATTTCATTTGTATATTCCTTGATTTGTTTATTTTCCTGTGCTAATTGATAATCAACAAGTCTGACTGTGGGAATGGAAGCGGATGGATACTAAATACCCTGTAATTAAATTCAATTGAAAACGGGGTGGTATTTATAGTTGATATACCTCTATAGGTGTTAATATTCTGAGAAGTTTTCGTATATTATAGCTATTATCATTATCAATGACATAGACGAGTCTTATATTATGAAAGCCATCCACGTTGCAAATCATATTCGAATACACTCTGCCAAGTCTGTGTGTACGGAGTAGAAATTCTAAAAGGCAGCGGCCCACTCTAAACACCCATGTTCCCATGCTCGCTGACTGGCCATAACTTTTGTGTTTACACAAAGGGCGCACAAGCGAAAACAAGGTTAATCAGCAATTTGATAAGCCTGGCCCGCCATAAAAGATGCAATTAAGCAGGAAACTTAAGCCGTATTTAGCTAGCCTGCTAAATAACAGCGCACTGGACACTAACATTTGAGAGAATTGCCCCTCACTGTTAATGAGCTAGCTGGTCTGTTAGCTAACATTGATGTGAAGCTTTTCGCCCGCCTCTGTGGCACTTCACTTTGACATTCGCTGGAAACTTCATGAATATGTTAAAATTTACGCAAATGTTGTGAAAGTGAGGCTGAGTTGGGCGTGGCTGTTGGTGGATCTAAATAGGAATTTAAAAGCAGACGTTGCCAAGTTTTGGGCCATAACATTTATCAAGGCGCCGTTTTGGGTAATGGGAGGAAGGCCCATTGCATGGGTATGGATGAGCGAGTCACGTAGGCCACGACCCCACGTTCATTGAACTTAACGCAGACAGTTTAGGATTAAAAACATAAACATACAATTTATTCTTCTTTTCTTCATTCATTTAAATATATTTATATGTATATATTAAATCTCTAGCTTTTACTAGTAATTCTCCAGTATTAGCTTTGGCACCACATTCATGCTAGTCAGTTCCTGGAATAACAGCTTACAGGCATACGGCATCGATATCTTAGAGACATGGGCCGACGACTGACAGAAGTGACACCATGAGCAGTAGGCCAATCTGCCACAGGTGCGGCAAACGTCCACCTCAAAGGCGTCGGATGATATCATTAATCGTTCCATTATTAACATACTCGCTCCATAAGATATAAGACAATCACGCTCCATTTCACCCAGACGCAGGCCACCCTCGCGACTGCGGCCCTGGGTGGGCTGGCGTGTGAGCACAGCCTTGGGACCACGTGCTCTGGCATGCATCTTGTCCTGCACCATATGCTTCAGTTTCTGATAGTATACAGGGCCCGAGTAAATGTATGCCTCCAATGGTCCACCCGTTATGCCTGAGTAGAAAAAGTCTTTGCCCATATAGTTAAAGCCATGCCGCACCAGCTCTGCCTGCACATCAACTGCTTTGGAACCGCCAAAGGCTGTGCCGTAGTGGAATTTACCCTCCAAGACGCCAGCCTTACCGCCCAACAACTCCAAGGTCTTGCCCACTGTCATGCGGGAAGGGAATCCGTGCGGATTCATGATCATGTCTGGGCATATGCCAAAGTCATTAAACGGCATGTCCTCCTGATCCACAATGAGACCCGTTACGCCCTTCTGTCCATGCCGCGAGCTGAACTTATCGCCAATCTCGGGTATGCGTGTCTGCCGCAACAAAATCTTGATGAGAAAATCTTCCTCGGCATTGGCCGAGACCATCACCCGCTCAATATAACTGGGCTCGGGTCCCTTGTAGCTTATGGGGACAGCGGTATAGGGAACCTGCGATTGACCTACAATAGAAGAGAATGATCAATCAGTTGTATATATCTTTATATATACTGACACCAACCTTCAAGTGGGTTAATGGATGTCACCGCAGGCATTTCCTTGTTAATCATGATTTGTTTGTTTTGCACCTGTTCACCGGGTGCCACAATGCCATCCGTGTCCAGCACATCGTGCTTGAAAATCACCTTATTAGTTAGAGCATCCTTCACAGGACCCATAATCCTATCAAAGGTCTGATTTGCATAACGCTTTACAGTGCATTTCGAATTCTTGTAGACCAGACAACGCCCATAACCTCGATCAATTGAGGCCTTGTTTAGGATAAGTGCATCTTCAATATCATAGCCTGAGTAGCTCATGACAGCCACCGTGGCGTTCTGGCCAGCGGGCAACTTATCAAAGTTGGTCAGCTCAATGGTGCGTGACTTGACCATTGGGGCTTGCGGATAGACCAAGTTGTACATGAGAGAATCGATGCGATTCTTTTGGTTGTAGCCAATCATGCCCATTGCTTGTTTGCCCATGGCACATTGATAGGTATTACGTGGACTCTGATTGTGATGTGGATACGGCACCAGGCCAGCACAGACGCCCAGCAATGTAAACGGTTCAATTTCCAGATGCGTTGTGTGTGGCTCAATGTACTCCTCGTTCCATGCAATAAATGAATCATTCTCCTCATTCACATCCAAGTACTCAATCAATCCGTCATGCAAAAAGTCATCAAATTTACGCACGCCCCGCAACAGTTCATCCAAATGACGCTGCAGCACAAGTGGACGCGATTTCTCCACTATGATATATGGACGGCACAACCGTCCGCCGTCCGTGTGAATGAAGATGCAGCGCTGTGTGTATGACGTGTGTATGGAGACGAAACTGCCCATGCGTCCCTTGCGACGCATGTAGCGCAGGTTGTGCACCAGATGCCGTTGATTAATGGTCAAACCAAGCACATTGCCATTGATGAAAACAAGGAAAACGTGTGGATTATTGATTGGATTGCCGCTGACCTCACGTATGTCCTCGACGCCAGCATTGTAGGCCAACGTCATGACTGGCCGTTCATCCACTTCGGTCGTTATGTGCGTCATTAGTGCCAAATTCTTAACTAGACCACAAGCTTCACCCTCGGGCGTATCTGAGGGACATAGCATGCCCCATTGACTGGGCTGCAGTGAACGTGGTCCGGACACCTTGCGCGTCTTCTCAAACTGTGAGTTCACTCGTGTCATCATACCCAGCGCCGAGATGTAGCTGAGCCGCGACAGCACCTGGGTAACACCAGCGCGCTCCATTTTAAAACGTTTAATTGTCCAATTGCCAGAACTGATGGCAGACTCGAGGCCAACGGTTATCTGTGCCGCTCTCATGTGCTTGACCACATCGAACTGTGCCGCCTTCACCTTAGGTATATTCTTGTCGGCTATCATCTTAAGTTCCCAATTCATACGCTTGAATAGATCCTCAAACATCAGCGATATCAAGGAACCAGCCAACTCCAATCGCTTATTGCCATAGTAGTCACGATCATCGAATAGCGTCTTGTCCAGCTCTGCGGCCATCACGCGTCGCACCATTAACGATACATAAATCGCCTTCATTTGAAAGTTGAAATTGTCGACAGGCACATGGGCCAGTATGGTGGTCAAAAGTAGCTCGCGGGCCTCCTCTGAGGGTGATTTAGTTGTGGCGCTTTGAAAACGCTTCACCACCAACTTGGACCCTGTGATAAGATATGTAAAAGGAAATGATGAACATGTGTTTTAAGTATTCACGAATCGAAACTCACCCATGTAGTCCAGGGCGCGCTGCTGTGTGAAGACTTTCAGATTGAACGCCTCCAAGAGAGAGGCACCAAAGCGATTCTGGGAACGCGCATCTAGACCAATGTGAGCCATTATCTCCTGGTCGGACACGACGCCCAGAGCCTTGAATATTACCACAATGGGTATGTCGTCCGTCATTGAGTTGTGTTTCAGATAGTATTTGCCATGCTTGCTCAGCACCAACGTACGCGACTTCTTCTCGTGCGTCGACGATGTGACCTGACACTGAACGACCCCATTAAAGTCTTCTGTCAGCATTTTGTTCCATGACAGCTGCTCCTGTATAAGAATAACTTTCTCTTGGCCACGCACTACGAAATAACCACCCGGATCAAGCGGGCACTCGTTCAGCTTGGATAGCTCGAATTCGGATTTGCCTGTCAGCACACAATTCGAGCATCTTAACATTAAGGGCATGCGTCCAATGAGTAAATTGTTGCGCTTAATACGTTGGGTGCCCCGCGTATACTCAATGTCCACGCTGATGGGAGCTGAGTAGGTGGTGTCTCGCAGCCGGCACTCGTGCGGCGTGGTCGCCTTGGTTATGTTAAAGCCATCGTCAATGTCAGGCTTGCCCACGCGTACGTCCAAATACTTGAGATAGAAAAGCGGATCTGCGCCACTGGTTACAATTTCATTGGCACGCACAATTTTCTTGATATCCACATTGATGAAATGATTAAACGAATCGATGTGCTGTTTGACAAGTCCTTTGACTTGCAAGAAAGCCGGCACCAGTTTCCACTTCTCCTGCAATGGTTTGATAGGCTTGGCCCATTCCTTACTGTCGCCTGGCTCCCAGGTGTTATCCACACCCGCATCATCTTTTTTTACTTCGACCATTTAAAAAGACAACCAATATTAAAGTTGTTAACAATAATAACAACGCGTGGTTAGTGGTGGACAAAGGCGAATGCTATCAAATTTGACTATCGATAGTCTATTTATATCGATTGTGCTTAAAGTAAACAACTGGCGCTCACTTCAAAAATTTATTTCAGCTAGGAACGTTGCTTAATAGTCAGTGCAATTCGCGTTTTATTTCAGAAAATGCAAAAAATTAAAATCCAAAATATATATTTATATAATAACAGGCCTTAGACCTTTTTAACAATTTGCACCACATCTTCGTCATTCAGTACGTGCTCAATGCCCACTTTTTGCGGTTGGTGTTTTACCGAAGAGCCCCAGACCAGCGCACTATAAATGAACATAAACATTTATCACAACGTCTTTTAAATAAATCATAGAACTTACTATTTAAATTCCTTGGCAATGGACCGATGCAGCTTATTACAAAAGTCCTCAATGCTTGTGCGTTCATTGTGCAGCACGACCGGCGAATTATAGTCAGGCAGCTGTCCCTTGGGCTTGGTATAAATTCGCACTAATCTCAAGTACTCCCACATCAGCTCGAGCAAATCATCGAAGTTCCAGTGATGATGCGCTGATATGGGTACACAATGAGGTATCTTATAGATCACATCCAGTTCCTCAATGGAAATCTGATCAATCTTGTTCAGCAGATAAATGCACGGTATGTAAATGCGATTGCCCTCGATAACATCAATCAGATCGTCGCTAGTTGCATCATAACGTAATGTTATGTCAGCATTGTGTATCTTGTACTCCGATAATATGGTCTTAACCAGATCCGAATCCAGCTCAGACTGGGGCACCATGCAATTGAGATTAATGCCACCCTTATCCTTTCTCTTGTAGTAAATATTTGGCGGTTTCTTATTCAAACGTATGCCAAAGCCCTCCAATTCATGCTCCAGCAATTTCTTATGACCCAATGGCTTCAGACAATCCAACACCATGAATATCAAGTTACAGGTGCGCGCCACTGCAATCACCTGACGACCACGACCTTTACCATCCTTCGCGCCCTCAATAATACCAGGTAAATCGAGCAGCTGTATCTTGGCTCCCTTATACTTAATGCACCCCGGCACAGTGGTGAGCGTTGTGAACTCGTATGCTGCCACCTCAGAGTAAACGCCGGCCAAATTCGATAGTAACGTCGACTTCCCCACCGAGGGAAAGCCAACGAAACCCACCCGCGCATCGCCTGTCTTGGCCACCTCAAAGCCGGCTGCAAATTCATTTATTAAAGCCATGTTTTATTTTAGATTAATGTTCTACTTACCTTCGCCGGTGCCGCCGCCGCCGCCCTTTGGCGAAATAAGCTCACGTCGAAGCTTAGCAAGTTTGGCTTTCAGTAAACCCAAATGGGCAGACGTCGCCTTATTCTTTTGCGTGCGTGCCATCTACATGTTCACATATACAAACATACACACATACGTACACATATGAAATGAAGACAGGGAGACAGGTTAGCTTTATAGTTGGCATATTTTTGACTGGGATGCGTCTGCTTACCTCCGACTCAATGGCCGCAATCTTCTCAAGAATCGTACTCATTGCTTCTGCGTTAGTTGTTTAAAGCCAAAGTTTAGTCAATTCAAAGAGTACTATTTACAAAATTTTAATGCATTAAAACGAAAATAAACTCGCGTGGAGACTGTCGATACACGGTCACTACGATAACTTTCAATCGATAAGGTCGAAAATTACCAGAAGCAAATAAGGGATGCAAGAAAATCAGTATTTTATACATCCAAGATTTTTAATGAAACGGCCACCTTTCTTTTCAACTGTGTAACTGTCGCTTTTCCAGTGCAAAATGTTCACGCACAAAAGTAAGTAAATATGGTTATTTCATGATTATATACTCAAATAAATATATACGTACAGCCAAAAAAATCAACAACTTATCCACCAATACTCAGAAAAAATTCAAAGCTGAGCTAAAGGCAAACGGGAATTTGCTTTGCAATCGAAGCTTCGAAACTGCTTCTGGACTGTTGCGAAAAACTGGAAGCCAGTTAAAACAAACCAAATTGACTCTCTGCCAGAAAGATAATAAGCTTATATTTTCTGGATTTGTCGAAGAACCTATTAAAATTAAGCCCAAACACGAGTTTGTCTATAAGCCGGCACCAAAAGGGCTCAACGAATCTTTCTGCTGTGCACAAACCGAAATAACTGTAATGCCCAAAGTTGAGTTGCTTGCCGCGTTGCCAACTTCACCGATGTCAAAGCCTGGGCGTAATTTAGTGAGCTTAGTCGGGCGTGTGGACTTCTGCATTAAAATGCATCGAATGCAGCCACATTTGAATGCACTCTGGAATGTCTATGGTTGGCTAATAAACACATTAGTTTATCTAAAAATAATTTCATTCTTAACAGGTCAGCTTTTACGAATAATTGCGGGTAAGCGAGGCGAACAGACTTTGCTCTTGCGCAACGAGAGTAAAGGACCGATTTTGCAGGCTATTTTCTATGATTTCGATGGTGAACTGAAAGCGTTGACTAATGGTAGGTGAAGCAAACACATAAATCGCAAAATGCCATATATCTTCCTTTATGCAACAGGTTGTTATGTTAATGTAGTGGGCCGCTTTATAGGTGAGAATCGTTTGAATACCTTCAGTGTTTCACAGGTAAGTCTCGCCGATTGGCAGCAGAATTTCACGCGCTTGCAGAATGTTAATTCATATATATTAATGCAAAATTCAAACAGTAAATAGCAATTTATAATATTTAAGTTTAGCCTTTTGAATGGCAAAATGCATCAAAAGTAGCTTTTTAGTATATAACTATTTAATTAGTTTTAATGATTTACACATTTCCATTTTGTACTCTCACATTTTGCTTTACACACTTGCATATATATACGTATTAGAAATACATTAAAGTTAATATTTAATTTAAACTATTCACTTAACATAAAGTTTAATTTCAAGTTTGCCGTTGAGCTTCTTTTAGCTTTTACTAAATTTGTTGTTTGATTTTGCTTCAGGAGCATTGCACAGTTATAAATATATATTTTTATAAATATAATACTTCATATAAGTGAAAAATAAATGATATTTTTGAATTGGACTGATTTAAATACTAATACTGCTGCCATATTTGACAAGGAAATTCTCTTCTTTTACAAATCTGAATACATTAAGAATGTAACCATAATTCCCGCGCCCAGCGCGCACAAATAGTTGAGCTGCAGCCCGGAGCTGCCTCGGCGAGAACTGCAAAAAATATAATTTTTTAGCAAATATCGATCTACATTATTGCAGTATTTGCGCTTACCGTTGCTTGGAACGCGGCGAAAATGGGGTAGGTGGCGAAACGCCTGGCACAGCGCTGTCCAAGTAAACGATGGCGTAGCAAAAAACTGACACAATCAGGCCACACAGCACGGGAGTTAGTTTGGCACGCAGTTGGTTCTGCTCCGACCAGTCGAAGGCAACGCTCAGCTGTGCCTGCACATAGTTGCTCAGCTGCTGCACGTTGCTGCCATTGATGTAGGGCACTGTGGGCGGCAATTGGAATAGGTTATTAATAGATACGCGCTTCAAGGTCAGTTATTCGATATGGACTTATATCAGCAGCGCCGTGCCGTCAGCCAACAAAAAATAACAGCAATTAAAAATCGAACACAATATTGTTTCTCGCGTCGTCTGCTCACATTGATGATTGCGAAAGCTAGCAGCAAACAATGAGGAAAACTCTTACTCGACCAGTTCTGACACCTACGCAACTGCTGCACAGTGGACCAGCATCGTCAATAAAAAGTAATAAGCTAAAATATTTTCTTGGGAGTAAACATTTGAATAAATAATTAAAAATGATACTAGACCTAATGTAAATAAGTAACATTTTACGCTAATTCCTATCGAGCTCATCCCACTGTGCAGTTTAGGTCGCGTGACGCGACTAAGTTCAAAATACCGTTGTCACTCAAAATACATAAAAGAACTTGACATGTTTGTAGTGCCTAATACATGCATATATACTAACTTATATATGTATGTATGCAAACAAAAGCCAAAAGTCGTTTAGCAATTAGTGAATAATCGCTGCTGCCTCTCGGCTAGCTTTGCGTATGCAAATGGCTTTGCTATTGGCTAAAACAAAATGCGCAACAGTCAATTTGGTGAGTCTTTATTTAGATGCTTAGCGCATTTGTCGGTGGGGAGGAAGGGTTGTTTGAACGGCGACGGAGTGTGCTGGAAAGGCGCAACACGAAGGTGAAACACAAAAACCAATAAGAATGTAAATCGGCATGAGATCATTCTATATGTCATTGTCCCTATATACATACATATGTAAAATATGTGTGTAAGCAGCTAACCACATATGCACATTTTGCTATTTTTAAACTACTTTGTAAACAACAACAAATGGTAAACAGACACAAGTGCAGCCTTGATTAACGCTGTGTCCAACTGAATGAATGAATGTACTCACTTGTTAAAATGATGGCTCTATAGCCGATAATTATTATGCCAAATAATAGAAATAGAGCTTTTAGGCGAACATCAAAGGTCGGCTCCTGCCCCTTGACACCATTAGCACCGCCTTCGCCCACACAAATATAATGCTTTGTTGTTGCTTTGGCCAAACGACAAAGGCCAATGGCGTCGTTGCGCTGCTGCGATTTCCGTTGCTTATTAAATTCGATTTTAGGGGTTGAGGTATATATGCGCTGCTGCTGCCTGCTCGGTTGCACGTTTGTTTTCATACTGATAGCAGCGGATGAGCTTGTGCCCGATTTGACGTCGAGTTGCTGCTCTGTGACGTCACCCACAGCTACAAATGAGTGCATTCCATTCAGCGGCTGCATGTTCAGTCCTGACTTTTTAGTAAGTCTTCCACTATATATTTAACGCCTTTTTTGGACTTCTTATTACCACAATTATTGACTTTTCATACAATTTCATTAACAATCACACAAAATAATACATTTAGAACAAAATAAACACACACACGCCTGCGACGCACCCCTTCCGTCAATACGAATGCAATTGCTTGTAGCGCTGCCAAGCTGCGTGCGCATAGTGGCAACTCTCGACAGTTCAGTGTTACCGTAGCTCTCCATAAATAGTGCGCGCGTAGCTCACAAATTTGAATAATTTGTTGGACCATTTTATTCTTATTACTTTGTTTAAAATAATTATTTATATTTGAAAAACAGTAATAATAATTAAATTTACATTGTTTTTTTGTTTTTTTTTTCAATTTTAATATTACTTCAATACGCTTACAACAATGTTCTTCAATTGTTTTAATACATTTTGAATGTATTCTCCATGTTTTATGCATATGTATATGTGTATATGTTGTATAAAGTATATTATGATTAATCACGCATTTTATATTAACTAAATTTTAACTGCGTTCATAGAAAAGTTAATGTTAATTTCTTAATAAGGCTCTGTTACTTTACGTCGGGGCATACTTCAACTAATTTGCATTCTAACTTTTTCTTTTTTATTCGATAGATTTGTATTATATATCTAAAAGTAATTTTTTTTAAAATAGTGCAAAAGGTTTACAATGAAACAAGCCAAAAGGAGCATAATACAAAACAGTACACAATTAAAATATATAATAGAATAATAATAAAGGTAAAACTATGCTCTCTCATATTTTAAAACTAAAATTAACAAAATAGGCGACACTATCAGAGATTGGTATGTTGCCGTGTTAGTTGGCTGGTTGGTCTGTTTGTTTGTTTGTTGCATCCATCCACACACTACACAAGTTATAATAATTTCAAGGATGCAATTGTCTGTCGGCTGAGGGGTTTGTGTTGTTGTTGGTCCGTGTGTGTTTATGTGAAAGTGTGTGTTATAATCGTAGTACCCATCTACGTCTTAAATATTTAGTTAACTTAGGGCCTAGACTAACACTATACTAACAAGTAGCCGCATTCTGCTCTACGATTTGGCGGGTGCTGCGGCACCGCCGCGCGTTCGCTTAGTCATCGGCTCCGTCGTGTCTGCGGCGCGTATGTTATCAAATAAATTGTTCTCCTACAAATAAGTTCAGCAATTACTCCGAGTGCTTCTTTAAATGGTTATCAGTGTCAATTTACCTGTGAATTGTCATCATCCAAAATTGCCAACGCTGCAGTCCGCTTAGAACTGGCAGCAGTCGCATGGGATGTAGCCGTTGCTATCGTCGCTGACGCTTTGCTTGTCTTGGCGCCCAGAGTGTAAACGTCCAACGGTATATAGACTTCATTATTCTCAAAATTTGCAGCGGGCAGTTTATAGTACATCTCAGGCAGCGTCAGGGGCATTGAGAATGCGCTCGAATTGCCATCACACTGACCAACTTTAGCATCGATAATATGCATAGCGAGATCACAGAGCGCCCACATTTTCTATTTAACAAAACAAAAATTAATATCAAGGTCTGCCAAAATTATTGTCATATGCAGAAATACTTACATAGTTATTTTGCAGTCTATCCTTGTCCGAACTCTGGCTGTACTCGCGGTGTTTTATCAGATGCAGCAGCTGCTTGTAAAAGCCATAGACAAAAGATTCGCGTTTTGCCATCAACGGTTCAAGTATAAAACGCAAACACTTTTCCATCTTGCGCAGCTGCACATAGTCCTCATGGCTCGTGAAGCTAGGATCATGCACCAGCACCGGTATAGCAAAAGCCAGCATGTAGTCAGGTAAGATATGCAGGGACTGCGATTCCGTAGAGCTATCCGGTGCTATATATAATGATAGTCATTATTTTTAGTATTCATTCAACATAAACATTCCGCATAACTTACACGTCATAGCTACAGTCTTAAGATATTCCCGTCGCCTATTCACATCCGCCTCCACATAATGACGTACTTGATCTTGTAATCTGTGTAAAGTAAAATTAGAAATATATATAGTTAGATTTGATTTATAGTAAAAGTAGAGCACTTACTTTCTATTGGTCTCCTTGCCACTTAGCACATAGTAACCCATAAAGTCCAAGGGTAGGCAATTGCGCGGCAGACTACGTCCCAGCCCTTTGTGCAATTTTCGCGCAAATATCTCACGTACTTCCAGCACAGGATCCTCCTGCAATAAAGTATTAATTTTAATATATGATTATAATAGTTATGCATTTAGTTAACTACGGGTACTGACCATGAGCTGGGACAGCTGTAAATACTGTTCGGCGCTATATTGATCGCCGACACCTTTCTGTTCGCACACCTTAAGCATTGCGCAGGCTGCGCCTAGACGCAACCAAGATTTCTCAGCACCACACAATCTATTCTGGGCCAGCAAATCACCACGCTGATTGACAAAAGCTGCAAGCATGCGGAAGGTTTTCTGGGCTGCATGTTCATCCGATCGTAAACCGAGCAGCCAGCGGGCCATAGTCTTAAGAGCATCTAATTTGCAGAGTGTATCAGGCGGAAGTTCATCCTGTTCACACCAGTCGCTTTCAGGCAATTCGTGATCCCGTTGCGCTGGAACTTCTTGTATGAGTAGCTCCTTAACAATGCGCCTCGCAATCATATTCTTGATAGCCGTAAGAAATGCCTGAGGCATGTTGTACGCTATGTGTCCCAATGTTACAATCTTGGTTCGTTGATATTCACAATTGGGTGCTAGTTTAACTCGAAGCTCCTCAATGATTTCATTGAAAATGGGATGTACTGTTTGTGTTGTTGTTGAGGCACTCCCACCGCCATCCGTCGTGGCCGTCGATGATGATTGGCTGTTGACAAAGATGCAGCGCACTGCATGCTTCGCCTGCTTTGGCGTCCCCATAAGCGCAAAGTCTTTGCATATGGGTGCCAATTCATTCAGTATAACCGGATTGGCATCGTCAATAAGCGGCTGGTAACGACCCAAATGCGTCAACGTTTTCAGCACCAATGGTGCTACATATTCATGTTCATAACTGAGAAGCGCAATAAGGTGTCGCAACGAGGTATCCGTAAAGAAATGAGCCGAAAAAACATACGATAACATCTGGAAAGATACAAAAGAACATTGTAGAAATATCTGGCCGGTTTACATTTGCTTTTCACATACGCTTAACAATTTAAGACCGCGTTCGCCTGCTTCGTGGGATGATATTCCGATCTCATTGCAAATGTCACCGCCCTGAATGCACTGTTCGATCAACCTGTAAATATCATACGGTTATTAAACATGTATTCAGGTTTTTCATATAATTCATTCCTTCATATAATATTAATGAATGCCAATGTGGATACACATTTTTATATTTATAAGACAACTTACCCGATTAGCACTCCAATGGACTCCTTGTCCACCATGACGGATGCCACGCGTTCAATTAACATTTTGACTGTGTTATAGTAGAGATTGGTCATGACATGAGCGCCAAGTTTCTTGAGGAGCACGCTCATTGTGTCAGCGCATTCTCGGCAACTCACATCCCGTTTAAGAACAATGTTTATGCAGCGTAGCAACTGAGCATCTTTCCGTAGATGTTGACTGAATTGTGTGATAAACTCACTAGCTTTCAGCGGATCCGGCAGCAATCTAAAAGCATAGAAGAATGGCTTAGCTTAGAGAGCTATACTTGTAAATTTTTGATATTACTTGGCAATGTTGGCCTGCTTGGCGGCCAGTTGGCTGAGCACACGAGGCGTAAATTCCTTGGAGTGATGCAACTTTATCCAATCGCTAACCGTATGTCGTGATTTCATTTGATTCTTTTGCAACTCGACAAACGCTTTTGTTGCATTTGCATCCAAATCTCCTAACAAATGATAGAGCTTCTTCATACGTTCCTCTGGTGCTAGCTTGTATGGCACCAGGCAGGTGATGAGCAGTCGCTCCACCATTAGTTTATCTTCCAGACATAGTTTGTAGTAGCCATGCATTATTTTGTTCTTAATCCAATCAACCTGTAATTTCACATCTGGACTCAAATCGTTTGGCTCGCAAATCGCTCGCTTATAGATGTAACCCAACCCGTTCATAGCATCACGACGTATTTTATACTTTTTGTCCATCGTGCGTTCGCGTACAATTTCCAATAATTCTGGCGATTTTACCACAATATCGAAATTACGTTTTCCGGTTTCTACAATTGCCATCACGACCTCATGACGTACCAACTCGTCTAGATCATGATGGCGCATCCGAAGCTTTTCGGTTATTTCAGCCTGCAGATGCGGATGATTGAGCAAAAAGTGCATTGATGATTGAACGCATTTAACGCGCACTGGTTCAGTAATGTCACAAAAACGGCCAAAAAAGACACGCAATAACGATGGATACTTCTTAGACAATTGTGAGTCCTTCTCGGAGAACATGCGCGCCAATAATGTCGTGGCTTCTATTTATAGCGAAGAAAAAATTATATTTGCATCAATTAACACGTTGATTAAGAAAATATATTAATCACGTAAGCCTCCACACTTACTCAGTCGCTCGGCATCGTCGGTGGAGAGAAGCTTGTTTTCCAGCTGTGGTAGGACCGACACCAGCAGATCGCTGTTGATTTGGTTAAGCTCATAGATTATATCATAAATCTTGCTAGTAATGGCTAGCTTGTTATTGGGCTTGTCCATGACCAATGAACGATTGAAGAACTAGATGAAAGACAATACTCATTTGCAAACCTTAATTGTTGAATATGCTTATTATTATTTATTACCAATTTGATGGTTGTCTCGAAAGCATCTCCTGTTTTGACCAGCAGCTGCTCCGTCAGTTCGTGCGCATACTTGTTGGTTGATTTGTTTGGCTCCACAATGTTGATCAGTATAAGATCCAGCAATTCAACAGACAAATTATCTGCCTCGGTAATCAGAGGACTTAATACATCAAGAAAAAAGTTCTTCACTTTAACGCTGTGTTGATCACTACAATTATAAATTAAATTGTTTTATATTATGTTTTCTATTAATAATGTAATACTTACTTGATGATCTTAAAAACGGTGCTGAAAAGTTCATGGAATATTTCCTGACAATCTTCCAGTTCGAAGCACATGTTAAATGACTTGACGAATGCCAGATTTTCGAGCAAGTAGAAGTATCGTTTAAAGGAGGGATCCCGCGGATCCTTTAGACCATGGAGTTGCTTGATAAAAAACTTAAAGATCGCTTTGATTTGATCCTGTTCCTTATAGGGAGCTTCAGGCGCATACACACGCAAAACATCCGCTATGCAGCACGCAATCAACAATTGGACATCTCGTGACTGATGCTGCATAAAGAAATCATCGAGTAGGTGCAAAGCTAAGGGTATGTACTGCTGGTGCAGGTTGTCATCCTGATCCATAGTCTGCAGCACATTGGCTAAAGTCTATGGGGTTTGTCATTTTAGCAAAACTCAATCAGGATTAGAAGTAAACAGCGCAAACCTTAAGACGTCGGATAAGCTCGTCGGTGCCTAAATCTTCAACCAACGGCCGACAGCCGTTGGGATAAACAATATCCGCCATTGTTTGTTGCTGCTAAAAGCTCTCTCTCTCCCTCGCTCGACGCAAACTTCTCTGCAGACAATATGCAACTGTGAATGTAAACAATAAAGGCAAAGAGATGCAATTACAATCAAGAGCGACGCGCACTAGGTGCATTTACTATGATAATAATAGAAGACATATATAGAATATTAAGAGATAGAAACAAAAACAAGCGTGACCCTCAAGTTGCTAAATAAAAAAAGCCACACTGCAGCGCCAAAGCAGCACGGCAGCATTGCCAAATCAACGATTACAGCGGGCGGCAGCATTGCCAAGCCATTCGCTTATGACATACACACACACAGCTACACATATGCAAACTACTAACAACTTGAGGCACAAGTTTTTTTTATTTGCACAAATAAAATAAAAGTGCCACAACAATAGTTGTTTTCAGATCATCGAATAAACCGCATCTTAAAAATTTTCATGCAAATTAGCTTCATTTTGCAGCTGCAAATTTTAAGCAGAGCTGGTCTTACTTTTCACAATTTAAGAGCAGCAGCCAGCGGTAAAAAAATTGCCAATTCTTTTAGTTCAGGCCGAAGAATTGTAGCACAAGCACGATTGATTTTAATCAGAAATGCACCATGTAAAAACTTTTGCACACTTATTTTGTCATTTTCATTTGTCTTTAATATTTCAGCTGTTAATTATAGAGCGTTTGTTGTTAGCAAGAAAAAATTTCAACAGCGCACTTTTTGTGCGGAATGGCACGCCATTACTCTACCACACAATGTGGACAGACTGTAAAAAAGTGTGGCAAATGAGGAACAGTCATGCAGAGATGCATTGCAATACATTGACTCAAAAATGCGTTAACATCTACGTGTTGACTCAAATTGGCGCTAACATCCTGTTATTTGCTTAACAGCTGTCTGAACAGTATATATTAATGTTTTTCTTATCTGTGTGGTTTTAAAATTGATAATGCAATGTTTTGATGCGATGACCGTTAGTGCTTATGGCACAAAACCTAACGGTAGTGTTCGTGTTTAAATTTTCCACCTATCCGCTTAACACGTTCTCATGACAACCGAAAGGCGCGCATGGCCGCCAGCGTCGCCAAGTGGAAATCAACAAAATATAGAACCGGCTACGCTGGTAAGTGAACCCGTTGCGTTGCATTGCTCTAATTATCAGCCGCAGTCACAGCCCTTATAATGCTCTTTAATTTAATTAGGCAAAACTGCGCCGAGTGTGGCTGTCCCCCAACGCAAGCGAACCAGTTGCCGATAGCCAGCTGCATGCGGTGCCAGCGTCTACTCAAATCTGCCAAAAAACAAATATTTTCAAGCATATTCAAAAAGTAGCATAAATTTTGCATATGCATTTCTAAATATAGACATACGCAATGTTACAAGGAATGCCCCAAAAACGGCAACATTTGCATGCAACGCATAATTAATCAATCAACGTAGAGAAGCCCAACGCTCCGCATAATTATGGCTTCTTTGCGCGTTGTGAATAGGTATTACTATCCATTCTATATCAGCTTTTCAATCATTTCTGATTCTAAGAACTTGATCTTTTGCAGACTGTTTTGTCGTGGCTTCGTTGTGCTCACTCTATTGCTCATGTTCTTCAATGAAGTACTTATATACTATATAGCACAATCTAGCTGGAAATCAATCGATTGTAAACTGGGTAGGATTATTACTATAATTTATCCCTGGCAATCAATATGACATTTGCTGTAATTGTTTAGATAACTGCACCCGTCTGCTGCTTATTGCCGATCCACAAATCCTGGGCGAGTCCTACGATCGCTCTTCACACAGTGCACTTGCGCGGTACGACTTGGATAGATTTCTGAAGAAATCCTTTGAACGCGCCGTATCCTTTACACAACCACATATTATAGTTTTTTTGGGAGACTTGCTCGATGAGGGTAACATAGCTACCGCTCAGGAATACAAGCAATACGTGCAGCGCTTCAAGCGCATCTATAACAATAAGAAGCTATCAAATGTATGTTGAATGTGCCATTAGCTCATATTTACTACTCAAACATATTAATATTCAGTTTCGTATGATATCTGCCTACTTTCAGCGTGTTCATGTACCGGGTGATAATGACATCGGCGGCGACAATGGCGACTACATATCCAACTCAAATCAGCGACGCTTTGAGAATGAATTTATGAGCGAGGATCTCTTTGACTATGACAATCACTTGCGTTTCTTCAAGATCAATCGCATGCTATTGGACTTCACCAACCCCGACAAGGAGCATAATGCCGAACGCCTCCGCATCGGTGTCTCCCATGCACCACTGCTTATTGGCGGTGGTCCCCTATTGCGTGCCGTTATTAGCGATTTGGATCCACACATAATGTTTTCTGGTCATTGGCATGAATCGCGTATATTCATATATCCGTCGACTAAGGCGATCAACTTCTATGAGAACGCCGTGCGGCATTTTGATCTGAAAGCAATCAAAGAGCAGGAGCACAGCTACCTGGAGATAATGGTGCCAACATGTTCATATCGCATGGGTAAATCAAAGATTGGCATGGGATATGCAGTGCTAGGTGAGAGCGGTTTCATTTGAAACAAATATACATCTGACTTATTTGAAACGTATTTTAGAAAACTACAATCTCAGCTACACTGTGCTATGGCAGCCCAACCGATTTATATTGCTCTTCACTTATATGTTTTGGGGCCTGTTTGTACTGTGCAGTGCCATTGTCTACAAAATGATGACCCGCTGTCCCTTCCGAGTGGCCAAGCGGCAATCACCTTATAGTCGCGTATCAACCATACCTCAATTTTAGACTGTATTATCCGGCAAATAGGCAATCAATACTTTTTAATTACTGTAGAATGTTATAATTAAAGTTTATCAAATAGTAAAGAACTGAAACCAAACTAAAATGAATACTTCTAAAGTTTTTAAATTAATGAAATACATTAATTGGACAAATAACTGTTGTTTTCCCTACTAAATTTTCAGTAGATGGCTTGCTACTTTTTTTCGTAGTAGCTAATGTGCGACTATACAAAAGAGGAGTAGAAATGTAGGGTTGCACAGAGTTGCATTTGGCGCAACACAAATACTGGGATCAGTTGCGAGCGCATGCGTCAACCGGCTCGTGCCGCTTGCCAGCCTTAAATTAGCTCGCTGCGGCGTCAGTTCAATTTTGGATGCGAACGCGCGAGGTTGTCGGCTGTACGTGATCTGCTCTTCGTCGTACTCTACGAACTGTGCAGCAGGATAATTAAGCGTGACGCGTGTGCGTAACATAAAAATAAACATTAAGCGGCTGTTGGCCCGTCAGTGTGCGTCGTCAAATGAAACTGAATCTGTGCTAAGGAAAATTCACAAAAAAAAAGTAAAAAATAAGAAAAAGGCGAACGGAAACCAAAAATTCCTGCCACACAAATCATAAAGCGCAGGGGCCCTACACCGGTTTCTGTTTGTTTGTTGGTTTTTTTCATTATTTTTTTTGCGCGCGACTCAGAGAACATAAAGCAAACAGTAAGAGGAGAACGCGAAATCAAAGAAATTCTTCAACTCACGCCATGATTAAGTCACAGATAAAGGTGAGCCGGCTGTTGCTGAGCTCCGCTCTCATCATCTGTTCTTGCAGCTGCGTGCGCGGTAAGGTTATCAATTTCATTGACAGCGATGAGTCAACATTGCTGACCGCAAACCTAAATGTTGATCGCATTATCCACAGCATCGCCGACATCGCAAACGAACGTCGGCATAACCCAGGGCCCGAACGGACGAACAACTGTCAAGGAACAGAGCCCAATTCAAATGCCTTGCGTCTACCAACTGCCGGACTCGTACAGGCAGAGCAACAGCGTCACTTTACGCTGGCGCAAAGATGGCAAGGCTTTGCGTCAGGTGGAGCTGGGCCTGGCGAGCAGCACCACCAGTGAGCCGCAGCTGGAGACAATGCTGCGGGAAGATGCGCGCCTAACGCTCAACAAGGAGACCGGCTCGCTGCACTTTGCCAGCGTTTTGGCCAGCGATGCGGGTGTCTATCAATGCCAATTGCTTGTTGAGGGACAGTCGGCGGTCACCTCTGGCAGCGGTACATTGGAGGTGATTGAGCAGCTCAAGTTTATGCCGCAGCCAACATCCAAGAACCTGGAACTGGGCAGTGTTAGCAAGGTGCATTGTAAGGCGCAGGGTACGCCGCCGCCCCAAGTCAAATGGATGCGGGTAAGTGTTGGGCAGGGATTCCATCAGATCCCATCTAATAACTCGTCTTCACGCATCACAGGAAACCCAATTGCCATTGCCGACAAATGTCACCGATCACAATGGCACGCTGATATTTCGCGGCGTCTCCAATGAGCAGCGTGGTCAATACACTTGCTTCGCATCGAACAGTCAGGGCCAGATAAGTGCCACAGTCACCATCAATGTGGTGGTGGCGCCCAAGTTCAGTGTGCCGCCCGTGGGGCCCATTGAGGTGAACGAAGCCGGTGTCGCTGTCATGCACTGCCAGGCTACGGGCGAGCCGAAGCCAACGATACAGTGGGACAAGGATTTGGCTTACCTCAACGAGAACAATACAGATCCGTTGCGGTTTCGACTGCTAGAGAATGGCACACTGGAGATACACGATGTGCAGCCGGAGGATGAGGGACGCTATGGCTGCACCATTGGGAGCAGCGCGGGCTTCAAGCGCGAGGACGTCATGCTGGTAGTCAAGAGCAATAAGTCGACATCCAATTCTATTGTGACCCGAATCATAATTGTGATTATCTGTCTGGCATTTCTCTACTTTGTGCTGGTGCTGGGCCTGAAGCTGTGGTATCGCTATCGCCGCCACATGGGCAAGGTGCAGCTGGACGATGCGGCACATGCGGCTGTCGATGCCGATGGCCATGAGCATGCCGAGCACGAGCCCTGCCTGACCGAGGCGAACTCCAGCAAAAATCTGAAGAGCAAACTACGAGAGAGCACCATACTGGAGCAGGACTCGCAGGTGGCCGATGATATTGTCTAGGATATGGCATCATCCAGATTGGCTCTCCAGTTGCCATTTTCAATGATCTCTAGGCTGGTCTCCGGCCATGCGATATGTTAATCCCAATTGTTTGTTGAACGTGTAAAGCCCTTACCTAAATCGAAATCTATTTGTATTTATATATCTAATATTTATATATATATACCTATATTAATATTTATATCTGCGTGTATCTTTGTATATATTCATGTACAGTTATTTTTTATTAGAAAATAAATATTTTATAGCTCTCATAGAGCCCGATTTTATAGTGCAATCGAAAATGCCACTTATTTGGCCGGGGCAGCTCGCAGAGCTGTGAGCTCAATCGTAAAATTCTCGAAGCGTTTCTTCCATCGTTTTACGGCCGTACGTTCGCTGCCCACTTGGGCGTTTGGCGGCTCCATAAAGCACACGCATCAGCAGTGCCTAGTGCCAATGCTCAACAGTTTTTTATGTACTTTTTATGGGCACTGCAGCCGGCAAAGCAATGATTTGTGCCAAGTGATGAGTGAAAGACAACCCCACTCCCCATTTCCCCATTTCTCCATTTCTCCATTGCCTTGCTCCACACCCAACACAAATTCCATAAGCTCACAAATGAAAATGCCATAAAAGAAACCGAGCAATAACATTCTCCCGGGTAAAGTTGAGCATGGCGAATCCCATATTGATGAACTCAAACGTTCAGATTGCCAACGAATTACTTAACAGAATTTAACGAACACTCTCAAGAGGCTGTCAATGAAACTAAGTTCTTCACGTGATATATAGTGAGACGATAAAGTTAAAAAATATTTTTGTTCAATTTAGTTCTCAACTAATTTAGTTAGTTTAGAGCAACAAAAATGTTGCTGTAAAATTATAATTTTAATTCATATAAAATATGTTTTTATAAATTGTTCATTCGCTTGCTCAACTTCTCGAATTCAACTGGAATCTAGCTCTTTGTTATATAGGTACAGGAAATTCTCGCATTGCGACTTGGTCCACTGCCCATTGAATTCTTTGATTATGGCATTGCGACGATATTAACCAGGAATTGCCAACGTCTGCACTTAATCGCTTCATTTCAGTTCGATTTCCATTTCCATTTCCATTTCCATTTCCATATTCATTTTCATCTAGTTCGCCTGCTGCTCAGCTTCAATCGCAGTTGCCTTTTTGCCTATGCGTTTTATGCATATTTTATGGTTTTTTATAGCATGCGCATAAACAAATGCGCCCATCGCACAGCCCCAGCTCTCAGTCCATAGTCCAGGCACATCAAAGGCAACTACACATGCGCAGGCTGACAACCGACTGAGGCACTGGCAGCAGCAGCACCAGCAGCACCAGCAGCACCAACACATCCACACAGATAAAAAGCGGCAAGTGCAATTAAACGACCCAAAACCCCGCCCCTCCTGCCCATGCCCCCCGCTCTATGGTTACTCCATTGGCTGCCTTTGATCTGCGGCGGCGCTGGCGACGACATCGACATGCATTAAACCCGTTGTTGGGGCCTCTGCCCTTCCGTATTTCCCTTTTTCCTACTCTCTTGACTTTTTTGTTGTTGTTGTTTTATTTTTCTTTTTTTTGATACTTTTTCGCCTCATTTGTTTATGGCGAGTGCACAGAGAGAATGCAGCGAAACACCTCCAAAGTTGTTGGAAATGTTTATTTTGTTTAGTCTACGCAGAGGCCACATTACTAAAAGTTATTTTAATGCCTTTAAATGTTTGATGTCTGCAGACAATGCCGATCTATGTATATAGTATACATATATAGATATATATACATATATGCAGTATACACATACATAGTAGTAAAATTATACGAGGCGTTGAGTAAAGGTAAGCAGCGTTAAATATGTATCTAGTGCTAAAATATGCTCAGTCGTAAATACTTAACAACTTTTTCTACTTACTGTAAACTCTGTGATTCTTGTGATTCATAGGTCATCTCTTCTCGTCTCATCTCATCTTATCTTATCTCTTCTCATCTCTTTTCATCTCATCTCATCTGGTCTTTTCTAATTTCATCTCTCATCTCATCTCTTCTCATTTCATCTTAACTCATCTTAACTCATCTCATCTCGTCTCATCTCATCTCATCTCATCTCATCTCATTGCATCTTATCTTCTATCTTCTATCTTCTTTCTTCTATCTTCTATCTTCTATCTTCTATCTTCTATCTTCTATCTTCTATCTTCTATCTTCTATCTTCTATCTTCTATCTTCTATCTTCTATCTTCTATCTTCTATCTTCTATCTTCTATCTTCTATCTTCTATCTTCTATCTTCTATCTTCTATCTTCTATCTTCTATCTTCTATCTTCTATCTTCTATCTTCTATCTTCTATCTTCTATCTTCTATCTTCTATCTTCTATCTTCTATCTTCTATCTTCTATCTTCTATCTTCTATCTTCTATCTTCTATCTTCTATCTTCTATCTTCTATCTTCTATCTTCTATCTTCTATCTTCTATCTTCTATCTTCTATCTTCTATCTTCTATCTTCTATCTTCTATCTTCTATCTTCTATCTTCTATCTTCTATCTTCTATCTTCTATCTTCTATCTTCTATCTTCTATCTTCTATCTTCTATCTTCTATCTTCTATCTTCTATCTTCTATCTTCTATCTTCTATCTTCTATCTTCTATCTTCTATCTCATCTTCTATCTTCTCTGTCTTATATCTTCCTTTCTCTTATAGTTTATATAACTGTAAAGTAAACGGTTTTATTTTTCTAGATTTTAGTTTCATTGCATATTATTAACACTACATTTGCCTGTTCTGGGACGATCCTGCTGGCTCGTGCAAACAATGAAATATATAAACCCAAATAGGCAGACAGGCATAAATCTCCAACTTTATGACATCAATAACTGTCGCTGGGCATAGGAATGGCAAAGCGCATTGACGGGCCCAACATTTTTGGATGGCGTTTGATAACCGCAGTCCCAGGGCTGTGCCGTTGTTAATCAGGAAGACCACCCTTCTCACTACTATATATGTGTATACACACAGATATATATACAAATGGCAACGGCATTTTATGACTTTTGGGTGTCAGTCAGTTGGCAGGCAGGCGGCGCGTCGAAAGGATCTGTTGCAATTGTTTTGGGTTCGCTCATTTGGGGGTTGAAAGGCATCGTAAAAAAAAGCGGAAAACTATAAAATGAAAAACACACACACACACAGGGTTACATTTAATCGGTCAGACCACGCACAGTAGTCAACACAGTCGTTTTGTGTCTTAGACGGAAGCTTCTTGCAGCGCCCCAGCCGTGCAGCCGCTCGTAAACACAGCAACCCACCTAATTCTCTCCCAGCCCGAGCTCTGTGTGATTCCAGCTACCCAGACTGCAAAATACATTGTAATCATCGTCAACTCGTGCCTGGTCATTAAGGCGCATTATTGTCGAAGTAGAAGCTGATTATAATCAATAAGTGCTGATAACTTCATTTGGCATTGTCTGCGTGGATCGAAAGCGATTAGCGTTTGCGTCCAATTTGGCACTGATTTGAAAGCTGATTTAATCAGACAATTAATCGGCGAAAAAGTGAAATAAAATTCAATAATCTGCATATGAACTAATGAACATAAAAATATAATAATTATGGAAAGGAGCTATAGAAGTTGTTAATTTAACATTAAATCTTTAAATTAACAAACATAAAACTGGAGCTCAAAATCCAGTTTTAGACATTGTTTAAAGCTTTTACACAGAACTTTGCACTGTCGTATATAATAAAATCATGTATTAAAATAATAATTATATATATATGTACGTCAATATTTATTGTTTATAATAGTTGGTCATATTTATGTGTGTCTTACTAGCTGCAAAACAAAAAACAAGCCTTTATTTATTTATATTCCATATTTAAATTTCCAATTTCGAAATATGCACGTTTACGCGCCAAGCAAAGCCGCCCAGTATTTTTCAACCGTCGCACTGAAACACTGCTCGAATGCCTTAAACTAAATACTGGTCACACACTGAGTTGCGAGCAAAAGGCAGGCAGGCAGGCAGTCGAACGGAAAGGTAGAATGTTGTGGCCATTCCCAGTATTTAGCGGCAGCATAAAAAGCCGGTTCCTCAAACAACTCCAACTGCCGACTGTCTTCAGTAATAAACAGACGTCGAACGCACGCGGTTCTCCTGAGTTCGTATTTTGTGTGTCTGCGACTGAGTGCTACGTATTTGGCGCTGCCAGCTGCACCCCTCGTCCAATAAGCAGCTCGACGAAAATACACAGAAAAAAAGAAAAAAAATTGGAAGTCGGAGCTGAGGAAAAGCACCCACAAATAACAAAAATATAAAGCCGGTTCGGTGCGCAGGCACGTCAAGGATGCAATGCATTGAATATTTTGTATCTTTGGGATACAAATTAAGTTGATTTGTTGCGCTCGCCTTGTGTGCGCTTCGTTTGCGTTGTTTTCGGTTCGGCTTTAAGCTGCCTGCCTGCCTGCCTGCATGCCAGCCGTGGCCTGGCCTGGGTAATTGAACTGCAACCCATTCCATAAGCAATCTGCGGCCCCGTCTTCGGCATTGCATTTTGTGTATCTAGATACCTTTGTCGGTGCCGGTGTCGCTGCCATTACAATTTGACGACAGCAGCTGAGGCAGCAGCGGGCAACGAGTATCTTGGCTGCTTGTCGCTTGTCAATCTAGGCGCTGATAAAAAACGCAACCACGAAACATAAACCAAGCCAACAACAATAACAATATTAACAACAACAACAACAACAACAACAATAATAGCATATAAAAAAGCAAGTGCCGTGAGTCGTGTGCGTATCTTTGCTGCTTTTGGTCGCCGTGTTCAGTGATAAATGCATTTCATGCGTTCCAACTATGTAAATACCAATTTAATTTGAGTGTCTATAGTAAATATCAAGCCCCCCGCCATCAGATACAAAGCAAAGCGTTAAAAAAGGCAGTCAACAGTCATCAGTTGGAATCGCTGTCGTCGTCGTCCCAGTCGTCGCCGTCGTCGCCGTCGTCACCGTCGTCGTCATCGTCATCATCCTCGTCCGACTGGGCTGGCAACCAAATATTGAATATTTACACATGCATTGCGTTGAGTGGAGTGCATTTTCGAGTGGCTGCACTTACAAGAGTATAGCCCACTGTGGCATCTAGGGATATACAAAAGTACATATACAAAACTTCAACTTTGAATATCTCATCAGTTTGTCAGCACATTATATTCACAATCAACGTGTGTCTCTCTGTATGTGCGAGTGTGTAATTGTGTGAGTGTCGTGTTATCATATAGTTTGCTAATTGGCTCGCTCAGAGTGCTCAGCAAGAGAAGACACTCTCAGACACTCCACGACGACGTCGAATTGACTGAGGATGCCCATCATCATGGATATGAATATGTGGTTGATGCTTAGTCTGGCATTCACTGTGCTGGGTAAGTGCAATTCAAGAAAGAGAAGAAACACTGAGTTGAAATAATATTAAGTAAATATTTAAAACTAAATGGCATAAGCGAAAGCGAGCGAGTTGACATGGCTCATGTTGAGTTCATATTTCTGGCCAATAGAAGAGCAATTGAATGCAAGAACTAGTAACTAGAATGGTAAATAGGAAATCTGTTGTAGGAGTTTAACATCGAAAGGCTTCGATTATCGAATTTATCTGTTGTAAAAATAAAGTTTGAGTTGATAAAGAAAATATATTTATCAATAATATAAATATATATTTAATTAAATATATATATATTTATATATATATATATATATATTTTATGTTAAACTCCTACAACTGATATATATATATATATATATATATATATATATATATTTATACATATATTTAAACAAATATTTATCCAATTTGGCTTAGGTCTTATATATGTTATATAAGACGAAACTTAAGCCAAATTGTCTAAGTATTTGTTTAACCAAATTTGTATATATTCGACTATGGCTTGGCTGTAAGAGGACCCATTAGGTGGTTTGATTGCAAAAATTACAATTACATATAAAATATTATATTTTATAGCAAAACATTTATGAATTTATTCTTCTTCAGCATTCAAAATGTAGCTCTACTTAGGGAAAGAGCTCAAATATTATATATATTATTATATATATTTATATTTATTATTATTATTATTGTATTATATATATTAAATGTTGCTCATAACAAAATGGCATGTTGTAGAAAATTATTAGTATAAATAGAACACTATTAACTAAAGCCTTCACCGCATGCAATAGCCTGGGATTCAAGACTTGTCAACGTATATGTTATTAGCATATATTTATATTATTTATAATATATTATATATTTATTATAATATTAAAATCTAAGTAATTGCTACCTTAAGTAGTTCCTTTTTATTAAAGGAAATTCGTATTTGAGTTTCTTAAAGCAATGAGTACGAAACAGCTCCGACAAAGCTATGTAACCTTAACACACACACGCACACTCTCAAACATATATACGTTTATACATAACACTGCAAATAAAATTCAATAGAATTCAACAACAAACACTCAGTTCAAATGCTTTTTTAACCAAGCAGAAAAATGTAAAATAGAGCGTTTGCTCTTGCCTTTGGCTTACCTGTACAATGCTTAACTAGACTGTGCTAGGTAAGCTGGCTGCCATAGAAAGTCGGCTAGCGTAATAAGTCGACTCCATTTCCATTCTTAAGCCAAGCTGTAGGTGCTCAGTGTTCATTGTGCAAATTCTGGGCAGCTCCAGTGGTCTGGCTTCCTCAAAGAAAACAAGCCAAACCAAACCGCATTGAGCTCGAATTACGAAACTAAAGCTAGATGTGAGCCCAGAAGCCGACAGCGACCACAGCAATTGAATCTGAAAGCAAACGGCGCGCAAAATGAGTCAATTAACAGGCAGCCGGCACAGGCCGCAGCGCTGGAGATGGCTAGGTACCGGCCCTGGCACTTTTCGTGTCCCTAGTGGAAGGGACTGCCTCTGCAAGTGGATGAGCGGAACTGCAAGGATATGCCGGCCAAGTTCAAAATAAAGTCGTTAGGCAAGGAACAAGCAATGCAAACAATGTCAAGAACATAACAAAAGACAAAGAAAGACAGAGATAGACTGCGAGACAGACAGGACCGGCCAGGCACTCGGGCAAAAAGGATCGTCATTGGCACTTGAAGTGCGGCAAGCGACGCCGAAAATTCAGCTAATCAAATGCATTTGACGCTTGAGGAATTGAGATTTCGTAGAGCGCACAATTATGCAAAACTACATGCCCACTAATACACAAACATGTGTGTGTGTTGTGTTTTGTGTTTGACAGGACACGCTTAAAACTGCTGACTGTTAAGTAGCACAAAGGCAAACAGCCGCAGACAAAAGGCAACCGGAGCCAGAACTCGAGCTGGGAACAGAGTGGCAGTCGCAGTCGCAGTCGACGTCGACGTCGCATTCATTGCCTGTGGCATGGTGCATATTTCAAATCTGTGCAACGCTCAACGTCCATTATTTGTATGGCAAATAATAAGGCAGTCTTGCTCTCTCTCTCTCACTCTTTCACTCTCTTTCTGTGCGAGTCTTTGTGTGGCACTCATAATTTGTTATTCAAGCATGCAAAATGCTGCATGCAACATGCTATACCATGCCCTGCCATGCCGACCAACCCACACACACACACACACACACGGATATTCAGAGAGATCTGGCCTGGCAGCTGACATGAGGCAGCAACTATATGAATATGCAGCCACCGTACAGCTTGCCCCCTTTTTTAGGACCAATGGCAAACTTTAAGTTCATGTCGAGCACTCATAATTGCATGAATTAGACGTGTATTGCAAATCTCTAGGGTCCCTCACTCACTTCGAGCATTGTTTCGCTGTGTGTTCAGATTAGATGGGCCAGCGGCTCGTTGAAGCCACTTCACATTATACAACGACTCGCTGGAGCCTGTGAAAAGATGATATATGTATATGATTTTGGACTCAACTTTTGGATTATTAAATATGAGCAGACGTTGGCAAGTGCTTGAAGAGTATGGCGTTTTAATGTAGAGTATATAATCCTAGGAATTTCTTGCTATGAGTTCGCACAACTTTTCATTTAAATAATTTTACTTTAAACATTATAAATAAATGAAGTTGATCGTACTATTCGAAATTTGCGCTGCTCAGCGAATATTTTATATTGTTTTATATGAGCCTAAGCTTGATATAAAGAAAACTTAAATCTTTGAAATATTTTAATGACGTCTCTATTGAATGCTGCTAGGAATCTTTTAGTTTTATAAGAAACCTTATTAAATAGTATCTTCAAAATGTGTAACCAATAAGAAGAGTTGGCTATAACTAAAAAAGACGTCTGTTTATTTAGGCTACAGCTTTGAATCAGTCAGATATTCACGCTGTTAGATAGTCAATGCCTAAATCTGAGCTAGTTGTAGTAATCAAAAAAAGGTAAGATCTGAAGGTTGAATGTAAGCTCTGATAGATTTTGATACCTTTTTATCGATTTTCATAACATTAGCCGTCTTAAAATTTATAAAAATTATGAATTTATTATTTAAGAAATCATATATAATTTGCCGCCTCTCGAGCTGTTAACTTGTATCAGTCAAGAGCAGATCAAGGAAATATAATATACATATTTTATTATAATTTAATTTCTTCATTTCATATTAATCTCTATACGAAAGGCTGTTCTATCACAATAACAGGGTACGAAAGATCGCATCATTGCAGTGACAAAGCAAGCAGCTCACAAATGGACATCCTTTTGCTTTGTTATTTTGTCATTTTGTTATTTTGCCTTTTTGTTTATTTTTCTATTTTACTTTTTATGGCATTTCATTGCTGTTTACTTTGATTCGGCGCTGTTTTTGCTGTTTTGCCTGGCTGCAAGCCCTACATCAAACTTTTGACGTGTAATTGTCATGCACATTCATTTGGAGCTTTCATTCACAGTTTGCCCGCTCTCTGTCGCTGGGTCTCCTTCAGCTTGACTGCTTTGCTGTTTGAATGCCTTTCCCATGTTGACTTGCAGTTTTCCGAAAGGTTTCCCAGTGCTGACTGTAGGAATGCCAGCGATTCTTGACTGACAGTTGAGTTTTTCCTTTGGCTGTTGTCCCCTTCTTCTTCGGCACCACCCATGGTGTCTGTCTGTCTATGTATTTGTTGTTGTGCTTGTCGCTTTCAATAACAATAACAAGCAGCAGCCTATCAAGAGTCTAATTCAAGTGCTGACTGTGCCACATAGATCTCTGTTTGGGACTCCTGATTATTACGGCGATATTTTCGCATTCATTGCGCTTAATCGACAAATGTTGCCCCACACAATTTGTGGCAGCCACAGCAGTTGGTCGCCGACAGTCCGATTTCAGTATTGGTCCATTACGGAACTCGGACACTCCAATGTAGCGCAAACAAACGAACTAATTATCACGCACACACACACAGTCAGTCTGACCATCTGATAGACAGCCAGATAGGCATGGAAGGGGAACAGATGAAGCTGAAGCTGGATTCCCGCTGCTTGGGCTGCTCCCAGCCTGCCGCATGAACTCATTTCTATAGGCCTCCTGAGAGTATTCCAGATTCCTCACGAAGCACGTAACGCAACTGAGTATATATATATACAAATGGTTGAATCTATAATAGTTCAGTTGTTATTGCCATGCTTATCTGATATGTATATATCGACATCATAGCTATCGTCCTTTCATATATGATAGTCGACCGGACCGGATCATACTCTCTTAACATCAGATTTTTCATAAAGTGTATAAAATCATCGACGTGCAAAATATTTACATCTTCTTTTTTAACTTGAGTCTGGCCCTCGTCCATATACAACTTTGCGCTTGACTTTTTTGCTCACGTCAGCGCAATCAAGACGAAATAAACCGAATCGAACGGAGTCGTACCGGGGCGCATATTTCTTTAATCGACGCCTTTGGAGACGGAAGAGAGAGAGTGAGTGGTGGGACGCTGGTTGCAACAACAAATTAAATCGATTCTGCTGCCCTGACGGACTGACTGACTGACTGGCTGGTTGGTTGGTTGGTTAGTAGAAAGACTCAAGCGCCTGCCTGACAGCCTTTGTGGTTGACTTTGTGGCTCCGTCTTTGTGGTGTATCATAACACGTCGCTGGCTATGTGACTGGCATATGATTTGCCAAAAGCTCAACCAACAACACGAACAACAAGAGAACAAACCAAATGAGTTTAATGATGTTGCTGCCTGCTCTGGGCTGCTTATTGATTCCGTGTCCTGCCCCGCCTCAAACTGGAGCTGCTGCTGTCTTGTCGAGGTGTTTTCTCAAATTGCTTCAATTAGTGCCCAAATATAATGGCCTTCGTTTTGTAGTTGCTCTTGTTCCCTCTTAAAAGGGATCCACGCGGCTCGTACCACAATCAAAAGTAATCGTCGCTGAATTGCTTGCCAAGTTTCCTTTTACTTAGTTTTCTCTCCCTCTTTGTTACCAGGTAAAACAGCTTAATGTGTGTGTGTGTGAGGTGGCGCCTTATACGAATTGCCTTAATGGTAATCTTGATGTAGGCAAGCATAAGCCTAAGAGTTCAACAACTATATAAAACAGATACAGTTGGTTAAGCTTCAGCTTATTGTAAGGTCTGCTTGCAAATAGTAAATAAAATAATAATAGCTCGATTTAGCTATATTTTCCCTCTCATAATACATTCAATATATACTTTTCATACTTTTAGTATAGCTCGAAACGATATTTATTTATGGATATGCAAAGCATTGCTCTTACAATCCATTAAGTCCATCTAGCTTGCTTCTATGTTCAGAACCATTTGCATGTGCTATTACACTCTCCCTTTGATCATAAATATATGTGTTTTTTATTATTTGTACGCTAAGCCAAAAATAAATTATATTTGCCATAAATTCCATTTGCGGCCGGCTGATTGCATTAAAATATTCGCCTGCACTTTTTACTGGCCACTATTTTTTATAACCCAGGCACAGGTCCAGTCCCAGGCTTTTAATTATGCTGTGCATCAGCGCAGAGGCCGACGTTGTTTTGTGTTTTACCAGTTTTTACCCTCCTAAAGAGTATAACATATAACATAAACCATATAACATATAACATATAACAGAGAACAGATAACAGAGAACAGAGAACAGAGAACAGAGAACAGAGAACAGAGAACAGAGAACAGAGAACAGAGAACAGAGAACAGAGAACAGAGAACAGAGAACAGAGAACAGAGAACAGAGAACAGAGAACAGAGAACAGAGAACAGAGAACAGAGAACAGAGAACATAGAACAGAGAACATAGAACAGAGAACAGAGAACAGAGAACAGAGAACAGAGAACAGAGAACAGAGAACAGATAAACAGAGAACAGAGAACAGAGAACAGAGAACATAGAACATATAACATATAACATATAACATATAACATATAACATATAACATATAACATATAACATATAACATATAACATATAACATATAATATAACATCTAACATATAACATAACATATAACATATAACATATAACATATAACATATAACATATAACATATAACATATAACATATAATATATAATATATAACATATAACATATAACATATAACATATAACATATAACATATAACATATAACATATAACATATAACATATAACATATAACATATAACATAGAGTATTTAGACTTCGATATGCTTTTGCCTTTAAATGTTTTTTGTGCATATTTTTAAACACATATTGTATGTAATTTTTTGTGTTTTCTCGACACGCAACTGCGCCTGTGTTTATGCTTTGTAATATTTTGTTTTTGCCATTTGGCGCTTAACAAAATTGCATTTAGCTTAAACACTGTAATTTGAGGCGCTTAAGCGCATTTAATTTGCTTAAACCACTTTAATTAAACGCAATTATGCTAAATGCAATTTTTGTTAATTATATTAAATTGATGTCGAGTCAACGTACCGAAGCCCTTTTCTCCGTCTGCACATTTTATTAAATGAGCCGGTTTTTGGTTGTGTGCGATTAAAGTTTTCGAAATTCCTGAAGAATTAGTATTTAAAAGTTATGTTGCTTGAATCACTCAGGAATATGAGAACCAAAGCATTTCTTCTTCGATTTGTTTACCTTATAAATAGTATACAAATGTCAGTCTCCCCAACAATAATCCATCTTTCTCTTTTTATTAAAGCACTCGGTTTGGCCAGCTCATCGCGCTTCATTCAAACGCCGCAGAGCCAAGCCATTGTTGAATCCGATGCTGCTGACTTTGGCTGCGAGGCCACAGGACCCTACGGCGACTTGCACTATGAGTGGCTGCATAATGGTGAGTACCACGCCAGAGTTAGTTCGACATCATGCCTTCAGGCTTCACGCTCCTCCATTCGATGCCATTGCAGGTCAGCAAATTGTATATGACAGGCGCGTCCTGCAAATTGGCTCCAATTTGCATATCGAGTCGGTGCAGCGCGAGGATGCCGGCGATTATGTGTGCATCGCAGCCAGCGCGGCCAGCGGAGCCAGGCAGGCGTCGCCACCAGCCAAATTGAGCGTGATATGTAAGTACCCAATTCAAAGACTAAATTAATAATTGAGCGTATGCCAAGTAGTCAAAGTGTCGGCCACGACTGTAAAAGGAACTTCTAAAAGCCGCTGAGTTCCTCCATTAAATTAATTAATAATAAGCCTAAGCAGATGTGCAAAACATCTGCAAATTAAGCAAGGCATTCACTGGGTTTCTTTAGCGCTAATAACATTTGATAAATAACGAATTTATGATTAGACGCGTCTAGCTTATACCCTCGACTTCCCTTTTCCGGCTGACCAGAACTGCAAGCTGGCAAAGGTGCAGAAGCATAAAAGCACACGAATAACAAACACAACAACATTGATCAAAGATAAAAAGCAAAACTTTTGATGTACATACGTCACGCACAACAACCAACTCATGCCTCATGCCCCGCCTCCTCCTGTGCTTGTACAGGAAGTGCAGTGCAATGCATTTACCAGCTAACGTTGCGTGGCCAAAACGAAGACACACAGAAAAAGAAATAAGAAATGAAAGAGAGAAGGAGAATGAAGAAGATCTATGCAACCAAGTGGCAAGTGCAGTTGCAGTTGCAGTTGCAGTTGATGTTCCTGTTCTTGTGCCCCTCGTCAGAGTCGGCGTCATGTGATTGATGTTCATTTAGTTGCATTGCCTTTAAGCAGAAAAATGCATAAATTTAACAAACAGTCGCTGCCCCTTGGCCCCCGTTTGCCCCCTCCTGCCCCCAGTGTGCAAGTAAACAAAGCGTATGGAAGTTTTATGCACAATCTGTGCTGCATGTGTTGCATGTGTTGCTGCTGGCTGCTCGCTGTCAGCACCGCCTGCTAGCTGATCAAAGAGGTTGCAGCATAACTCCAACCAATTTATAGCGTCTCGCGCGCTCCACACTCAAGTGTTTTACCCAATTAATTAACTAATTAATTTGTAGTTTTTGGAACTTGATTTTAATGGCAGCTGGCTGGCTCTCTCGCCCTGTTGAAAGGTCGCTAAATGTCTTAAAGCAAGAGTGGAGCATAAGAATACAATTTATTTTGAGTGTTCGAGTATGATGCCACAGCCCTTCGCTCTGGCGCCACTGAATGGCCAAGGGCTAAGTGGGTTAATGTGTGCCCCACTCCTGAAATATCCACAGGCAGACAGCAACTATTGAAATATGCATAGGGTCATCGTTCATCTAATCGCCAAGAGATGGCGCTGCTTGCAAATTCTTTGTGTCTGATTGGAACTTTTTGCATCAAGTAAATTGGCCTTTCGCTTGCAACATTGAACAAATTATCCACCACATACAGAAGATGATATCAAAAAATTAAAATCGAACGCAGTGTTCCCTTCCCTTCAGTAAACTAAACAAACACATTCGTTGAATAATTCTAATAACATGACGATGTGAAAGTCGATGCCAAATATCTGTATCGAAAAACAAATTATTATTTACGCTGGCAGCCCGCATGATTTGTTTTTGTTTATAACGTAGCGAAAACAATGAAATAATAGAGTACTTGAATGCATTGCATATACAATCGAATTGTTGCAATCCCATTCGCATATGAATTGCAGTATTTGTTGCAGTGTAGAGCTAACTGATGGCTATACAGATTCGAGCAGACAGCGTAGAAAAAGGACCAACTGAGCTAAGCTGAGCAAAAGCAAACGCAACTGAAACGGAGGCAGACTAGAGCCAGACAACTGGCAGCCAGTCAGACAGACAGACAGACAGTGAATTGAAGAGACAAACAGTGTAAAGGGGTTGTTGGACTCTCGCTGCAAGGATAACTCAAGGATACACACGGACCAACAGCTGAGCTGAGTTATGTATGTAGTGTGTGCCATGGAGACGAAGTTGGATACCCTTAAGAGGCGGACCAGTAATCCAAGGCAGCGGGCATGCTGAAATGTACATGGAAATGAAATGCAACATTAACACGAAACATAAACATAAAATGAGAAATGGCAACAGCAACAGCAACAGCAACAGCAACAACAACAATGGCAACCAAACAGCCAGCCAAAGTCATAAAAACCAAACAAAATGCAAAGACACAACAGCACAAAAGGGGGGCAAAAGCGAATAGGCAACAACGCTGTGGACAAACCAACCCTCAGAGCAACGATGCCTCCTCCCTCCCATCCCCTACTCCCCCAGCCAACCGACATTGTGCACACCGTCACCCCCATTCAATGCTGCTATTGTTGTTGTTGTATCTGTGAGCTACACAAGTTCAAGTTGACTGCAGTTGGCAAGTTGGGTTCTTGTACATTTCGGTGGGCCATGTGGATAATTTTCATTTGGTGAATGCCGGAAAAACGCATAAAATTTTACGAGCCCAAGCTTGAAAACATTAAAGGGACGCAGACAGAAATTGTAGTCAGCTTTTTGGCGCGTCTCTCTTCCATTGTATTTATCGCATTCTCTCGTATCGTCCCTTTTTCTCTTCCATTCTGGTCTATTTATCACACTCTGTACTCAAGTGAGTGCGATAGAAGGGTATATTGATATAAATAACTTTAAAATATATATTTTTTGTATATAACTTACGTATGGTATTTTTTAAATATGATATTTCCAGCTATGTCAATTGATTCCACAGGCTTACAATATTAACTATTAAGTGGTATCTGCTAGTCGACTAACTGTTCTGTCAGCTGCCTTCAGTTGCAGTTACATGAGTTGATCATTAGCCAAAAGTTTCAGCAATTGCGTAGATCTAAAGGCATTTGCGGCCGATAATCGAATGCTTAACGTTTTAATTTGAAAACCGCTTGACCATCCCAGAGAGCGGCCAACTTTAATTAAAGATACAGCAGCGCAGATAGCGCACTGAGCACAGGGCTTTGACCAAATGGTGCTCTAGTCAGTTGGCCATAAATTTGTCGTGAAAATTACAAGTCAGAACAAGGACAAAGTTAATGGAGATAAAAGATTTCGATTGCGCACTCAAAGATACAGTATATGGCATTGTCAAGGTACTTAATAATTCATGATTTCCCATTAATGGCTAATGCATATAAGAAGTCTTCATATACATATCTTGAAGAATTCTTTAGACTGTGCATAAGTATTATTAAGTATTAAGTATTAAGTATTAAGTATTAAGTATTAGGGTTAGAATTTGCTAAAATGCTTACAAGTTGAAAAAATTTGTATAACATCATCGATTTCTTCGAGTTGCATATTGACTGTGCTTGACTGTGTGGTTAAAAAACTGTTTAAAAAAAGTTTGTAGGAAGATACATAAATAAACATTGATGTTGCTTCGACAGCGTTGACGCGATATATCGATAGATCGAGCTTAAGCAAAAGCAAATTCTTGAAATTCAGGGACTTCATGGAATTGCTCAGTTTTGAGTTGATCGCTAAACGGAGAACACAGCCTTAAAATGAGTGATCCCTCTGAGTGTAAAACAATGTGCTTCGGTCCATCCTCGGAAATGTTGAAAGCCTTCAAGTTAAACTTTACGAATGAGAGTCTGGCCTCAACTAGCACTCAATTTGCTACTTATATGAATACGCTTGAGTTGACCAGCGATAATGTGTCCAAGGTATTCACAACTCTGCTTAGCATTGAGGACATAATCTCAATGCAGCCGTATGAAAAACTTATGCACTCAAACCACGTATATCATGATCATCACCGGAACGAATTCTATGTTAATTTAAATAACACCACAAATGGAGCTGAAGATGTATTGAACCCCTTTATAGACGAAGTGGTGCTTGTGTCGGCTAGTATTTCACTACCTCCAACGGAGCTATACATTATGGCGGACTGTCATTTATTGGGAAATGTACATAAGCGTCACGTTGGGAAAATTACGATGGTGAAATGCAAACGTGTTTGGTTTAATTTGTACGAACCGAAACAGTTTCCGAATGATCCGTTAGAACTTAGAGTAAAACTACGTCCAGAGAAAGTGCTAAATAAAAGTTTCCAGGTGATCTTTCGTTCGCCTCGCACACCATTTAATTTCATGTACAACGCCTTAAAACTACTGGCCAACTGCAGTTATACGCGTCAATACCTTTATCCCATATCCAACTCCAAAAACTGGCACCATCAGAAATCGTTGACCGATCAACTAAAAGCTAGTTCGTTACTCAACGAATCGATAGCAACAAATCCTGAACAGTTGACAGCTGTGCGCCAGATTCTAGCTGGGCCCGATACGAGGGCACCTTTTATTGTGTTTGGCCCTCCAGGTAAGTGACCGAAGATCGCTTGACTGAATTGCTAAGTCACGTGCTTAACTGAATTATAAATTTAAGGTACTGGCAAAACTACAACAATTGTCGAGGCCATACTACAACTATACATTCAGAAGCAATCGTGTATTATTGTTACAGCTGGCTCGAATTCAGCCTGTGACACAATTGCTTTAAGAATTTGCGAAGCTATTGAGACTAAAAGATTTGGCATGATAGCTAAAAAGTCACAAGGTTGGAGATCTAAACTGGAGTTTATACGCATTTATTCGAGTACCTACCACAACCCTATAGATCCAAGGCTCGGAAAATGTTTCAGCTGTGTGAATGATACAAACGCTATTAAAAATATCTTAGCCGGTTGTAAAATTGTTGTTGCTACATTATGCGGCGTTGCCCGCATGTATCATTTGACTGGATGGAACAAATTCAGTTACATTTTCATTGATGAGGCGGCCGCATCAATGGAGCCCGAGGCATTGATGGCCATTGTGGGCGTTAAGCAACAGGATTGCCATGTTATACTATCCGGAGACCACAAGCAACTGGGTCCAGTTATAAAGAGTCAACGTGCGGCATCCCTAGGACTGGGCCAATCCCTAATGGAGCGCCTGCTCCTTAACAAGCTATACAATGTGAACAACGAAGGCAACTATGATACCAGACTGCAGTCACGCTTGCGTCGGAATTACAGGTCCCATCCGGCGATCGTTGGAATTTACAATAAACTTTATTACGATAATCAGCTAATACCATTAGCCCCACTGCAAAAGGTTGGCCAAGCCGCCAAATGGAGTATTTTGCCAAACGGAGAATTCCCCATCTTATTTAATTCGACGTACGGAAAAACGGAGCGCGCACGGAATTCCACCAGCAGCTTCAATGAGCTGGAGGCAGAGAGGGTCTGTTGGTTTGTAAAGTTTCTTTTAAAAAATGGCCTTGGTGACGGTATACAAGTGCAGCAGGACGAAATTGGTGTCGTAACTCCATATTTGGCTCAAGCTAAGCTCTTAAAACGTATGCTCAATTTGAAAGATGTGGAGGTTGGCAGCGTGGAGCGCTATCAGGGCCGCGAAAAACCAGTTATTATTGTATCATTGGTCAGCTCATTCATGCATCCACACTTCTTATCTAATCCAAAACGCGTGAACGTATTTCTATCGCGTGCCAAGTTTCTGATGATACTGATTGGCAATCCAACGACTTTGAGCGAAAATGACGATTTTAAATACATCATCGATCAATGCAAGCAGCATGGCAACTGTCTATCAGATGACTTCACACATGAACATATAAGTGCCAAGGAACCAAATCAAAAGCAAAACGATGCTGAGATAAGCAGTTCCTCCTCTACCCTTCATATGGATAATCTGGTGATGAGGTTGGAACATCTTGGTATATATAAAAAAAAATGTAACTAAAGCATCATATATACTTCTACATTATATACATTATATTATACGCTACACTTGAATTCAATTGAAAAATACAAATATGTCAATAAAAGCTGCTTAGCTTTGTTTGCCACTATTCGCTGCCATCATTAGGCACAAATCTATTTTCACTTCAGTTAATTAGAGTTGACCGTCTTTAGACGAAATAAACAATTTTTGATTATCAATTAATTACATTTATATAGTAACAACAAAAGTGCAATGCAGTGCAGTGCAGTGCAGCTTATCTTATCAGCACCTCTATTCGATTATACGTGCATTTGACAAAATAAGACACAGCCGGCACACTTTCCAGGTTTTATGAATTGGGGTAAGACCCGGCAAATGGCTTTAAGTATCAGCGATAACTAGAAACTGCTGCCACACCGGTTCTATTCGTGTGCCGATAATTTTGTTGCTTGCCCTTCAACGTTTAGGCTCGCTGTATTGTTTATTCGGGGCGAGTTTACTTCACCTATCTTTTATTTTTTATTTTTATCATGGTTACCAGTCCGAGTCGGGACAATTGTTTACATCATTGAGGTTTATGTTCAGCCATTCCTTAGTTTTTTTTGGTTTCAGAACCTTTGTCTGCCCGTTCACCTATTGAAAGTTACATACAACGTGTGACTGATGGTCGTCTTCCTCTGCAACTCCTTCCACTGCTTATCGAGCAGGTGGGGTGCAGGTGTTAATAGATGTGCCTATGGCTTTGTTAGTTTCCTGTCGATGATGCATACATCAATCTAATGTTACGCTTTTTGATTAGCGACTTCAAAGTTAAGTAACTGGTAAAAAATTGTATCTATATAATATAAAATGAATAATATATATATATATTAATTTATACATATCAAATCAGTTTTATATTATGTAGATAACATTTTTTACCAGTTACTTTGGTTGAGTGTGCCCACATATAAGAATCGCTAAAAATACTAAACTCTCATTGCGTATTTTTTTGTATATCGATATATCGTTCACACTTTTTTTTTATATATATTTATGTTGAATATTGTTCAACAAACTGAATAAACTATAAGCTAATAATAAAACAAATTTAACGTTGCATAAATGATTATTATTATGTTATTAAATTTTATTGTGTATTATTATTTTTAAATCAAGAAACACTGTTGTGACTAATGAAATATAATTTGATTGATACATTTACTATCTGCAACATAAATAATAAAAACTTTTAAAAACAGAGAGAGAGAGAGATATATAACTTTTAGCTGACTGCCAAAAGATAACTTTCAATACATTTGGAGAGAGTGTTTAGAGGCACATTTTTTATTATTAATAAAATAAATGCAGTATATATTAAATCTATATTATAAATATATTTACAATTTAAAATGCTTGCTACGTATAAGCTGTGCTATTTTTGCTCAGCTGATTTAAGTGTAGCAAACCAATAATTGTTGTAGGGTCATAGAAAAACTGAGAGCGTGAGTGAAATCTCCTCCCATACACTCAACTATTGCATGCGCATTGTGAATGTGTAAGAGTATGTGTATGTGTGTGTGTGTGTGTGTGTCTGCATGTACATGTATGACTGAGTCACCACGGAGAACTTTGGTTTTTGTGATTCCCATTAAATTCAGTTGCGAATCCAACGCTGTTCAAGTTTCGAAGCAGTTTCGCTGCTCTCCCATTATTAGTTGCGAGTGAACCGCTGATCGAGCGTAAAGCATATTTGTTTGCTGTGCTGTAGTTATTGTGAATCCTTATCAAGCTTTTAATTGTTTGTAAAACAATTTAATTGGCTTTTTGCCATTAAGAAAATGAGCCAAGTATCTAAGTACGAGCCCAGCGCTGCAATGCTGCATGCGCTAGAGCTAGAATTTTCTGATGAAATTCTTACTAAAACCGATGCAACTTTTCGTTCCTATTTGGAGCATCGTCAATTGAACTATGAAAATGCAATTTCCGTACTTAGGATGTTGCTCAGCATTGAGGACTTAAGCACACTAATGCAGTATTCTCAGATAATGCAGTTCGATGTGCCAGTCCAATTGACTAAGGCGGGCAGATTATCCATTAAGCTGTCCCAAAAGGCAAATCAGATAATGTTGGTACCCTTAGTGGACGAGGTTGTGCTACTGCCCGTTGGCACTCTGTCAGCTTCGGAACAGCCAATACAACGCATCCCGAAACTCTTCAACAATGTTGGCAGAGTTTTTGTAGTTACCAATGTGACGAAAGAGTGCGTTATCATAGAACCTAGTAGATTCTCCAATGTGTCACCAAAATCAATTAAAAACACAAATTTTGATGTGATCTTTCGTTCTCCGCGAATTCCGTTTCGTGTAATGTATCTAGCACTGAATCGATTTACATCAGATCCAAAAACGCGTCGCTATCTATTTCCGCACGTGAATACACCAAAAATAAGCAGCAACTCAGGCAGATTGTCATTAATCAACGCTGACATTCAATCTAATCCTGAACAATTGGAGGCCATACAGCAGATCGTTGCTGGGCCTAACCCGGAAGTGCCCTACATTCTGTTTGGACCCCCAGGTAAGCGCAAGGGAAAGCATGTGGAAAATGGAGAACTGCATTAAGCAATCACAAATCACTTTCAGGCACCGGCAAGACCACGACAATTGTGGAGGCTATTCTTCAAGTGTACCTAACGGGGCGGGGTCGTATCCTCGTATCAATAGGCTCCAATGCAGCTTGCGATGTGATAACCTTGAAGCTAATCCAGCATATTGAAAAAGATAAACGTCTTCAGTCACTTCAGTCCGGAGAATCAGGGCTCCTTCGCCTGATCTCGGCCACACAATTTAAGAAGCATGTTAAATCTATTCATCCCGCTGTGTTGAAGTACTCCAACTATGAAGAGAATCGAAGGAAGAAGACTAAATCTCGCACAGGCTTGAAAAAAATTGATTTAGCAAAATATAAAATCGTTGTGGCGACTCTGTGCTTGTCTGGATTAAGAGCTGCACGGAGTCTTGTCAAATTTACCCACATTTTCATTGATGAGGCCGCATCCGTTTCAGAGCCAGAGACATTGCTGGCGATTGCGGGTATTAAAAATGACAATTGCCATGTTATACTCTCTGGGGATCACCAGCAGTTGGGCCCCGTCGTAAAGAGCAAACGTGCCAAGAGTCTCGGATTGGATCATTCCGCTATGGAACGCCTGTTGCTGCATAAAATGTACGAAGTAAACGAGAAGGGTCAATACGATCGCACAGTGCAGTCACGATTACGGCGCAGTTACAGAGCGCACCCGGAGATCATTGGGCTCTACAACAAGCTCTTTTACAATGGCAATCTTATCCCAATGGCACCGATGGCACAGGTCAACCAAGCGGCCAATTGGAGCATGCTGGCAGATGGAAAGTTTCCAATTTTGTTCCAGGCAACACATGGCGAAACGGAAATCGAAACCAATTCCACCAGTAGCTTCAACATGCTGGAGGCACAGATGGTCTGCTGGTATGTGCTGAGCCTGCTGAAAGATGGACTTGGTGGCGTTAAGGTGGAGCAAAACCATATTGGCATCGTGACTCCATATTTAGCTCAATACCAACTGCTAAAGCGTATGCTACGCGTAATTAAACAGGAATCGGTTGAAGTTGGCACCGTGGAGAGATTTCAGGGGCGTGAAAAACCGATTATGATTGCATCGCTGGTTAGCTCATTTTCAGGCGCAAGTTTCCTATCCAATCCACGCCGGATCAACGTGCTGCTCTCCCGTGCCAAATTGTTGCTAATACTGATTGGTAATCCAATCACCCTAGGCAAAAATCAAAATTTCAAATTCATTATCGATCAGTGCAAGGCTCACGGCAACGTACAGTACAAGATGAACAAAATTAAGGACGATAGCATTGTCGATCTACTGAAGAACTTAAAACTGCAGGATATTAAAGACGAAGAAATGACCAGCAGCCAATCATCTTTGGACTCCATTTAGTATGAACTCCAAGAGTTGTGAATTTTTTACGTTTGATTGCAGCAAACATCAATTTCAGAAAATTTTAAGCCTTTTGCTAATTTAATATTCAATCAAAAATTTCAGATTTTGTTCAGTAATTTTTAGTTTCTCTGGTGCTTAAAATATGTTTTTTTTTTTAATTTTTGTATTTCTCAATTAAATCGTTTTTTATATCAATATTGATTTAATTTATTTGCTTTATCTAATTTTAGAAAATTCTGTAAAGCGTAAAATATTTAGTATAAATTACTTTTGAGTTTCCAGATTCATTTTCATATTTGAGTTTCGACTCTATCTCTTACTTATGACCGTGTCATAACTTTTATAAAGCATATTACATATATTTTTATCTGTACAAATATTTTTTATGCTCAACCTGCCCGCTAGCCGCGCTAGCATCCGGGCAAATGGCTAATGGATGTATGGTGCTGTGTGGATATTTTGCCTAGCCTATCTGAATGTTTGCCAGCTCCAGCTCCTAGACTCCCAAACTGGGTCTGTAGCTTGGCCTGGGTCTGCGGTTTGCTGGGCGCGTTGGAATATTTACATATGCACATAAATCTTGTTTAGGCTCCGACTTTGTTTGTCTCAGTGTACGACTGCTGAGCGGGCGGCAGGGAAAATGCTTCTAAATATTTGTAGATACTTATTTGGTGGCATAGAAAAAATAAACAACAGCAACAACAACAGTCTGCAGCGACAGCAACAACTCAATAAACATCGCCGTGTCGTCTCTGATGCCAAAGCCGTCGAGGAAGTGTCAAAACTTTGTTATGTATTTGTTTTGGTATTTCTATATGTGTGTGTGTGTGTGTGTTTGTGTGTGTGTGTATTTTGACTTGGCCACGTTGCCCAGCGGCAATTGCTTTGCCTTATATATGTTAAGGCCAAAATGACAGTAGAGTGAACTAATTGGCATCCAGACAGCGCTGTTGCACAAAAGTATCTAACGGATAAAGTAGATAAAGGGCACAGCTGTGATAGGAAGAGTTAAGCATTCAGGCTTGTCAAATGGTTCACGGGTCCGTTTGAATAGGGGTCAATATATCCCATGGTTCTCAGTTGTTTGTCTCAGCAGATACAAAAATATCTAATAGATACTAACATCAAGATATAAATAAAGCTCGCGTATCTATATATACTTGCTTCTCGTATTTTATGTATACTTTTACTTTAGTTCGCCTTTATGTTTCAGCTGCAGAGGCCACTGCAAAATCCACTCTATACACACCATAATAACTTAAATATTGAATTCAGACTTATTGATGACCAATCAGTGCTTCGCTATATATAACTAGTTATTCAGCATCGATTTTGTACGCAACTTGGGGCTGGATAATTAAATACGTGCCTACGAGCCAACGCAATGGCAATTCTATGCCAGCACTGCCACGCCCTTAAAAGCGCGCCTTAAAACATAATTTCAACCTGGGGCATTGCGTTGCGTTGCACATTCTTCATTTTATGTTTTTGCCACAAACTGTTTTTCTCATGCTGCAATTGTTGCCAAGTACCGTTCGCCTTTCGCTAAACGCTCGTCCCGCGCCCGTCTGGGTCGAGGCGAAAAAACTCGGCGCGCTTAATACCCTGTAGACGTTGAAAATGGTTGTCATTGGGTATGCTGAGTATAATGTTATTGTACAAATGTAAATCTTGTCGACTTCAGATCTATGCTTGTCAAATATATATATATATATAATACATTAATTATAGTATTTGATTTATCTATTTGGCAAGAATGCTCAAATAAATGTATTTGAAGTCGAACAGATTTCAGAAACTATAACAACTAAGCACATAAGAACTAAGAAATTCAGAAAAATGCTCTCATTTCGCAACACTCGTATTTAGTCTACGAAAACTGAAGTCTCACAAATCGAAGATATCATAAATATATGTTCGATCATAATACAGGGTATCTGCCAGTCCAGACTAGAACTGCAGCCTGCGAAGTATTTACATATAGCCAAAGACCCTTGCAGCTGACTGACAGTTCAATTTATGCTTCCTCTGCGCCTTAAATGGGCTGCCAGGCAGCGCGATAAAGGCAAAGATTGCAGCGTCGTGTTTGGCTCGTTGGGCTGACTATAAAATGCACTTAATGCAGCGAGCAAGAAAGAAAAAAGCGAATTCACGCTACACAACTAGCTAGGAATTGCATTAAAACCGAATATGCATCTTGCGGATATTTATTGGGCATATTTATGGAATGCTGAATGATAAAAACTCTGATCGATTCGAAGAACAATCCAAACGACATTTGCCTTCGCTGATCACAACAACAAATTATATATTCTACTCCTCTTACGCAATCTCAGCTATATTATTGCAATGCTCCGATGTCAGCGCTTCAATATTTTGGTCTCAATTTATCAAATGCAGCAAAATATTTGTGTTTATTTTCCTATTGGACTCCAGGCGAGGCATAGATAACTCTGATATGTATATGTTTGTGTCGCGTTGCTGCCGCTGCATAAATTTAACTTGTTAATAATAAAACATTTTTTCTTTCTTTTCTGTTCCATACACAGATCTGGATGCGGTCAGCGTGCAGCTGCTGGGCAGCAATCGGAACGAGCTGCTGCTCAAGTGTCATGTGGAGAGCTCCTCTGGCGATGAGCCGCTGGAGATCGAATGGTATCGGGACAGCACCAAGCTGAGCAGCTGGCAGAACGTGGAGCTGCAGCAGCATCGCCTGCTCGTCCGCCAGCCAAGCAGCGCCGATGATGGACTCTATCGCTGTGTTGCCAACAATCCGGCGGCTCGTGTGATGAGCCGACATGGTTATGTGTATCAGCATTTGGCGAGTCTGACGCCCGTGCCACCCAAGTGTCTGCCCAAGCTGAAGAAGAACCAAAAGATTCCCAAATCCTGGGGCAAGCAAGTCTTTTTGTGTCGCGGCAAGCGTGGCGGCAGCATCGCCGCAGGCATGGACCAATCACAGTCGCTGCCGGCATCGCCCGAAGGGCTGCGTATTGTACAGGGGCCCAATGACAAGCTTATCATCAAGGAGGGCGAGCCGACAGCCCTTAGCTGCCTCTATGAGCTACCTGCTGAGTTGCAGAATCAGCGCATTCAGCTGCGCTGGCGCAAAGATGGCAAAATCCTGCGACATGTGGAACTTGGCGGCGCTATAATACCCGGCCTGACGCTGGACCACGGCAAGGATGCATTGGTCCGCGAAGACGGACGACTGGTGCTGCACAAACAGAATGGCACCCTCAGCTTCAACAGCATCATTGCCAGCGATGCGGGTCAGTATATGTGCCAAATACAGCTGGAGGGACATGCGGCAGTCAACTCGGCGCCCGGCACACTCGAGGTCATTGAACAGCTGAAGTTTATGCCGCAGCCAACATCGAAGAATCTGGAATTGGGCGCTCTGGGCAAGCTGCACTGCAAAGCTCAGGGCACACCCACGCCGCAGGTGCAATGGTTGCGGGTGAGTCATCAACAAGAGAAGAGAAACAATTGATAAAAGTGAATTGTAAGGATGTAGTAAGGATGACTGAAAAATCTATTTTTATGTTTGGCTGGAACTAATGCCCCGACCGACTCTTGAGATGTTTGCGTTGACTGGCTGCTGGCTAATGTTAGTAATTGGTTTTTATACCCAAGTATGGTCCACAAAATAGTTTTTAAAGTAGAATTCTTCAATGAGGCCAGAGTTAATCTTTGCAAATGTCAGAAGTCAGTTTCACTCCACACTCGATATTGAGGCTTGTAACTTCCTCTCGCTCCTCGGTGTCCAGCGGACAAATTGAAAAACGCAACGCGACGCTGTGTAAACGTTTCTTTCAGCAAACATTTCATATGCAAAGCCCCTATTGAGTCCAGCGAGACTAGCTAAACCCACTCGCCCGGCTCTCGCCAGCTCCCTCTAATATGCGCTCTTCGCGCGTTGTTTGCAGCTGTTGTGCAAGCGCCGACCAATTTTGACAACTGTTTGCCCATTTGCCCGAAAATTGTCCAGCGTCGAAAAAGCGAAAGAAAAATGTGAAAATATCAACGCTTTTTCCATTTGCCGCCCGTCTAAAACAAACGCACCTCTTACCACCTTGTCCCGGGGCACGCGATGCGAGGTTGGGTTTTTGCATTTTAGATGAAAACGCGTCGAACTGGGCTTTGAAATTGGTTTGTAATAGTCCATGTAACTTCTGTCTACCTACACAGGATGCGGCGAATGACAGCCTGCCCGAACACGTGGATGACATCAATGGCACTTTAATCTTTAGGAATGTGAGCGCCGAGCATCGCGGCAACTATACGTGCGTGGCCAGCAATAGTCAGGGACAGATTAATGCCACCGTATCCATCAATGTGGTTGTCGCGCCCAAGTTCAGTGTAGCGCCCGAGGGACCCATAGAGACCAGCGAGCAAGGCGTGGCCGTCATACACTGTCAGGCTATAGGTGATCCCAAGCCGACAATACAATGGGATAAGGATTTAAAGTATCTAAGCGAGAATAATACGGATCGGCAGCGCTTCAGCTTCCTGGAGAATGGCACGCTCGAGATACGCAATGTCCAGGCCGAGGATGAGGGCAAATATGGTTGCACCATTGGCAACAGTGCCGGCCTCAAGCGTGAGGAGGTTCGACTGATGGTGCGTATCAGTGGCGATGGTTTCATTACGGAAGAATCGACTGGGGATGGTTTCCTGGTGACACGCGCTGTGCTCATCACGATGACCGTTGCCCTGGCGTACATAGTGCTCGTGGTGGGCCTTATGCTGTGGTGTCGCTATCGCCGTCAGGCACGCAAGGCGCGCCTCAATGAGCTCAGCATCAAGGAGGCGGGCGGTGATCAAGCGGAGTCCGGCAAGAGCACGGAACAGGAGCCCTGCCTCTCTAAGCAACGCAACGGACATAACAAGTCTCGCGCAGCCAATGGCGATGCCCAGAAATCCGATGATACCGCTTGCAGTCAGCAGTCCAAGGCATCCAAGAAGTCTGCACATATCTATGAGCAGCTGGCTCTGCCGCGCTCCGGCCTCAGTGAACTCATACAAATTGGACGCGGTGAGTTTGGCGATGTGTTCGTAGGCAAACTGAAGGCCTCCCTGGTGGCAGTTGCGTCTCCCAGCGACAGGGATGCTGATACTGAGAAGCAGCACAGCAACAGCGAGAATGGCAGCGGCGCCAGCGGTGCCAGCGGCAGCGGCAGCACCACCCTAAGCACTTTGAACGAGAAGCGACGCTCCAAAACATCCATGGACGATATTGAGGAAATCAAAGAGGAGGAACAGCCACAGGAACAGGAACAGTCCGAGTCGACTGCCGATCAGCTGGTGCTGGTCAAGGCACTAAACAAGGTCAAGGATGAGCAGGCTTGTCAGGAGTTCCGCCGTCAGCTGGATCTGCTGCGTGCCATCTCGCACAAGGGCGTCGTTCGTCTGTTTGGCCTGTGCCGCGAAAAGGATCCCCATTACATGGTGCTGGAGTACACGGACTGGGGTGATCTCAAGCAGTTTTTATTGGCCACAGCTGGCAAGGTTAATACGGCCACAGCCACATCCTCGCCGCCCCCACTAACCACCAGCCAGATGCTTGCTGTGGCTTATCAAATCGCTCGCGGCATGGATGCAATTTATCGCGCTCGCTTCACCCACAGGTAAGATCAATTAGAGCTTGTTAACTGGGAATTAAAGAAGGAGGCGCTCAGAGACTATCTAATTTGACAGGCATTTTAACTTATATAATTTCATCTACTAATTGAATCATAAAATATATCTTTAGCGAGTTCTCAATTCTCATAAGTATTAAAGCCAAAATTGCCGACTAACTGCAGTCACTTAATCTACATCAGAGACAGCTGCAAGCAATTTGCAACGTCTCGTTAAGGGACTTTATAACAGCTCGAACTTGCAGTAGAATTAGATAATTGAGCCAATATATCTTCGATGATGGCCATTAATCGGTGCTGCCTCTAACTCCTTGTTAAACTTCCAACAGAGACCTGGCCACTCGCAATTGCGTCATCTCCAGTGAGTTTATCGTTAAAGTCGCCTATCCGGCCCTCTGCAAGGACAAGTACAGTCGCGAATATCATAAGCATCGGAATACGCTGCTGCCCGTGCGCTGGCTGGCACCGGAATGCATACAGGAAGATGAGTATACCACCAAGAGTGACATTTTCGCCTTTGCTGTGGTCGTCTGGGAGCTGTTCAATCAGGCGACAAAGCTGCCGCACGAGGAGCTGACCAGCGAGCAGGTGGTGCAGCGTGCACTGGCCAATACCCTGGAATGGTCCGTGGCCGAGGGCACGCCCGATTGCCTCAAGGAGATTTTGGTACGTATCCTTACATTGCCCATCTAATGGCAGTTAATTAATTTATGGATCTGTCCATTGCACCACCCACAGCTCTCCTGCTGGCTGGCCAATCCCAAAGAACGTCCATCTTTCAGTCAGCTGGGAGCTGCGCTTAGCAAGGCCATGCAGAGTGCCGACAAATAGACGCGCCACACCGATGACTGACATAGTGTTGGTAAACGTTAAAAAAGGAAATTTATATAAAACGGAAAAACAGTTTGCTAACTATGCCAAATATAATTTGTAGTATTCTCCTAGTGCATAAAGCGGCTTAAGTTAAGTTTGATACAGCTCCGAAATTTCGAGCGTAAGTTCTGCATTGTACTGAATTAATTTCATGTGCTAGGCGCATGTACAACATGCGTACTTAATCGTAACTTAAGATTAGTATATCTTTTATTGTACAAACCATATAAGCATTGATATCTTCTCAAAAGTATTTACATACGTGGTGCTGCATAGAGCTCTCAATGCAGCTAAAATGTATATAAAAAAACTGCCACAAAAATTTGCATTTGAACCAGTTGAAGCATTTATAGCCGTAGACTTGGCAGCTCGAAAGATGCCAAGAAATATTTTAAAGCTACCCTAATCAATATCGGTATTTGCTAGGCCTAAGTTCAAGTTTTATGAATTCAACAATTTTCAGAAAATATTCATAAAACATAATATAAAGTCATATATATATAACAAATCAACAACAATTATTCATAGAGGTTTTTTTATTTTGGAATTTTACAACTAAGCCAAACTTCAATTTAGCGTGACAACTTTTAATCATAGATCATCATTTCTATATACATCATTTTCTATATATATATATACACATATTACACACATACATACATATATACATATACTATATATAAGCATATAAGCCGTAACAAATTTATAACTAGCTGTTTAAGCTTTGATGCATGTTTACAAAACATTTAAATGAAATAATAAACACAAATAAATAAAATAAGCAAAGCCCAAACTCGAAATCATTTTAAGTGCTTAGCCCAAGCAGGCGACAAGGCTCCGGAAAGTAATATATAAAAAAGCAAAGCACAAATGCAAATAGCTTAGGCAAGATGCCTAGAGATGCCACTATTCGACTTGGGGATACTCTATAAAATATAAATTAAATTTGCCAAATTTTTAAATATTTACAAAAAAATAAGTAGTTCCTTCTTATTTATATGGACATGAAGTGACATATGCAAATAATGAAAAAACAATTGTAAGTATTATATTTATATACTTATTTAATTTAATTTTATTTTATTTTATCTAATTTAATTTAATTTTATTTTATTTTATTTTGTTTAATTTTATTTTGTTTGTTAACAATTTTGCTACTAAATTGTAAATCGATCAATTTATAATTTTTTAGAGTATAGATTTAACTTTTTTTAAGACTTAATCTGTATAAGCTTCATACTTGAATCAATTTATTAATTAGCTAACAGGCTTTTGTGGCCAAAAATTTAAAATAGTATTGACCTGCTTATATGTTACTAAAGGGCATTCTAGCCCATGGAATTACATCCTAAACACTAAGGTCAACTTGCTTATTTCACAATGGTGCCCATCTAGATTATACGAAGTCGTTACTCTGTGTTCCACATGAACCTATTTTATACAATTCTCTGCAGCCATCTTATTAGTATAGGGTACACAAAAAGGAGCCACAAATATAGTCGAATAGAAATGCTGAGCTGCCGACCCCTTGTTATGCTGTGTAACTACTTTTTATAGACATTTCATTTGGCGTGGCAAATTTGTTGACGGTCCTTCGAGCACTGCCGCGATTTGCCATCCCGCGCGTTCACACTTCACTTGATTTGAAAAATGAGCATCTATTGAATGTCGGATTGGGAATTCAGTTTCGGTTTCGGTTTCGGTTTCGGCTTGGCTAACAAAACAACATGGCAATAAACCGTAAAGTTGCCTAAGCTTATTTGGCTCTTAAAGTTGGCCGGAAGTTCGCCTAGGCCAAGGAGTCTACGTTGCGAAAAAAAAGTTTTGCCGTGCGAAAAACTTTAGCAGCCAACCGAGCGATATTTGCATTTGAATCAACACAAATACAGGAACAACAACAACAACAACAGCCATGCCGTATACAATGAGCTAGCGTTTTTTGCCAGCCTATATTTTGTTGTTTCCTTTTTTGCTGCCTGCCAATTGTGACCAGCTGTGGCAAGTTGGGGCCCAAGGAATATAGGCTGTTTAGCATTTCCTGGCACGTACAAATTTGCTGTCATGAATTTCAAATGCCTAAGCAAAGGCTGATTGAACAATTCCCAAAAAAAATGTGCCAAAAGAAATACTTAGCCCTTTGGCTTAAACGAAGCGAAGATACCCTTAGCCGTAGCATATACAATTTTTAAGTCAAATTTAAATGGGTCCAAAAAGGTATTTAACAAAATTAATAAGGCAACGTAAACACTTTTTTAAATTAGCATAGTTTTTGGTACAACAAATTAAAGTTAATAAGTAGACAACTTTTATTTGGAGTATATTTTTTATTGAAATCGAATTTTTGGTTTTATTTGTAACACGAAAATTATTTAGCTACAATTCTTATGCCAAATTCAAATTTAATATTTATTTTATATATAGATTCCAATAGTTACAATATAAAAATAATTACATTCTTAGTGCACTGAAATTTCAATCAGTGTCCGGAGAATTTATTGTAATTTCAATTTATTTTTTTCCATGCATAATTCAAAGCTATTTGTTTAATTAAATTTATTCTGCTAAATTAATATAACTCTATTTATTTTCAAAAATATATTTGAATTATGAACTTTTTACTATATTATTAAATTGAAAATTCCCAATAAATTTATTTCAAGGTTTAAACTAAACTTATTGGTTGTGGAATGCAAGATTAGCAAGCCGAATCGCCTTGAGCTGGAATACCAAAGGATATTAATTAATTGCAGACATTTGCTCTCAATTTGTAGGCAACTCTGATAACTTGTAAGAACATCCACACTATGCTATTCGCGCATTGGGAACATTTTAATTTAATTCTCAGCCGATGCCGAAAGCTAACAGAAATTAGTGCAGTAAAAAACTGCAAAAGGCAAATACAGCCCAAATAGAGCTGCATAGAGACAGCCCAAATACGTTTGGCTTATGCAACTATTCCTGACAGTCAGAGGCCATGAATAAATCAATGCGAAATGCAGTTGAAGCTCGGCGTCAACGTCAATGTTTGTGTTCTGTGCTTTGCATGGCTGATATCCAAAAATGAATTTGCTGAAAAATACATGAAGCCATAGCGCATATGGCGTATGCGCAATATTTGTTATTGTAGACAAAAGCCTAAGCTTAACAGCATTTTTTTTGTTTGGTGGTATTTTGTACATTTGCATATCTCACACACACACACATGCAAAAATGCCATTCAATTTATTAATATTATGTATGAGCATAAAGAGCGCGAGTTGAAATGGCTTCGCCAATTGAAGCGTAAAATGTGCATTACTCATACGCCGCATATGCCACACACATACATACATGGCCCCCAGCTGACCTATGCCACTTTACTATGCCTTTTACCTGTTCACGTGCACAAAAACACACACACACATATGCACACATATACACATAAATTATACATTACGCATACGCCGAGTAAATTTATGCGAGCCAAAAGTAAATGTTTGGCAAATAAATTACGCGCTAAATTAAGGCTTTTGTATGCGAGCCCTAAGTGACTCGGCAATTGACTGCAAACTCAACTCGTTGCCAAAAAACAAAGCTCCAGATTGATGGCCCGCAGGCAACTTCAACTTGCAGCATCCAGCTAGGAGCAGGCAGCAGGCAGCAGGCAGGAAATAGCAGCAGTGGGTGGAGAAGGGGAAGCATAGGGCACATCAGCCTCATTATGTAGTCGCCGAAAACATATTTTCGCATTCATCAGCAGGCGAAAGTTTCGCAGCCGACTGCCAACTGCCGACTTCCAGGCACATAATTGAAGCACATCGCAGACTCATTTGTTACCGACTCCCGGCATAATCATATTGCTGTCAGTAGGCAATGGCAGCGGGTAGCAGATTTGATTGCTTGGCCCGGTTTTTATAGCATTTTCATTTGCAGCGCAATTAGTGCTTTGCCAGAGTTCTGACAAAGCTCGGGAATTGTGTTTTTAGGCCAGGCGCACTGAGCAGCTGCGTTTATTAAAGGTTTAACTTGCATGTGCAACATGTAAGCGCAGATAATCAACACAACTTAGGCTGCCTTGAGAGACTGAAAAGTCTCATACATTGCCCCCAACTAATTTAATTATTTCATTCATTCAGCTACTGCAAAGTCTCAGTAAATCAGTGCAGCAAGCCAGCCACACAACCCACAGCGTCTGCCGCCACGCGCCGCGACTGCAAAGCCTTTTTGAGCGTATAAATTTAATTAAATTAGTTTCAACTTGCATAAGTCGAGTACAAAAAAAAAAAAGAAACGAGCGAAAAATTTAATATTTCTTTGCCTGCCTTTACGAGGGCTGTTTGCCAAAGTGCGCGCGGCACGAAGCATGACCCAAACCCGAGCTAACACCCCAAATGGCAATCAGACTCACGTTCTGGGCCAGCTTGGCCATGCGACGTTGACGTTGATGCCACTTTATGATTATTATTAGAAGATTATATTTGCTTAATTTCCAGCCAAACTCACACTTTTCTGCTGATGTCAGCCGAATGTAGCTGCCCTGGATGAGATTGTGGCATACTCAAGAAAAACTAAAAGGAATGCAATGAGTTCTCATACAAACATAGGATATCATATGAGCTTCTATAGATATTTTTACGGTTTAGAACTCTTTAAAATCTCTGTTAATTTTACTCACATAAACCCATTCTCCAAGTTCAATGATATCCTTTCTGTTCAGCAGGCGAAAAGGTCATTGAAATATACGAAATGCGAGCAGAAAACTAATTAGCATTAAATGAGGGTTAACTGGCAAATGTGGCTGACAGTTAAAGTTCTGGCCTGGCTGACAGTGGAAATTATGAAATGTCTCAAATGAGTTGGGCCCTGACTGTAGCAATCAGACAATCAGTAGCAAAACAGACAGGTAAACGCTGCGCTCGCAGCAATAGCTTAAAGCTGAGCTGAGCTGAGGTTTATTTGGACAAACAGGCGAAGACTTGAGCGCAGACAAAGGCGACATTGAAACAAAACGCTTGGCAACAAGCAACCCCGAGTGTTGGCGAAGGGATTCGAAATAATAAAAAAAATATATAGCAAGAAAAAGAGGGCAACGGGATGAGACAGGACATGCATTAACCAAACAGCTGAGCCTTTGTGTTGACTCATTAACGCACAGGCCAGAGAGAGAGAGAGAGAGAGAGAGAGAGAGAGAGAGCATAAATGAAACATCAGCCAGCAGCAAGGCGAGTACGTTCTACGTAACGTTTCAAGTGAAATAAATACCCCCAAAGTCATAAAAAACAAACAAAAAGCAACAACAACAGCAACCACCCTCAATGGGTGCCAAGTCTGGCAGGCGACATCATCGTTCTCATCGTCCTCATCGTCGTCGTCATTCCGCTCGCTGTTGTCGTCCTCGTCGCCACTCGACTTGGCTTGAATGGCTTGGCCCTGTTACTACTGCTGCTGCTTCTTCTCGCTCTGTTTCTAAAGCTGACTCTGACTCGGGTCTGGCTCTGAATCTGGCTATGCCTTTCCGTCCGAGCTTCGTGTTCGGCGTGTGGCAACAATTTTCATTTTCAACGCCACAGCGACGGGCGCAAAAAACGCATAAAATTTTACGAGCCACGCCAGAGACTTGAAGCAACGACTCCCATGGCAAAAGTTTAGCTTTCGTGTTGGCCATAAAAAGCCTGACGGGCTTTATGTACCAGAGCATGCCTCCTAAACGTATGCAGTTGATTTGGAGTTTGTAGAAAACTGAACGCTTCAATGGAGTTAGCGCCGCTGCTTTACCATCGGGGGATTTGCGTCTGCTGCTCCGATGCTGACAAAAAGGGTTTGAGGTTTAAGTTTAGCCCGAAGTTTTAGGCTAAGCACAGCGAGTTCAGAGCGCTTAGGAGCTGTGTTCAGGTGATGTTTGCCATTCAGTTTGGTTGCTTTTGTTTTCCTTTTTTTTACCGCCTCTGTTTATGTCTGTGGGCGTTTATTGAGTCGCTGCTTGGCTGGCTTTGTGTATTGGCTGAGCGTGCTAAAGTTTTGGCTCAAATGCCTTCGCAAGCTCGTTGGTGGCAATAACGGTAAGTGTGGCATTAGCCGGCTTGTTATGCAAAGAGATTGGAGCATCGTGAAATTAGCGGCAAATGAGGCTGCTTTGTGGCGCGAGACGTCGAAGACACCAACAACATTTAGGTTCAATAGGCAGAACACTAAGATGCCAATGGCTAAGGTGGGCCAACTGGGTAACAGTGAAATGAGCAGCGCGTGAAGTGAGTTTTCCAACCTAAACGAAAGCAAATATTAAAGTGCTTGCCTCGCAGATAAGACCACGGCTAAGGCAGTCAACTAATCAGCTGTAAGCGAAGAGAGAGCGATAGAATTTATTCTAATATATTTATGAACCTCTGTCCGATTAGACATATTCTTTTTAAAAAGGTCTATCATGAATCAATAAAAAACTGCAGTGACTTAAACAATGCAGCTTTATATATTTTAGACAAGTCTTTAAATATTTGCAGCAGTACTGTTTGTCTGATTTATAATCGAGTCTTTAGTTAAATGGCAGTTATATTTTAATGTGCCTCAGCGTCAAGCACAATGTCAAAAGTTGTTCCATTCGTTATTTACAATGTTGATTTTGCGCAAATGCCTTTCTTCCAGGCTGACACCCATTGACACAATGGTTGCCCTTTTAACGGTTGCTGAGTCCTTACCTCAAATAAATGTGAACGAGCTACAATCAGTAAAGCTGTAAGAACCCACCCACACACACAATGGCAGCCCAAGGCAAAAGAGCAAACAAAAAAAGTAACTAAAAAATTTAGCGCTATGTCAACACATTCACATTCGCATTCGCATTCCAACAGGCAGACCGAAGCAGGACGGACACAAAGGACAACGAGCTGAGCCCACATCCTTGGCCTGTCGCTTTCAATGGCAATTGCCCAAAAACGAAAGAAGAGAAACGTTTGCTGTGACTAGAATGGGACTGTCCACATGCATAGTTGTGGAGCAATCCATCACACAGGAGTCAGTGAAGCGAAGGCGCTATGCCATAGTGCCGACTGTCCGGCCAACGCAAGGGGCAACCGGCGCACAAGTCACGTGTGCTGTCACTCCAAAGAGCTGCTCCCACGCCCATCTGCTAGCCAGATGCAATTTGTGCCGTAACAAGTTAACACCCGCAGCAACCAGACTAAGTAAGAAGACAGCCAACAACTAACTGTTTTATACAAATAAAACTAGCAAGAGCGAAGAAGAAAACTAAGAAAAAATAGAAAATATTCGAAACTTTTCATGTTAGTTTCATGCAGCATACAAATTATTTTGGCCAAAAACTTTTACACAGCTCGAGCTTAGGCGAAACTTTAAGCCAGGGCTGCAAGCTTCAACAAGAATTTGCGGTGGCTTGGTTTAGGGTTTGAAGCCTTTGATGCAGCTTAAGAATCGATTGGTAAATTGAACTTGCAAATAACTAAGAAATATTTTTCAGAAATTTTATTTAATTTTTTTAATATTCATTTTAAGATAAATTGCATTAAAATATTTTAAGCACAACATTTTTTGTATGAAGACTCTCGATTCAAGCTAAAAAAAATGTTATTTATTTATAGTTGACTTAGAAATAAAATACTGATGCACATCAAGTCGAATGCAGCCTTGTTCAAAACTTTTGGAAAAAAAAAAACTTTTTAGCCACTTTCAGCAATGCACCACCGCACCACCGCATTAATAGCAGAGATTGTCTTGCTCAGTGAGCTCAGCAAAATGTTGATAAATTAAGACGCAGCCCACAGGCCACAAATCATCGAATTGAACCGCAGTGCGACAAGGCAGCTGCTTCCGCTCTCGCCCTCGCCCTCGCTCCCGACCCCTCAACCAATCTTCATTTGCCTGTGCTACTTGAACTGTTTCAGTTCAATATGAAATCGATTTTGCCGCCGGCGACAGTGGCACATGTGCTTTAGTTGCGGCTCCTACACAGCTCGTGCAGAGCTTGAAATTCGCGCTGGGCCCATGTTATCTGCGCTAGGGAGGTGCTCGGGCCAAACATTTTGTAATACAATTTCTTGGTATTTCTTGGCATTTTCTTTTTACTGCGTCGCAGTTGTCGTCTTGAATTTTAATAAACTTGACTGTAGCTGTAGGGGCAAAGGGTTGCGCCACGCCCACTCGGCAACTCGAACACTGTCAAAAAGTTGTCGCTAACAATTTTATCAATAAAATTTATGGCGTCTGTCCCATTCGAGCGAGCCACGGCTCCCGAACGCAAGCGACAATTATTACAGATTATTTGAATACTCTTTTTATGCAAAGTTGACAGTTCTTCGGAAATGAAATAGGCAAATAAGAGTAATGAAATTGAAAGTCATTTCATAATTATAATAAAGAATATTAGTTTTTAAGCTAAGCAGTAGCTACTCCATTCACTATAATCACATTTCTAGTACCCTTTGCACCTGTTAGCTAATTGCCTTTTGGCAATTTTAGTAATTTTAATTGCCAAAGAAAGATGTCAAAGCTACCAAATGATTTATAGCACAGACGATTCGAGTTCGAAATTAATAAACAAACTAGATTTGTAGCCTTATCTAAAGTTGTTTTTTTTTTTAACTTACTCAAGCTCTATTCTTGTCATAGTCAATTTCAAAACTTTATGACATTTTCACTTTGAAATTGTGAAACTTCGTAAAAGAAAAAATAATATACATACATATAGTAATATACATACATAATATACATACAATTATATTAATATAATTCAAAGTTCAGATCTACGATTTTAGCTACAAAACGAATAGCAGACTTCAGGCTTAGTTTAAAATTATATAAATATAAATATATATATATATAAATATAAATATAAAAAAATAAGAATATATTGTTTCAATATTTCATAATATTGTTTTACATTCCTAATACAGTTGAGCCTTTATTCCCAAGTCCCTACCTTCAGGAAAAAGCATAAGATAAGCTACGAAATGATCTATTTTTGATGAATCCTTAGATGAATCAAAGCTTATTTTCGATTTGCCACGCTCCATTTTTCTACTAAACATAAACCTTTAACGTAACGAATCTATGAGCAAATCACAAAAATTTGAAACTTTTTGCTTAGTTTTCAAGCCTGGAATTCAGTCGGTAAGATATCAAGGACTCGCAGAACACAGTAATATAATTCTGTCAACTATTCAATTCAGCCAGAAGAGTCTCAACTCCTTTCTTAGTTTTAACAAACAAATAAATTATGAAAAAGTAAATGGTTCTGTTTGGATATGAGTCGAAAGGGTGTTAGTCTAATTGTTTTGTGTTTGCTTGGCAATTATATGAAGAACGCAAGTTTTGGTTTAATTGAAAGCCAAATGCAGCTGCCAAAATCATTTTAGTTATTTATGCAATGCCAACAGCAGCAGCAGCAGCAGCATCCAGTCAAGCTTGAGACGAGAAGCGGGCACACTCTCAAGTGCGAGAGACGCGTCTAACCGCGATAAGGATGAGTTGCTGCTGCTGCTGCTGCTGGTTGGGAGCTATAAAGTTTCATGCCATTTGCATGGCCAACGAAAATTGTAACCGAGCTAGCAACTGAGAAGCAACTGTGGCTGCTGCTGCTGCTGCCTCGGTGTCCCCTAACCCAAGTGGACGCTGCGCTCCCCATGCGTCGGTCTGTCGCGACTTCGCCAAGTTGCATAATACATAATTTTGTTTTTCTTTTCAGTGTGTGTGCTCGTTTATTTTCCACTTCTTTCTCTGCTATGTGCTATGTGGCACAACAGCTACGCGTCTTCAGTGTGGCACCGTCTACAATGTGGATACTCTTGGTTGCATTCATATTTTCACACCCTTTAGGATTATTTCGTGCATAGCCGTGTGTGCGGCTCAAGAGCACTGCGGGAGCTGCTTCTGTTGCCATTTGCACTGTAGACGCTGCTTCAATACCCTGTACTCCAGACCAGCACGGCAATGACCGACTCCCCCGTTGCTAATGTGTGGATATAGTGAAGACTTGGCTGCTGATCCTTCCATTGCGAGGCAAATGTTGACTAACAGTTGGTTAACAGAGCAGAGTTAACAGAAGCTGTTACTGTTAGGAGTTCTTCGAACTGTATACTGCATGCTTGCAGGGTACCTCAGGCACTATCAACTTGGCTTAACTAGAGTTTTGACTTGCATTTTATTTTTGCATCTCTGTAGCTTTTTTTTAAAGCAATTTAAATTAACAGCAATGGCGTTCTACGTGTGGTTAAGCGTGCGTGTGTGGGTGTGAGTGAGTGTTCGTGTGTGTGTGTCTGCTTGTGTTTGTTTATGCCTCATGGCAGTGACTTCAGTGTTGCAGGACAGGACGCTGCTGTCAGGACTGCGACGGCACGGCGACTGCTCGACGTGCAATTGGAATGCAATTTGTTATGGAAGTTAAGTCTCCACTTGTCAGTTAAGTTTACGCTTGGCTGTTTGACTGTTGTCGCATGTTGCCATGTTGCCATGTGGCCCATGAGCCACACGTCCCATCTCCCGCCCGCCGTCCGTCTGCTCCGATTGCAGTGCTAAGAGCTTGACTGGGCTGTTACAAATAATTAAAGTCTTTAAATATTTAAATTAATTTGCAGTGCTGCACAATATGCATACAGTGTCCATGGTAATTGGCCCCAGACGCAATTCTTTGGTGGCATAACGAGGCGTATGCGTAATATTTCGTTGAGACTCGTCAGCGCCACAAATGCACAATTAAAACTATGCGGCAATGCAGCTTTAGCTCTGCTAATTGTTAAATATATATTGTCTGTGGGCCAGCAACCAGCCACAATAATGAGCTGAAATGGTTATATTTGTGGCATATATTGAAGCAAGCAGCAATATGAAGCTACAACTGAGGATGAGTTTTTCTGTTTGAAAATATAACATTCTTACATATTCGCTGAATTTTAATAAAATCTATCTTTGGCAATCTAAGCACACCTAACAAAGCATCGATTTCTGTTAATAATAGAAGCTTGAGGTTGTTGAAATAGTTAAACTGATCACTTGATCAATTGATCACTTGATCACTTGATCACTTGATCACCTGATCACTTTTTATACATTTTTGTTTTTGTTGTGTGGTCAACAGCTCTTAGATCTCCAATACAATGCAGCTATACTTGAGGGCACTGATAAGTCCTGGATAAACTGACTAAAGCCGTGTGGTCAGCGGCGCTTAGAATTGCACCACAGCATGTAGCTGATTGTTGTAAGAAACTAAAAAAATGACAACAGAATATGCTCATGCTTATTGTAGCAACATGTGTAGACGATGCCGATGCCTTACGTTCGTTGCCACGAATTGAGAGTGCTCCAAAGCCTCGCTCACATATACATAAAAATTCAAATTGCTACCCACAAGCTGAAAGCACCTGCTGAGATTCTAGAGAAGCGTTCGTTGGCGCCTTGTACTTAATTCACTGTATAACATAATTGCCTATATAAGACCTTGGCTCTAATCACCAAGAGTAGAGCTACTCACTGTGTGATAAGTAATTACTAACTAAAAAATATTTATATATATAAAAATATTAAAATTATATTTTCTACAGCATACAAATTATATATATTTTATAAAAAAAAATTATAATATGTAAAATACATTTTATAAATATTTTATATAAATATATTTTACTAAGATAACTCAAAAAACTATTTAAAATCCGAGCTGCTTAAAGCCTAAATAAAAGTTGAAGCAAATATAAAAATATTTAAAATTGTGGCTTAATTTCATAGTAAGATATATAAACATATACTTCGATCCAAGCTCGATAGTTATTGCATGTTCCTTTAAAGTACATTGCCACGCTTATGTTGGCTCTCTTCGATAGATAAGCACTATTCTGTTGCACTACTAACGAGCATATCACACTCGTTAACACACAACTAATTTGAAATGTTTGGAAAATTGCATTAAAATTCGCTTGGAGTCCACAAACATTTGCTACTTTCAGACAATCAACAGACCAAACAATAGCATAGAAATTGTTAATAATTGACGCAGGCAACATTTGCAGGCAGCGCTGAGCATGTAAATCGATGGCGCCACTGGCAGCTGGAACCTCGGCGCTGAGCGAGCTGTTAGACCCCCCTTTAAGAAGCCGTTATTTTGACATATAGTGACGGCTTAGGCAACTGGGAACTAATGGAGCTGAAGGCCAGGCCACAGTTAAGCATAACAACAGTTAAATACAGGGCCCAAAAATTATGCTACACATAGAGAGGGAGAGGGAGAGAGAGAGAGAGAGAGTGAGAGCGAGACACACACACATGCACACTCATTCATAAGCAGACGATTTACATGCAGGAAAAATGTTGATTAGAAAATTAATTAAGGTTTTTACGATGCCGCCAGCTTTATGAGTCGAGCCACTGAGCCACACTGAAACCAAGTTGAGTCGTCAGGCTTTCATGCTTGGAAAAACTTTCGCTCTGCGAATTTACGATATTTTTATGGCGCGCTGCCATGCGAGGGCGGCTCGTAAAAACTGCGTAAAACTTTGTGCCCGGGACAATTGATAAGCGCTACTGCTGTCAGCCCCTCAGCCGGATCCTGTTTCTGCTACTGCTCCTACTCCTGCTGCTGGTAAATGATTCAGCTTGTCTTTGGGCGCATATGCAGATGAGTTTGTCATAAAACTCAAAGGAAATTTCGCTCAATAAATAAATTGTACGCCCAATGTGCGAAGCCTTTCCTTTAACGTGGGCGTGGTGCCGCCCACGAATTTTATAGCACTTCTTTATAGAGTTGCGCAGGGTGTTTCAGGTTTTGCCTCTGTTCTCACTTAGAACTTAACGTAAACATTGCTATAAAATATGGTTTATGTGGACTTCAATTTGAATTTATATTAAGTGTTTTCTTCATAATTTTCAAAGAAAATATTCCGAATTTTTTTCTAGTTTTTTTTTGTATAAAAACAAAGCGAATCTAAACGATTTACTTCAGTTCAACGAAGAGTGTGCGAGCTTCGGATTAAGGAATACCCCAGCAGTACCCAAGTAGCCAACCCCCGCCTCAACTTGAATGCAGCACAACGAAAGGGGAGCAACAGGGGCGGGTTACGCCGATTGCGATTGCACAATGGCAACTTGACGAAATCATTATTTCGCCTCGACATTTATTGATGCCATAAACTTGAAGATTTATGCGTGCAGCCCCACCCCAGCGTGCTGCATACTGCAGGGCACCGCAGTGCCAATGGCAAACCCACCCGGACGCTGACATTGTACATTGATACCCCCTCGGTATGGGCGATGCCAACTGCGATTCTTGTCGCTACGTGGCCATGTCAAATTTTTTGGCATATTGCAGCACAGTGGGACGCACACAACAGATATACATACTATATATATATATATATATGCCATAGTGTTCCATTCGTGTGTTTCTCTGTCTACCCCTGCACACAAACACACGTGAAACAGCGTGTTAATTTATTTAAATTGACTACGTGCAAAGTTTACTTGGTTGGGTCTTGTGTCACGCTCCCGAATCCTCCTCCATCAAGGTGCTTTTGGGGTATGGGACTGTCTCAATGTTTGCACAAATTTCACATTTTACTGCGCTTCGTCGACTCCGCTGTCGTTTTGTCTTCAAATGCAAACCAATTTGCAAACGTCTCTGGCATGTCAAGCTGAGATTTCAACGATCATAGACGACCCATAGCAGGCGCTACTGCTATGGAATAACATAAACAAATATCATGATTTCATAGCTAATTCGTTGCTCTTTCTGAATGTGCATATATACGATAAATACTATTAGCTAGTTTTATGGATATGGATATCTTTAATTCAGCTAGCATATATATATATATATGGCATACCTATCGAATCACTCCATGCATTTAGCTGTAGCGCAGCTGGCAAACGCGCGCGCATAAAAACTCATTTGAAAGAGTGCCACGACGCACACAGCGACTTCGACTGTGGCTGGACGATGACGTAGAGCAGAGACAACAGCTTGCAAGTCAGTGGTTTGGGTCGCCATAAGGGTTGGGTGGGCATTTGGGATTGGGTGCCGGAGCGTGCGTTCAAGTGCGCATTGCCTGTGGGGCGGTATGCATGAGCACAGCTGCTACTCCATCTACTGTTGCCCGGGCTGTCTTGGCAACAATTCGCGTGTCAACAATAAGCGCAATAACTTAAGTTGCATTCAATGGCTGAAGCCGGAACGTTGCACGCAGCCAATCCCACGCTCTGAATGCATCCATTTGCAGGTGCCAGCCGGGTAACTGCCTGGTTGCCTGTCTCCAGCCAGCTAATTAACTGGCAAATGAATTCCAACAACAGCGCCATCTCGCAGAGATGGCTAAACAAACAGTGTCCACTTGTGCTGCTGCAACTCCAGCTTCAGCTCCAATGAAGTGGCGTGCGCGCTTCGTCACGAAATGCAGCTCCCATGCCCAGTGGCGGTTTTTCAGCTTAAATTATTCATGCCGTTGACAAATGGATCCCTTCATACAAAAAAAAACAGCACGCCTACTGAAGCAGGCAGCAATAAGTTAAGAAGCTTTTCATTTAGAATCTTTTAATGCTTTGGTTGTGGCATATTCCGATTAACAGTGAATGCGGACGCTATGTTTGCTTATTGTATTTGTTGATCCACAGCTTTAACAATTGTCTTTTATTTAAAAACTAAATCATTTCAATAAATAGAAACCTATAATTATGAACTAAATTGAGCAAAATTATAAATTCACAACAATTTAGGTAGTTAGCTTTTCATAAGGAGTATATAATAAGTGTACATATGCCAATACATACATGTACGTATATAAATATAGTTAGTTAGGTATATAGCACGTATATACCAATCACAAAACTTTTGATCTATTAATTAGCATTAATAAGAATTATACTAAGGAAAAGCAAATATTAAATATATAAATTACAAGCTAGATTAAACCATAAATTTTGAATGCGCAATTGAACCTACATACATATTTGTTGTGACTAGATTTCCGATAAAAATGTGGCGCAGTCCTGCCGGCAGCACCTAAAAGCATGCGAAATACGCTGCACCTAAGCTACGCGATTGTTCTTTAAAAAACTGGCCAACAACAGCAACGCAAAGGATGTGGTAACAAATACACTGCCCGGTATGGAGCGACGTATGGGTAAATTGGGATCCCGCTCGCGCTGAGCAAACAATTCCACATCCGCTTCATAGGTCTCAAAATTATTCCAATGCAGACACTTCTTAACCGCATAATCCCAGCGACGATAAAGCAATTCACGACCTGCAAATAATATAGATATTATACATAATTTAACATCTTAGCTGCGATCACACTTGCAAACAACTGTCATCATTAGTCACTTACGATTCTGGGTAGTTGTAGGTGAGAACACGTCTGTGGGTGGCGCATACATACGCGTCGCATAAGGTAATGAGACCACACGCATAGTTATGCCAGCAGCAATCATAGCACCCATACTAGCGGGGGATGTTGTCTGCGGTCGTTCTAGCATCCAGCCAATAATATCCGCAACGAACTGCACCAGATGACTGTCCTCTGCATATTCGCCGCCAAATGTCAAGACCGGTTGCATGCAAGACGGATCCCAGTTGGGAGTATCCCGCTTAAAGGCTTGCAGCACCTCGTATATCTGGAAGCCAGTTGCTTCATAGGCAGCCTGTGTTATGTTTTCGGCCGTAGTTTGACTGGTCAGGCCAAGTATAATTCCCCTCGCATCATAGCGCCAGTAGGGCGCGTATAAGCCATGGAAGGCGGGCACAAATGTTATCTCCGAGCGCTTCGCCGCCAGTCCACACTCTGCGTTGAGCATGCTTGAGGAGCAAGAGGAAGAGATCATTGAGCTCTCGCCCAAGAATGTATTTAGCGACTCAACAACATTGTCATTGGAATTAATTTCGGTGTTGATACGCAGTCCCTGGCGCAGCCAATTAACAGTGGATCCGGCATTGGATATAGCTCCCTCAAGCGTAAAATGCGTATCTGCTGTGGGTCCCAATTTGTGCGCTATGCCCGTTATCAAACCATTTTCCGACTCCACTCTTTGTTGTGCAGTGTTCAGCAGCACAAAACAGCTGTCATCAAGTGTACAAACATTCTGACCCGCTTTGACGCACAGCTGACCGAGCAACGCAGCTGGCTGCTCGCCCATTACGCCCGCAATGGGAACGCCCATCAAAGCACCCTGAAGAATATACCCGAAGATCTCTGAATTTGAACGAATGCGGGGCAGTATACTCATTGGCAGCTTGAAAAATTTACACAACTTGATGTCCCATTGTTGCGTGGCAACATTCATCAACGATGTATAGTGTGCATTGGTCACGTCGGTTGAATGTACGCCGACATCGACGCCACCAGTTAGGTTCTAGAAACAAGATTGCATTTTCAATGTAATGAAAATTTATTTAAGCTGCTAACTTACCCATATCAGCCAAGAATCCAGTGTACCAAATAAGCACTGGTCCTCCTCGATGGCCTTGCCAACCGCCGGCACATGCTCTATCAGCCACTTGATCTTCAGAGCGCTAAAGCAGCTGCTTAATGGTAAACCACTGCGATAGCGCAAATAATTCACATTTCGCTTAACATTATGGAGGAGTGACTTAAGCAGCGCAGTGCTACGACAATCGGTCCAACCAATGGCATTGTGTAAGGCTTGCCCCGTTCGCTTGTTCCAGAGCACAGTAGTGCCGCGCTGATTGGCAATGCCCACTGCAATGATGTCATGCGGACTGATTTCCAATATCACCAGGTTTTTATAGGCAGTCTATACATACACAAGTGCGATAAAATGCAGTTAATAATGGTAGGGGTTATATATAGATGATATAATCGAAAATTTTTACGCCACGCACCTCTATGCACTCCTGCATGTGTTTCCATATTTCTGCGGGATCGTATTCCAGCCAGCCGGCATTATGCACTATCTGTCGCAGTTTGAGTTCATGATAGGCCAGCACTTCAGCATTCTTTGTCGAATAAATCTATGAAAATAGATATTGAGTCAGCGTGCGTGTGAGCGTGTGTATGAGTATGTATTAGTAATTCACATGGATTGTTGTGTGCGTTTTGTTTGTGGATTTTGGACTCTTACCAGAAAACGGCAATGGGTGCTGCTCACGTATGCAATGCCAATGAGTGCTCCAAATCTACCATATCGGCCCTCGTTCATATTTTGTATATAATTTGTTGCAAACAAGCACGTGCCGTTTTTTCCAAGCGGGACGCGCGCAATTTTTCGTCACTCACAAAGCTAATGCTACTGAGATTAATGTGTTGCGGTCACCACACCCTCGCCTTGCTGACACCGACGACCAGCCGCCCCGAAAAAAATGTCCTTTGTGCGCACAATTAAATATGATGCATAATTTGACAAAAGCAAGCGAGATTTTTAAACAACTCATTGATTGTTATTTAAGCAGCGGTACATTAGTGTGACCACACGAGTACAACCATAAAATACTGAAATCCACTGTCAATTTTAAAGTATAACGAAAATATCAGAAAAATACTAAGTATCGCAAATATTTGTGAGCTGGAAATTTAAATTCAAATTAAATTTTTAATCACATATAAAGACTTATATGTATATCGATGGGATTGAAAGTGATAAGAACCTGTTTTTGTTTTGGTAACTCTCATTAGATGTGCTACTAAGACTGCAATCACCCATTTCAAACGAATACAGGGTATATAAATGCTCAGTAATGCACAACAAGCAGAATTCCGTTTTATAAGACTAGACTGTAAAAATATATAAGAGGGGAACTCTCACCCATATGTTAAAAACAGCAAACAGCTTGCAAGTCTCAGCAGCAATCTTATCTCGTGTTTATGAGCTTCCACTTGAACATTATAAACAACTTGAGGTCTTATACTCCAGTCGCTCTCTAGAATCAGAATAGACTAGTTCGCTTTGATATGGTCTGTGCCTTCATTGTGATTACGGCAGTGTTTGTACTGTTATGCTGGTTACTCAAGATCAATAAGGAATATTATATCTTGGCCCTGTTTGCCCGTCGAGTTCGAGCCAAGGATGGACGATCTGTGGAGAACATTGCGCCGATATTGAAGGGCCGCACAATCTTTGCAAACTGTTTCGATCTATACGGAAAAGACCATGGTACCAAAAAAAAAAAAATAAAAAAATTTATTACAATCTACTGATTGTTTACCTTTTTTAGCTGGCATTTTTCGGTATTATCGTGATTCGGCTCAAGCAATGGGCAAAAGCTATTTGGTTTACGCCTTCGGCTCACCCACGTATAATATCATCGATCCTGTGAATGTCGAATTTGTACTAAGTCATACGAGTCTCATAACTAAGAGCACGGACTATGACTTTATGCAGCCAGCCTTACATAAGGGACTTTTGACCTCAACAGGTAGACCCATTGAGATCTCTAAAGAAATTCATTGAAATTCTTCCTTTATAATACTTAAGGTAAAAAGTGGCATACGCGGCGTACGATGATAACTCCAACGTTTCGTTTTAATATACTAGTTCAATTTGAAGAAGTCTTTAGGTAAGCTTATCATACATATATAAAATATATTCTATATATATCTCTTATATTCAGAGCGGAAAGTCAAAAGTTTGTAACGCAATTCGAGCATCAAGCGGAGAGCATAATTTCTCTTACGGAGCTTATTCCTAGATTTTCGCTCAATAGCATTTGTGGTAAGACGAACCGCAATTTGAATCGATAAATATTCTAATATTCTTAGTAATTTCGTGCTTATAGAGACTGCCATGGGCATCAATCTGGATGATATGCCTGAGCGAGGCGATAATTATCGAGAGAGCATAAAAAAGTTTGAGAAATGTTTTGTGAAAACTTTCAGCAATCCACTGCACTATTATGGCACAATATTCAATATATTTCCGCTCAATGAGAATATCCCATATTTGCGGGTGGTGCACGAGTTCACCAACGACATCATAGCGAAACGCCGAATTCTGTTAGAGGAGGAGCTAAATGAAAGACGCTGCAATCAGTTGCCAGACGACGATATGTAAATTAAAATTGCAACACAAATAATTTTATATAATACATACAGATATTTTATTTTATTTATTTTTTATTTTTTTATTTATTTTTTATTTTTTTTTATTTATTTTTTATTTTTTTTTTTATTTTATTTATTTTTATCTACCCAGTTACGTTAACAAGAAACGACGCTTTGCCATGCTGGACACACTTATATGCGCCGAGAAGGATGGCTTGATCGATCATGCTGGCATTTGCGAGGAGGTCAACACACTTATGTTCGGAGGCTTTGATACCTCGTCTATTGGCTTGATGTTTACCATATTCAATTTAGCCTTGTATCAAGATATGCAAGAGCTATGCTATCAGGAGATATTGACGCATATAGATGATCAGAGCACTGTGGATATTAATCAGCTGTCAAATCTGAAGTACTTGGACCGCTTCATAAAGGAGACAATACGTATATGCCCACCTGTGCCCGTTATAGGACGTCAAACATCTGAAGAAACTGAACTGCCAAACGGCCTTATTCTGCCTGCCGGCTCACAAATCATCATGCACGTCTTTGATCTTCATCGCAATCCCAAATACTGGGATAAACCCGAAGAGTTTGATCCTGACCGTTTTCTACCAAAGAACAGTATAAATCGGCATCCATATGCATATATACCATTTAGTATGGGACTGCGTAATTGTATAGGTAAGTAGTCTTTTGAAATTAACATTCCTTTGCATCTGTTCAATGGACTCCTTTGATTTCCGCCTTTAGGTCAGAAATACGTTATGATGTTAATAAAGACGCTGCTGTGCTTTCTTTTGAAAAAATTCCAGATTTTACCGGTTACCGATGCCAAAGATCTTGTTTTTAATACGGGCATAACTCTGCGCGTTGAAAATAATGTTAAGGTGAAACTTGTCTTACGAAATAAATAAGATAAAATTCAACTCAATTTAGTTTATACGTTATTTAAAATTAATATACCGACAGTTGAAAAATACTAAAAAATATTTACTAACTAAAATTAAGTTGGCAGCGTGGCAGGCAATAAACAACGTTGGCACCACCAGACACCAATGAGCGTGCGCAGAGCGCGTAAAACAAAACTGAAAAAACAGAGAAGCCTAGAAGACATCGCGCACTCAACGGTGTTTTTACAATTACTACGAGAAAATAAATGTAGCCATTGATATCGCTGCGCAATTTAGAGTGTTAATCAATGCAAATACCGTGCGCCACTATAGAAAGCTTAATTCAAATTAAGCCAAACTGCTGCTGCTGCTGCTATTGCAAACATAAACAAATACAAATTGCCTGTGGGTATAAAAGCAGTCAAAATAACAACAAAAAAGAAAATGATAAAACGAGAAATGCAGCGATATTACGCAGAACGTGAGACAACTGGACCCGAGTTCGGTAAGAGAGTCCTTTTTTGGTAACTACAATACACAATTGAAAAGTGCAGAATCAACCCCCCAGCGGCCTCACGCACACACGACAGTCTTCCCCTAATAGAGAAGACGGTCTAAGGGTTGGTTCTGCTGCTGTTGTTGTTGTTGCTGCGTCTGCGGTTTGAGAAGAACGTAGAAAGTAAAATGTACTGCGACACAGATTTTAACGATTTTTCCCAAAATAATACACAGATGATCGCCTTATAAAATTGGTTCGCTCCAATCCTGCCATTTACGATGTGAGCCATCCGCATTACCGCCGAAATCCCGTTAGAGTGGACATATGGGATCGTATAGCTAATGAACTGGGCGCTTCATGTAAGTAAAATACTAAGTAAGGTATATGTAATATCGAGAGGGGAAAAATATGGAAAAATGTGGTAATTTCGTATGAAAATTCTCTTAATCAGTTTAAATATCATTAAATGAAAGTAATATGGATTCCTTTATTTCATATTTTACATACATCCCTAGTTTAAAATCTACCTTCATTGTGTTAATCATCCCCGTTTTTGTACTCAAACAGCACGCTTTCTGCAAACGAAATGGAAGAACATACGGTACAATTATCTGCAAGAGATTAAAGCACTGGAAACAGGTCAGGTAAATCCGAATGTGCGCAAGCGGCGCTTTACGGAGGATCTATCATTTTTACAAAACACAGCACAAACGTACAATGTGAGAAAGGCACAATCCTACATAACCCAGACCAATAATAATACAAATAATAATAACGGTGGCAGCAGCGACAACGACAGCAACAGTTTTCTGTACCCAGACCCAGAGCACTTGCGAATTGATCTCACAGAGAACTATGATATCATTGAGCTGGACGATGACAACAGTGAAGATGGCTCGACGCATGTGGGCGGCCACAGTGATAATGAAATCGTGCCTGAGCTGCTAGTCATGGAGCCCAAGCCCGATGTCACCTTGCAAGAGTCAATGGCTGTCAATGGCAACGGCAGCAGCAATGACCACAACAATATGGAAGTCAACTCTCCGGCCTCCTCGCCGCTGCTTATGCCCATGGTGATAATGGGCAATGCCGATGAGGGGTCACAGCAGGACATTAAGTCGCATGATCAGAATATAGACATTAAGCCGCAATACCACAATCAAACCGTTAAAGCCGAACCTCAATACAGGCATAACAATGCGCTGTCCAATGGCGAGGTGACCATTGAGCCCATTTATAAGGCAGCGCTCACGAGGCGCAGTGCATCCGGCAGAGATATCATGGCAAATGCGGCCAAGCGGAAAGCTATGGCAGCTCCTCTACCCAGATTAGCGCCTATCAATGATCCAATTGAGCTCTATTGCCTGTCGCTTGTGGACACACTGCGCAGCATGCCCAGATCGGAGCGCGAACGAGTCAAATTCGAGTTTGCCAGCATTCTGAAGGACGCTAAGTACAAGGACGAAGCCTAATATTATTACAAATCTGTTTCTCTGGGTATTTACGCATACGAACAAGTCTAAGTCACATTAAATGTATTATTTTTACATTATATGCAAATTATATAGAATTTTGTAAGACGCTAATTAGACTAAGTTTTCTATTTAATTTAGTTTTTTATTAAAACGATGTTGTATGTGTTCATATCTATTCCGTTGTATCAACAAAACAAAATAAATTATACATACACACGCAGAAATCATTAACGAAATACTTCTTTTATTTTCGACTGTTAAAACCAAAATCAAGGACCATTTCAGACCGATATAGATTGGTGGATTGGATTCAGCTGAAAGTCGGTGTATTATCATAATACATTTTTGACTAAATACTCAATCAATACTTCCTTCACCTTATCGACGTGGAGCAATTCCAAATGAAAATAAAAAGATATATAGTTTGCAGCTCAAACGCTTTCAAAATTAATTTTTATTACGCAGAAGTAGTAATTTTAAGGTATCTATAGTGTATGTATTGTGATCGAAACAGTTTAATTACTATGTATGTTTTGTATACACTTTCTATTAACTATGTTCGATATAATTGATGTTACATGCATAATCCCGATTATTATGTATATATATTTAATATGTGTTAATTCCATAAAACTAAAATTAATTCGTTTTCACTTTCTTTTCTTTAATATAAAATCTAATTAAACTGCGTTTTTAGTCTTGCAAAATTACATCTAAAATGTTCAAAATTTTGCAAAATTAAAGGGGAAACTTGGAAAATCAAATGTTCTATATATTTTATATATAGTGCGTAAGGCATATCAACAGTAAGATTAATAAATAGTTATGTTAGTTTCCTTCTAAAAGTAAAACCATTGAAAACTACCAAAAAAAGTTAAAAATAAAACAAAAATTAGAGGACTGTCTCTTAGCTTTAAATTAAAATTATATATATATATATATATATATATATATATATATATATATATATATATATATATATGATTTTAATATATGCTAATAATATATAACTGTATTTGTATGAAATTAAAATATTGTAAAAACAATTTGTTCGCCCATGTTCTGTTTGAGCTGCTCCTATAACTAATTCTTATTGTCTAAAGTTATCTACAAATTGTGGCGCGGGGTATTCAGGACAGAACTCTGAGTCTGCAATTCACGCCCATTGATAACATCCTGACTTGGCTTGTTGTTATCATCTGTGTCCAAAATGTCAGAGAGATCATACATATTGGGCTGATATGCCATTAGCTCAGAGCCGCTATTTGCTGCAAATTGCACAAAATAATTTAGTATAGCTTTAAATATTATTGATAGCTTACACACCTTTCTTATCGCCGACCATGTTGTCATTTAAAAAGGATAGGCCATAGTTATCCAAGACATCCGAATCATTGAACAGCTGCAAGCAGAATAACAAATAAATACAATTTAATAAAATGTTTTTCTTTTGTTTTATCATTTATTTTATAGCGCGGGCGCAAATCAAAACTATGTAGACGCACCGCGGTGACCTTTAGTAGCAGCTCCTCGTCGGACAGCTGCAAAACGGGAATCCTGCCAGCAACGCCCTTCGGCGGAGCCTGAATGTTTACATAAAATAGAATATACATAAATGTTATGAATTGACTAATTAAACGGACACACGGACAGCTGAACGTAGTTATTAACTAAAGCTACTTTAATCAGATTGGCACTTACGCCTTTTAGCATGTTCTGATCAATAGAAACGCCTTCACCGCGTAGAAGATCTTTCAGTGTCTCAAGCTCGTCTTGCATGCTATCCAAGTGACCGGAAACGTCATCCCTACAATATGTAAAACAATATTTATTAGTTAACGATTCGCAAATAAATAGTTTTGTCTCAGCTACTTACAATCCAGTTATTCGAGAATCGTTTCCATTATCGCCTGTGTACTTGGCAACGGCCATTGCTTGCTGTTGCTGCTGCTGTTGTTGTTGTTCATTGTTTATATCCTTGGCAGCTGCAGCGGCTTTCGAAGTAGACGCCAAATTGGCATCAGTTACCAAAGGGTTATCAGTGTTACTGTTGGTCAAATCAAAGGTGATCGGCATATCGGCAAACTTTCCGCTATTTACTGTAGTGCGTCCAAACTGTTGCTGTTGATCCAGTTTGGAAGCTTGCTCTTCCATGCCAGTGGTGGACATCAATGAGTCATCCTGCAAAACCACAAATATTACTGTTAATCCTTTTGTCCTTTACTTGTCTCTTTTAACATACCTCAAAAATGTTCGTTGGCATATCGTTGCTTATAAAATTTACATTGTACAGATCCGCATCGTTCGACTCAGGTTCCAACAAAGAAGGCATGCTACTCCCAGCTACACTGCTCAGCTCCGGTTCCGTCTTGACCAACACTGGTTGAGGCATTACATTCACCTCTGGCTGCTGATTTAATTCAGAATGCGTGCGCGTGGATTTCGGAGACATATCCAAATCAACTTGTCCAAGAATATCCAAATTCCGGCGGAGTTTGTTCCTCTCCTTCAGCAGCTGACGCTTGCGTGCTTCTTGCTCTCGTACCATTGGCGTGGTGAGCACATTTAACTGGTCATCGCTGTTATAGACACTATTGGGACTGGACTGAAAATGCTGCTCCTGCACATGCGAATCAGGTGCCTCGGTGACTGTGTAAAGCACCTGTTGACCACCAGGTGAACGGGTAACATTGGTCGCAGCTTCGCCGCTATTCAAAAGCTGAGCAGTAATAAAATCTTCGGCGCTCTGATTCGAGTAGTCATAATTTTGCGAACTGGTAATGCTGGCATTTGAGCGTGGGCGCTCCATAGCTAATGGTGAAACGCTCTCTCCATCATGCTTGGAATAAGGGCTGTTCGGGTTCATAACCTCTCCAAGCAGCTCCTCGCTTAACTCATGTATGACGGGACCTCCTTCGCTTTCCGACTCACTGGCATTACGCTTGCGAGCATTTTCCGGTGTATCATTGATCATCAGTTGCATATGACGCTTCACACCGGACATGTTACGCGATGGCTGCACTATCGAAATCAGAAACTGTATCAGTTTGTTCACGATTTGCTGCTGCTTAGCATGTTTCTGGCGAAGCGAGGCTATTTCGCGCCATAAGGCTTCATTCTCCTGCTTCATCACCGAAAAACGAGAGTCTAAGTTGTCTTGACGACCACGCATAGCTTTTACATCACTAAGCACTTTCGATACAGTCTCCTGCTTAAGCACGCTCTTCTCATCCACGGTCTTCGTATTGGATATTTTGCGTTTTATGTGGTCCAGTAGGTAGGGGTAATTGCGCTTAAAGCACGGGTGCGAAAACTCAATCTCATCTCGATCAAATCGTAGACCACCATTCTCAATAGAGGTGATCTTATGAAAGCCATCTGAAATTCATAACAAAGACTTAGTTCACTACTGAAAGTAAATCAATTGAGCCTTATTTGTCAACTTACACATATTCAATTGCCGTATAAAGCTAGCCATGTTGTTATGCTTGTAGTTCAATGGCAGAAGCTCACGAGCAAACTGGGCCTGATTTTGAATAATAAAACTGCGTCCATCCTGATACAATATAAAATATAATAGAGATAAGAAATTGTAACTGTAATTGTATATGACTAGCAAATATTTCATACTTTTATCATTTATGAAAATTGATATTAAAACGGGTTGTATAACTAATATGACGATTAAACTTTAAATATAGCCGACCAATTTCAAATATATTTTAAAAAACGGGTGACGCAATGTGATTGAAAACTTAATAAAGTAAACTTTTTGTAAAAAGTAAGAACTCGAATATAGGTGAAACCCAGATTAACATATTTATACTATTTATAGCTTTGATAAATACAAATTATTAGCTTACAGAATTAAGATTTGATACTTCTTATCAGGCTTTAAAATTCACTTATACGGTGATAAGAGTGCCGAAAAAAATTTTTTTTACAAAAGGCATATTTATCTAATTATAAAGCCACACACATGAAAAAAAGCGTGTGAAATATGGCAAACAAAAATGGGGAAAAAAGCTTGCTTATCTCGGCAAACACTTGGCGAAAGCAAACCCAAAACAGAATGAGAAACACACAGGGCAGAAAAACAAAATTGAATTGAGTTGTGACAGAAAGACAGGCAGACGGACGGACGGAGCAGACAAATGGAAAATTTTCAGAGATGCATTGGATGGAGGGCACGCACGTACGCACGTCCGTACGGCCTATGCAAATTGACAACAACATCAACATCAAAAAGAGAGCAGTCCTCTTGCATACGTGCGAGTGAGCACAATGACAACAACAACATATCAACGAATGTGCAGACAAACGATGACGTAGTGAAAGTCGAGGCAGAATTAAATCACCTGCATTTCTGTTGTTGTTGCCATGCCAAGCCAAAAAAAATATGTAAATAAACAATATGGCGGCCTACCTTGCTCCAACAAATTAAATTATTTGTATCACTATCCTCAACCAGCCGCCAGAGTTTGGCCAAAAACGCTGGCACTCCGCTGCCTGTTTCACCAACTGTATGCATGTTGCGACGTGGTCGCGGTTGCTGCTGGTCCTCCTCGTCCTCCTCTTCTTCCGTAGATTCGTGCTTTAGTTGCACGGCCTTAAGGCTTGCACGCGTTTTGGACATATAAAACGACAATCGGAACTGCAGACAAATTGCAGAAAAAAACTTGTATCAATGAATATGAATTTTCATTATAGGCACAGTCCATTCCACATCCAGTCACCATATATTTTTTCGTGTGTGTGTGTATGTTACCTACCGCAACACTTTACAGCTGTTTTCTTGATTAATAAACGTTTTACGAATGGAAATATTATGTTATTCACTTATTTCGCACTTTGTTATTATTCAATTTTCCAATCACTTTTCACAATTCCACTTTTTAAGTATTTATTTTAACAAATTAATGCACAGCGTAATTGTTGAATTTCACGAATAAAATAATTTTCTTCTTCCTCTGTACTGTCTATCGTCATCGGTCTCAATGCTGTCGAACAAAAACCTATCGAAGACAACGCTGCAGCTATTTATATAGTTTTTAAAGTATCGAGTACTCGCTAGTATATTCTACCGCGAGACAAAAATACAAGAGTTAAAATTTAAAATTTGTTTAGCAAAACCAAATGGTTTGGCATTGTACTGTTACTAATAGTATGCAATAAAATACTGTATAATTTTTAATTCGCTACAATGAAAAGTAAAGGGTCTCTATTAAAGTGCCCTGTCCAACACTGATCAGTTAACACAGGTCATTCGCTAACACTGTGCATATGCTGAAAAATGGCTGACACTTTTAATTGCCGAATCAAGTGATTGTTTTAGTGTTTTTTGTTTGCTATAATGCTAAAATATGCACAAAATTACTTAAATCTAAATAACGAATGTAATTTAATGCTATACTAATTTAATATATGTGTTGAAACACAATAAAAGGTATGTAAAGGCAGGTTTAAAATTGCGGCTCGTCGTGCACGGCTGCGTGAGAAAAAAATGTAGGTAAGAAGTAGAATACAAAAGGGCCCGCAAACGGTTTCTGTGTTCTCTTTCTCCGTATGGCTATGTGTGTGTATGTTTGTGTGAGTGATTGTGAGCAGCAACAAATTGCTTAAAAAAAGGCGCCAGTTTTGTTGCCTTACAATCCATAATATATGAAATGGAATTTAACCAATGTTTCTTTTTTTTACTGTTTTGTTTGAATATTTTAGAAAAGACTGCGCACAAAGTAACTGCACAATAAAGTTATCCAAATGATGAACAACCATTTTCACTTGCAACCACATGACCACGGCAATGCGTCAAATGTGGCGCCGCAATTTGCTGGCGCTGTCGCTGCACCTACAACCACATACAGCTATTTAACACAACCATCAGCTGCGACGCCAAATCGGCAGCAATGGTTGACCTATCAAATTTTGCCGCCCCCTCCGCCAACACTTGCGACAAATACTGTCGGCAGTCTACCGCCGACACTAGGCGGCGCGAAGCGTTATTATGCAAATACAGCAACGACAGGAGCAGCAACGCATCCGAGCAGCATTCAAATAACCAACAACTATACGCAGCAGACGCAGCCGCAATCGAGTCCCTTTAAGACAAATAACATAAACAACATACGCATTATAAGCACAGCACCCAATGTTTATAGTCTTAATAAATCAACTGACCAATTAAATCAGCTATATGCCACGCCCACATCGTCGACTGCCGTTACTCCTGCCACGGAATTGTATGCACCAGTTGGTACCTACTATGCAACACCACCAAATCTACAGCCCAAACTACAGCCACCGCCGCTGGTGCCAGTAAGCAATAATAACAATAACAACAACAACGTTGCAATTAGCAATGTCCCAAATAATGCAGCACCTTCGTCGACCGTCGTGCTGGATCGCATTAACATATGCATCAACAATCACTACACAGAACCAAATCTTTGCCAGCCCTCGCCCATTATACCCGCTATACAGCACAAAGCAATTCTGCCGCTTATTGATAGCAGCACAGCTGACAGTAGTTGCAGTAGTAGCAGCAGCTGCTCGACAGGTCGCAGCAGCAGTGCCGCCACTGCTGCTGTTATAGTTATAGACGAGCCGGACTCCACAACAACAACACCGCATACACCGCCCACAACACCAGAAACATTAAGCTCGCCAATAAAATCACCCGGCAGCAGTAATAGCTGCGTGCTCTCGCCAACGACACTGCTGAAGCAGAGCTTTAACACGGTCACGCAGAGCATTGAGGAAGCAGTTGAAATATCAGTGGCTACTGCGGCACCACCCACCCCACCCACACCACCACCGGCAGCACACAGTCCCGCACCGATCAGTTATGCGCTGCAGGAAGATGTGTTCATAAAATGCAACGATGGGCGATTCTATTTGGGCACCATAATAGCACAATCGGATGATCAGTATCTCGTGCGTTTCGACGACAAGTCGGAGCAATGGTGCGAGCTGGAGAAGCTTCGCAAACTGGGTAACGAGCCAAGCACAGGCGGCACAACAGCCAACCAAAGTGGACCGATGTGCGTGGCCTGCAAGCGGGCGCAGCACGAGGATATTGTCGAAATTTGCGAACGTTGCGGCCGTGGCTATCACCGTGGCTGCACCACCGAAATCGCCAGCGGCATCTGGTGCTGCAAACGTTGCGCAAAACCCATGAAAATGCAGCCAGCACTAGAGGCCAACAAACCGCCAGGCATTTGCCGGCAGCTGCCCTATCATGTGAGTTAATCCTTAAATGTGTTCTAAAGATATACAACTAAAATAGTATGCATTGTTATTTTCAGGCTGACAAGCTTAGCTGGGATGAAAAGCATCGCGTTAATGAGGAACAAATTTATTGCTATTGCGGAAAGCCTGGAAAATTCGATCACAACATGTTACAGTGCTGCAAGTGCAAAAACTGGTTTCACACCCAATGCATGCAGAACTTTAAGCGCAAGCTGCTGCGCGGTGATATGTAAGTGTGACAAACCGATTTCACCTATAAATCAATGTTATTTCGTTTTTAAATATATTTAAAAAAAAAGGTGTGAAACAAAAATTTAGTTTGAGTTATACAAAACTAAGTAAACTTCATGATGAGCTAAAATGAATTTCATCTCAACAGCTTCTTTGTATTCTGTTGCACTGTGTGCAATGATGGCGTTGAGTTTATACGTCGCCTGCAGATTGATTGGGTGGATATGTTGCACATAACGCTCTACAATTTGCGCAAGCATCAGCACCAAAAGTATCATCATTTGTTAAAGGACATTTGGCCGTTTATACTGGAACAGCGACACCAGCTGCCCATCTGCGAAGAGTGGCGCCAGTTGCCGGAGACAACACTGATGGAGCGCATTAAGCAAACGCTTAAGGAGTATTCCGATCGTTTTGTGTGCGGACGGGAATTCAAGCGTGCACCAGCTTACTACGCATTGCGGCACAGCGGTCCACCATTGACGCCGCGCGTATTTCTGCAGGCAGAGGACGTACTGTGCGATGAACTGTTGCTTGACAAGTTTAAATTGCTTTTGATGCCAGAAGAAGATGTGGAGCCCGTTCAATTACAGTCAAATGCAGTGAAAGAAAGCATGACAACAAAAACTTCGACTGCGAAAGATGTGTACGAGTTTCATACGGATGATGACGAGGAGGAGGCAGCCGAGGCTGAGGCGGAAGTCGATACCAGCGAAGATGAAATACCCATCAAGCAGATTATTGACAAAGTCAAAAAGCAAAATAAGCAACAGGAGCAACCGGAGACATCGATTGAAGATCTACAGGTAGATATACATTAAAATATACAAAATTTCTTAAATTAAATGCAAACAATGATTATGTCAACAGATAAAAAACTCGGGTAAGCGCACGCCTGATTTGGCAGATGATAATGCTAACGATGGTGAACCCAGCAAATTGTTGGCGCCCGCTCCACCCCAGCTCGATGCCACTGCTAACATTAATGGTAATAGCAACAGCAATAGCCGCAAACGCAAGGCATTCCGCTTGTCGAAACGTTACGACAACAGCCGCAACTGTGATCTCTCTTCAGATGAGAATTCGAGCAGCAGCCGTGGCACCAGCTCGCTGGATCTCATTATACCGCCACCGGCAAATTTTCTCGGTCGCAATAATCCCTTCTTAATGGCTACGCCCAAGAAGTCAGCACAGCAACGCAATGGAAGCGTCGGTGCTGGCGCAGCTGGAGTCGCGGGCATTATTAATAGCATTTTTAAGCTAAAGAACGTGAAGCAGTTGGGCAGCATTGAGTTGGCTAAGGCAACGGCAGCCGCACAACAGCCACGAATGGTCCGTACCATTAAGCGAAGACTGAGTGCCAAAGATATTACCATTGGGCCTAATCAGGAGGTGCGCAGACGACGCACTCGTCGTCTGACCACGGCCGTTGAGGTGAGTGTACAAATATATTATGATTATTGCCTACATGTGTGATATATATTGATATCCTTATTTATTGACAGGTGATCAACACGACTACAATTAATCCTATACCCAGCCACTACTTTCCCATATATGCCAAAGATCTGCAGCCACCTGCGCCACTGCTTCCTCCAGAGAAGCCCACCCATGGCCGTTTGTTGCGCCAGCGACCGCAGAAGTCTCGCTGTGGCACACCGACAGACAGTCGACGCAACTCTACCAGCTCCACAGTAACAAATGGCAGCAGCAGCACCAGCAGTGGCGGTGCTCCCGCCAATGGGCATTCAATGCTTGATCTAAAGCAGTCAGTGAACAGATACTTTGGTGGAGCCATGAATCGCATCGATGCCGGTGAATCTTTTGCCATTCGCGCCAAACGTCGTATGTGCAATGGCCAGGTGCAGTATTTAGTTGAGTGGGGTAGTGATTCTGCGACTGCTGCTGCTGCTGTTGCTCTCACAAACGGAATCTAAGCATTTGGCAACTGATGCTGATAACTGATTACTAATTACTTATTATTTTTCATTAATGGTATTTTTTTAGTTATGGTTTAATCTGAAAATTTGCTGCCAGGTTTTTAGGCCCAATTTTTGTTTTGTTAATCTTAAAAAAAGCCACTGCCAAAATAGCAAAATGTTTTTGGCATTTAACAAAAAATGCAACTGAATACAGGTTTTAATTGTGCAATGGCAGTATATTGTTGAAATAGTTAAAATGTAACTGAAACATAATTTTCTTTGTATATCAAAATTTGGCACTTGAAAGTATTACAACATTAAACTAAATTAATTTGTTTAAATTTTTTGCTGAACATGGGTAAACTAAGTATAGAGATACATACAATTAATTGCAAGAATTAGAGGATGTTTGCTGTATAGAATTAAGTTTCAGTTCTGTTCCAATTATTTTATAGCTATTACTACATACATATTAACATATATATTTTTGAAATATATATGTATTGTACTTGAACTAAAAACGTAACTTAATGAAAAACAAAAAATAAATCTTACAAATCATGTTATGCATACAAAAATATTCGAGGTATACACACACATAATTTAATCGAGGTAAAAATGAAATACAAATTAGGAATATAATTAAATGTACCCATAGATTAGGCATAATTCAATAATGGATAAATACAATTTAATTTTTAGTATTATGAAAATACACAAGAAATCAAAATCGAGTTGAACGCAAAATAAAATCTCATGCATTAGCAATTGCATTACAAAAAAAAACCCACGAACACATCTAAGCATTATTCTATGTGTAAATTAAAATTTTAAATAAATGTTTATACAATAAGTACATTAATATAATTCGAATATGTTTTGTTTATGGCTCAGTACACATTTTTCAAGAAATGAAATAATACAAGCAAAGACTGTATCAGTTTCCATTAAGTAAATAAACATCAGATATACGAAGCTGACTCAACAAACGAAAGTTCGACGAATGCCGAGTGTACGAATATGTATATATGTATGTCTATATGGTTTTCGAATAGTTTGATTATTCCAAGCCAAGTAGGCGATGCAGCCATTGAAAAATGTTGACATATTAGCTAAGCTCGTTGTCAGTCTGCCTGCCACCTCATTAGGAGACACACTAAGAAATTTAAAAAAATAGGTTTATTAGCCGAAAAAAAAACTCAAAAAAATATTAAACAATTGGTTCGATGCAGTCTTTTGTTCGGTTTGTTTGAGTGTTGTTTATTTCGTATAAAATACAAAAAACCAAAAAAATTTAATTCTCTTTTCGTGTGCATCCAAAAAAAACCAAAAACCTTTTAAGGCTTTCCAAGTGTACTTATAAACCGCGCATCAAGCACTTTGCACTGCAAGGCCGCGTATGCGACGTTGGTAAGTTTACTGGGAAATATGAGCCTTGCTAATATTTTGAGTTTGAAATTCTCTGGAGTACTCACAATTTTTAAGCTATCGAGGCATAATTGTTCTATTAGACTGGCAGGAAAACGGTTGTCATTTTTTTAAAAGGCAGTGGCGGGATAAATTTCATATAAGATGAGATTGACATGGTGTAGAAGCAGTGTTGGTTAATGCTGAAAAAATATTGACAGTCACTAAAACACCGAGTTGTAAATAAACGAGTATTAAATGTAACGAGTCATTTTCTTCCCTCGTTCAAGTAGGCGAGTGCCCCAGTCGGCGAGTCGAGTAGAGTCCGTTTAAGTGAGCGGTCGTGGTTTCGCTTAGCACACGACTTATCACATATTTTTTGTGAAGAAAAAAATCTTAAAAAAAAACAAAAAAAATAAAAAATATAAAAAGTAACAAAAAAAAATTGTAAAAAGTAGCAAAAAATTCGAGCAAGTGCTGAAAACGTAAGTACGATTGCAACTTCAAAAATCCCAATACAAAGCAAAATTAAAATTTTCTTGTGAAATGTGATTCGTGTGCCACGCAAGATGGCGACGTAAGCTGTCGTCCAAACAGAGCGCAGTAAATTGCTAAAGAAAACGGACAAAGGCCCAGCCCATTGTATGATTTGCATATTAAGTCCAGTATATAAGACTTTATATTAATTTTAGAGTGAATTTAATGATTCTAATGCGGGTCTAGCGTCTGAATGTGTGTGTGCGTGTGTGCATGTGGAAATTTTCCAACATGCTTTTTGTCTGTTCGAATTGGTGTGTGAAAGAAGGAAACAGCAACAACAAAGCACATGCCCATGCCGCGCAGTGTTGCCATGTCGACCAATCGACCGCCGTTCAACTGTCACATGCGTCAGTATTGCCACAGAGACACGCACACATAAAAATGAATAGCTAAAAGCGAGAACCACGCCGCTTTTTCTTTATTAAATTTGTTTTTGCAATTTTTTTGTTTGCCTGTCAAAGAGACGGGAAAAGTGCTAAAGCTCTGTCAAAGCTTTGCATACGTATAAGCTGTGTAATCGATCTACAGCAAAATATATGTTTATCTATCTCAGGAGGACCTAATCATCAAAAATGGCTTCTTTATACGTGGGTGACTTACACCAGGACATCAACGAAGCGGGACTATTTGAGAAATTCTCCACTGCTGGTCCAGTTCTGTCCATTCGTGTCTGCCGCGACGTTGTTACCCGTCGCTCATTGGGCTATGCCTACGTCAATTTCCAGCAGCCAGCCGATGGTGAGTAATAATTTTATTAATTTGTAATTGTAAAATGTACAAATACGCACATATTTATGCATATAAACATTGCCAAATGGGGATTCCCACGGCGACAGCAGTATGGAAGACACGTGTGCAATTTTCTTGTACTCATACAGGCATGGTGCTGTCATACTTCTGTGTGTATGCGCGTGTGTGCATTGAAATTCCAGTTTTTGTCTGAAAGTGAAAGAGAAACGAAAACGGAGAAGAAAAACAGCTGGTTCTGTGACTAGTCATCAGAAAACTAGAAGTTTCTTTATAAATTGCAATTGTGATGCATAATATTTGATTTCACCAATGGCTTATCGCACATACCGCGCCCTGTTCTGAAGGCGTCTCGCTATGGCGTCAGTTTTGGTCTGCCTGCAATTATTGTTTCCAAGTGGCAATCGCACAGATTGTATCTACATGTCTGTGTGTGTGCCAGCTTGCTTATGTATGCATATCTCCATAAACATGTGTTTATTGTTTATGCCTGCGCCATTATCTTTTTGAGAAACTTGCTCGAGTAGTTTTTTTTATATCTATTTATAGGTTATATTTGATGAGCAAATATTTGCACGTTTTTACATTAAACTTTGAGTGTCGCGTTGGCAGCATTTTACTTTTCCACTCGCACATCAAAATAAGTGAAACGTCTTTGTTTTGCTTTCACTTTTTATGTAAAATGCAAGGCCATCACCGTAATGCCTGTGCATTCATTCATTACCACGTGTAAATTCTTGGCATGCCTAAGTCCAGACAGATACAAGACGACATTGAACTATGTTTCTCATTTTTGTTTTTACAAATAAACTTTCACCACTACAAAAACTACGAAACTACCGTGCTTCACTCAGCACTGCTATTGTTGCTCTCTGTTAAAAGGTCGTTTACATTTGGAATTTTATTGAATTAAGACCGTCCCTGGTTTTGTCTGTGTGAAAGCGTAGTCATCGTATCGTCACATTCCGCTAAGTTTACTGAACTGCGTCTGTTATGATTCGTATGAATTTTTGGAATGTTTTCTCTCTTTAGAGGGTTAGGTTGAGTTAAGCAACTTCTACCCATTGGTTGGTCAAATTATTCCATTTTGAGCCGACTAAGATTCAAAGTTGCTAGATTAATTTGCGTGACTTACCATGTAAATGAGTCAACTCTTATTTACAGAAGAAGAAGCGTTACAATTAAATACGTATTAAGCATTAGTAAAATATGGCAACTTCTACCCATTGGTTGATCAAATCTATCCCATTTTGAGACAACTAAGATTCAAAGTTGCCAGACTAAATAACGCAACTTACCATGTTAATGTCTACAGTTGTCATTTACAAAAGCAGACGCGTTACAGATTTTAAATAGTACATAATTTATTGCAATAAAATAATTGTCAAGCAGTTTCTACCCATTGGTTGATCAAAAATGCATTTTAATTTTGAAACGACTAAGATTCAAAGCTGCCAGAGAAATGCTTCTGCAGGCTTGACTTACCGTGCGTTGATGCTGCCTTTTGGCAATAAATAGCCAGCGCAGAAGTAGAAAAGTTACAAAAAAAATGCTTTCGCCCTCATGTATGATTTAATTAAACGTTGCCTATAAATAAGAATTTCAAAATATGAATTCTTTTCCCCTTTTCTAGCTGAGCGTGCTCTGGATACAATGAATTTTGATTTGATTCGCAACAAGCCAATACGCATTATGTGGTCGCAACGCGATCCATCACTCCGCCGCTCCGGAGTCGGCAACGTGTTTATCAAGAACCTCGATAAGGCCATAGATAACAAGGCCATTTATGACACTTTCTCCGCCTTTGGAAACATTTTGAGCTGCAAAGTTGCCACCGATGAAAAGGGCAACTCCAAAGGCTATGGCTTTGTACATTTTGAAACAGAGGAGGCTGCCAATACGTCTATCGATAAAGTCAACGGTATGTTGCTCAACGGCAAAAAGGTCTACGTCGGCAAATTCATTCCACGCAAGGAACGCGAGAAGGAGCTGGGCGAGAAGGCCAAGCTTTTCACAAATGTCTACGTAAAGAACTTTACCGAAGAGTTTGATGATGAGAAGCTGAAGGAATTCTTTGAGCCTTTTGGCAAGATTACCAGCTACAAAGTATGTTATATTACACAATACGTCACATCAAATGGTATAACATTACTCTATTCTAATTTTTGTTTGGTTTTAGGTCATGTCTAAAGAGGATGGCAAGAGCAAGGGCTTCGGGTTCGTGGCCTACGAAACAACGGAAGCTGCTGAGGCCGCTGTGCAGGCGCTCAATGGCAAGGATATGGGTGAGGACAAAGCTCTGTATGTTGCCCGTGCCCAGAAGAAGGCTGAGCGTCAACAGGAGCTAAAGCGCAAATTCGAAGAGCTGAAGAAGAAGCGTCACGAGTCCGTGTTTGGCGTCAATTTGTACGTAAAGAATCTGGACGATTCCATCGACGATGAGCGCCTGCGTAAGGAGTTCTCACTGTATGGAACAATCACGTCGGCAAAGGT